GAACTGTGGAGCTGCCTGAACATTCTCGGTAGTCTCTGTTCCTCGCCTCATAGAAGCAATCTGCCGACTCGTAGAACATGTAGCTTGTTCTTCTTTAGGAGACTTCCACAATTCCTCAGGAAATGCGCGAGATAATGCGTCTGGAATAATGTTCAGCAGGCCTGGACGATAAATACATTCAAAATCATAGTTGAGCAGAGTGGCCTTCCAATTCAGGATTATTTGTGGCAACTCCTTCTGTTCATGAATGTACGTCAGAGGTCTGTGATCAGTATATAATGTAAATCTTCTTCCCCAAAGGTAATGGTGAAATTTCATTAGTGCAAAAATAATTGCTAAGAGTTCCTTCTTGTAAGCTGGGTAATTTTTCTCATGCTTATGCAATGCTCTGGCTTGAAAGGATATGTAGTTGACCTTGGTTTCATCTTCCTTGCCACCCGGTAGCTGATATAGGACAGCTCCTATGCCTACGTTAGAGGCATCTGGTGGCTACAAAGAATTGCTGAGTAAAATCAGGGAACGATAAGGCTGGAGCTTGGGCTATAAGCGATCTGATGCTGTTAAAGCTTCGCATTTGCTCCTTATTAAGATCAAAAGTGCCTTTGGCATTGCGCAGGGCATCTTAGAGGTGCTGTGAGCGAGCTGTACAAGGGTATATACTCCCTAAAATAATTGAAGAGGCCTAAATAGCGTTGAACCATCTTCTTATTGGTAGGTGGTGTCCATGAATGCACATTAGCAACCTTGTTGATATCTATTTTGCGTCCTTCTTTGTTGATTATGAACCCCAGTAGTAGCACTTCTGTACTAAGGAATTTACTCTTTTCTCTATTGATTATCAACTTTGCAGCTGTAAGCCTTTCTATGACAATGCTGACATGAAGAATATGATCCTCTGCTGTGTGCGAATAGACAATAATGTCATCCACATAATTGTCAGCAAAGTGCAGATCATCTAAGAGTTGTGACATTCCTCTTTGGAAGATACTCGTGAGGGGTTTTAAACCAAAAGGTGCTCTAGCAAACATATATTGCTTACCACCGTACGTAAATGCAGTTAGTGGTTGGCTTGATTTCTCTACAGGCATGCGATGATACGCCTGAGACAGATCAATTGCGGTGAAATACAGATGCCCTGCTACCCTCTGCTGGATATCAGTGATTAATGGTAGAGGAAGACATCAGTATCCTCTAGTTGACGATTCAACATTCTTGGATCAAGGCATACTCTATATTTCAGAATATTAGCATCCAGGTCACGGCGTGCTGCCATTGTCAGGGAGTTATTATACGGACACCCCTTAGGTGCTGGAACGATAACACCCGTTTCTTGCCACTTCTGGATGGTCTTTTCCACTTCTTCTTTTTCAATTTGCGAATGGAATGGGCGAGATCTTTCCTGGATGATACAGGTGGGTTTAACCTTTAGCTGGACCTTCATTGTATCAAGATTGCAAAATGAATTTGGCGAGATGGCTTCATTCGCCTGTAAATAAGGCTCCAGTGCTAACAGGAACTTTTCTTTCAATGCTTTGAATTCAGCATTGTTTTCTCTTTCTGGAGTTTGTGACGGAATGACTTGAGGTTTTTCATCATATGGGACCCATAGGGATTCCTCCTCTCGTATCTCCGGCATGGCTATTCCCGTGATGGAAAAGCCGAGTCTAGCGAAGAGATCCATTCCCAACACGAAGTCATAATACTCAATGTCCATGACCGACAATTGATATTCTCCAGATCTATTGTTGCAGACCAATTGGACTTTATCACAAGTAATGGCATTATCCGTGCTAGTCCCTTTTTCTATCATTGCTATAGATTCTCCTGGTACTCGACCATAGCGAATACCTTGCTCTATGGCTACTTCCTTACTGAGCAAAGAAGTTGTGGCGCCTGGATCTAACAATGCTGTATATTGTTGCCCGTTTATAAATATAGGCACAGCTATTCTATTATCACCAGGAGCGGGACCTTTGAAAGCCCCTAGGTGCTTGATACAAGCTTTCTCAACAATTGAGTACGAGGAAAAGAAGGATTCTTTATTCGGAATTATGTCTCTTATGAGCGCACTATCACTAATCCTCTTAAAAGCACTGACTGAGGCAAGCGGCTTGCGCACATCAGTTCTCTTGACGTCCTTGGGCTTATCCTTAGAATGATCTCTGACTTGATCCTTAGCATACCGACAGTCCTCCGGGGCATGTTTGTACGGATTCGACCTACACTTCTCCGTTCCCTTACACCAGACCTTGAATGGTTTAGCCTTCTTGGCTTCTCTATCACTTGACGGATTGGCATTAAGTCGAGATCTTTTATGACTAGATCTCGGAACCTCTCTAGGAGTGTATTCCGATCTGGACTTGATGGATCGCAAATACTGTTCTCCAGCGTCTCCTCCATACTTCTGGATAAACCAATGGGCGTCATCGGTTCGTTTCTCACCTAAGGCACCTGGTGTCTTTTCTAGGAACTCTAGAAACTCCTTCAAAGAGCTAACACTTTTCACTGAGCCGAATTCCTTGATGACAGCCTGAAATCCTACGTCGGACAGATGATTGCATAAAGCTTTGATGAGCATATAGCAGCCATCATCTGGGATTCCAGCTGCCTCAACCAGTGGTAGCAATCGTTGCGCGAACGACCTAATAGTGTCATTCTTCTCAGGCCTCATAACTAGCGCCATATCAGCGATGTAAGCCCCTAGAATGTCAAACTTTAGAGCTTTATTCAAGCATGTAACTGCCCGAGACCAGGTCCTGTCTTGAAGAGGCACTTTCTTGATGAGATCGTCATAGTCTCGCGCCAGGCCGGACACTTTGGAAACGCAGAGGGATAAGTAATCCCATGCTAGTTTGTCGAAAAGAACATCAGAAAGGTTACGACGGAATATCCTCTCAAAGTCATCACGGAAAGTGACAACCCTGATTGCTATTTCCTTGACCATATTCTTGCCGGGAACCTTGGACACGTCTAAATCAAGCATAGGCGCATCCGCAAACGTTTTCTTCTTGACCTTGGTATAGTCTACCTCTTCTGAATCTTCCATCAAAGGAATGTTCTCTTCTTTGAAGATTCGATGAAGTGCGTCATGTTCGGGATTAGCAGGATCCCATTTCACCGTTATACGGTGACTATCTGCTTCAGACACACTCGATCTATCAATCGAAACGTCCTCGCTTGAAGATAAGCCATTTCTGACCTCCTCCATATGTTCAATAGAACTATTCAAGTCTTCAGTTTGTCTTACTAAGACCTTCAAGATGTCTGCCTTCTGTTGAGCGAGATCGCCTAAGGCCTTGGTAAGTGTCTTTTCATCAATGTCAATTTTTCTTAACTTTGATTTGGCATCATTGTACCTAAGGAACAGCAATGCCTTCTTTCTGAGTGTCTCCTCCTTCTGAAGTCTATAACTTCGAAGAAGCATCGTAACATTCTCGATATCGGGAACAGCATCACTGCCGAACTCGACTACACTCTCCGTCGTATCTACGACCAGGCTAGCCACCAATAAGTTCAACTGCTCGACAGGTGTCAAGCCTGAGCCATTCTCTGGTGAAGAGATTTCCATATCAACATCTTCGTTAATTGGTACTTTATTAATATTAGACATGATTGAAATAAAGGGATTGAAATTATGGAAAAAAAAAATGGTTGGATGGATTGATAAAATGGATGGATGTAACTCTATGTAGATCCTTGAAAAAATGATATGTTTTATGGTAAATCGGAAGTCAAGGAGATCAAAAGTTGTTTATTATTTTAGCTAGGTCGGAGCCTTATATAGGCTCCAACATAGCCGTCACTAATTGCTCTGATCTATGAATAAAAAGGGGAGTGCTCCATTTGGGTACACTCCCTAGCCTCAGGACGTAACAGACATGCTGTCCCGCATGTTTTAAATATCTAGGTGTTGCCTTAGCATTCTGATCGTTGTTGATAACGAGCTTCTAAACCTTAAGCTTGACGTGTATGTCGCCTGGGACCATGGAACGGAGGAATGTGATATTGTCACTTTTCTCCGAGGTTTGATCGGCTTCTCTTCAAGCAGGATCCAGTAATATTATCGATTATCTCCTTGAATGATACTTGCTTGATCGGATGCTCCTCTGATGTGACCTGGAATGGCTTGTCGGGCCCCAACACAAAACATATGGGTGGGAAGATAGGAATAGACAATAGAAACAACTTGCTACTTGCTTGAGAAAATTCCGATGATGCAGCTGCGGCAATCCGCTTGGCGTGCTCACTTCTCCTTGCTTAGGTTTACTGAATAGCGATATTTTAATTTATTTATTAGTGTTATATTACAAAATTGTGTCTACGCCATTGTCATAAACAATGGCGAGTAAAAAGAAGTAAAAGAAACGATCGCTACCTTTTCCTTGGTCCCTTATCCCTGCTTGGCCTATTAGGATTGTCGTCCTCCGCTTGAGTCGACTCATTTTTTTCTTTTATTTCATCCGCTGGGTTTGCTCAACTCTTCCTTATTCTCCATAGCTTGAGCTTTATCGACAATTCTCTTTGATGTCCTCCTTGCCTGTAGTTCTTTGCGCTTGCTTCCTTCTCCCTCATCCTCCATAACTCGAGTCAACTCTGACTTCTCGAGGGACTCCCTTGCGCTTTCAAGGAAGTTCAACAAGCTAATTTTAAGCACGTCGTTTCTATTCGTTTGTCTTTGATGGCAGGAACTTCTTTGACTTTAGCTACTGAATAATCACCCTGTTCATGTTAAGACAATATGATAAGAAAACATGATAAGACAACATGATAAGGCAACGCGATAAGTAAGGCCTAAGCAACAGCAATAAGGATATGTCATTCGAGCAAAGCCGGGTAGAGAGGACGGTGATGAGAGGTATTCGAGATTAACTTGGATTCATGTATTGAGTCTTTGTTACAGTGAGTATCCAAGAATTCGTTCATTGTTATAGTTCTGGAAGATTGGAATTAACAAAGCGGGACTGAAATACTCAAAATGTGTGCCCTTTGTGCCAGACGTAGGGGCGTCTAACAACACACTATTAACCAATTTAACCAATTCAGGGTCATCCATTTCAAACAAGTTAATCGCTGCTATAAATGCAATTGGCTCAACGATAGTTGTAAACTCCTTCTTCCTTTGATTAACGACAATTCGAACAAACGAAGCCTCGACCGGAACAGGCTCTTTGTACTCCAATATCAGGTCTTTACCATAGAGTAATCCATTCTTTACGGCTCGACTGAAGATTTTCCTAATCTCGACACTGCTTTTAATTCCTGCATCCCCTTTGTTAATACGCTTCAGAATTCTAGATTATTCATGGCATAGGTTACCAGATTCTTTATATCCTGGATCAGTGAGCGACGACACCAGGCCCTTGATTTCTTGCTTCCCAAGGCCAGCATCGGCACGCCCAATGAGGTTTTCTATTATAGTGATCATTGGACGGAGACGACCACAGGACCAGGCATATAGCATCTCGATTGCTTGATCATTAAAGTGGCCTCTCAGCTTTGATGCAGAGCTTGAGGAACTTTGTTTTTCCAAATATCGTACAAGTGCCTTGAAGTGTCCTGGATGGAACCGAGTTTCCTCAATGAACTTCTCCAAGAACCTGTGGACACACTTGCAATAGCATCCATTGGCTAGGCATCATTCTACCTTCGGACAAACTCAAACAACATAACAGGATAGACACACGAACAAGGAGCAGGCAGGTAGTGGTCGACATAGCAATATTAGTGTTTACCGATAAGTTAACACCAGCCCCAAGATTGACAGAAGTAATCAAAGACCAGACATCATCTGGTCCGCGATCATCTCGACCAGCATTAAAATAAAATCCCCAGTTTTGCGAGAGTGTGTCCATAACTGTTCGAGTCTTTCCACAGCCAGATGCTCCAAAAAGTGGACAAAAGCTGAGACTATGCGACGAAGTATGTACGAAGATCTCTTTTGCCTTGTTATTAGAGTCGCAGCTCATATAAGAGCCATCCAAACCAGGAGGGTCAAAGAACAGGAGTGACGGTCTATGTGTCGCCTCTCTTTTTTCTGACTGAAATCGACGCCAAGCATCTGGGAAGCCTGACATTGCGCCGTCTGTTACTGGTAATTTAACGTTGCCATAAATATAAGCCTTGATAAACTCAGACCAATCCTTAGAATAAAATTCTTTCTCATTGTTGTTAAACCGTTTATTGACTATGAGTATTTGAAATACACAAGTCAGTAAAAAGGGTAAATTGACGAGTATAAACATAAAGGCATTTTTGTTTGCGTTCTTCAAGGGGTATACGAAAACCAAATTGCGATTAACCGCCTATGAACGCAAGACACAGAACATTTGGTGAGATTATAAACAAGCGTGGATATCCCAGACATCAAGGACCTTTTCCTCCTAATCTCCCATCCATCTAGCATAGCTCCCAAGGTAATTGATGTGAGAGGAAATGATTCTGGTGAGATTGATTGATGCCCTCAACAGCATGTAGCATTAATATACCGAGAACTATTAATCTATTGACGACGACACAATCCAATATTGTATCACATTTTACTGGTCAAGTTCGTGGCAGCCTTGGGCCAAATTCTTGATGTTTTTTTTATTTCATGTCCCTGGACGCCTAGAGATTCTAGACGCGCCGCCTTCACATACTGACACTGAATTGGCCGACCATACAACTAATATGATCTCATTGGTCGCAGATTGCCATCCCGTGCACGCACCATGGGGCTAAAACGACATTTATGTCTTTAGAGCGGAGCTGTCATCCTAGCTCCCGGTAAACGTTCTGGCGCCTTGGATGATGATAATTGATGGGGCTTCCGCAAGTGGTAAGCATCCAGATGACAAAGCATATGAGAAAGGATAATTTCCTATGCCAGCTGTCCTGGTGATAATAATATGATTTTGGGTCTCATCATCAGACTCTCACTGGGTTCTCCACAGGATCCTTCATCTCTATCCGTTCTTACAAAACTCTTTGGTAATAGTATCACAAAATTCCGCCCTTTCTTGCACACAAGATCGCATGATGATCACAGGAAGCTTTATAAAGTCCTAAATGCCCCAGTAGAAGGGAGGACTGATTAAACCACACTATCTATTCGTCTAAAAGGTAAGTGGATAATGATGGCTTCATTCATAAAGGATGTACTATTGTAAAAAACCCTCAAGGAACAGGTATAATGCTTTTCTTTTACATGACAAATTTCATCCACTTAATTGGTATTCGATTTAATTCTTCAGGTTCGTACCGCCTGAATATACAACATTGATGTCGATTTTTATGACACGCTGTCTTACATGTTTCAAGCATCCAGGTATTGTCTTGGTATCCTGATCATCGTTTATAACAAACCTCTGAGCCTTAAAATTGTCATATATGTATCCTGGTACCACAAAGTAGAGGAAAATGGTATCATCACTTCCACTCGACTTTGATCGGTTTCCTTTCGAATCTGATCGGTTTCCCTTCGGGCAGGGTCCAGTAATATAATCAATTATCTCCTTAAATGGTGCTTGCTTGATCGGATGATTCTCTGATACTGTGACCTGAAATAGCTTGTTGGGTCCCAATGCAAAATCGATGCACGGAAAGTTGGGTATAGATGGTAGAAACAACTTGTCTGTTGTTTTGGAGAATGTTGAAAAATCTGCTGTAGTCCTGGTAAATAATGCTTCCGATTCCCTCGGAAGATCAAAGAATCCTGTTTCGTCTGACTGAAGATCCTTAAATGGAAACCGAAGTCCACCACATCGAATTAAATAGTGAACATAGAGTTCAAACGAAGGTCCTTTTTTTATTTCACTGTCAGAATTGGCAAGTCGCTTCAACGCGTCGATCCAAGTCTGATCTAATTCCATGATGATCCTTGATCGAACATAAGGAGATGCCCATACCAGGTGGAAGCGGAGGTGGTCAGAAGTGGGGACTCTATGGAGTAAATGACTACCCGCTTTATCTCCTGGAATAAAGAGGTCAAAAAGATCTCCTGGGGACTGGAGTAGGCCAATGGCATCATTGACACACTGAAACGCAGTCTCTCTAGCACCGTCAATATCTTTTTGATCTCTGCATAGTACATCAGATGGACCCTGTAGGACCTGTCTTGGCACACCCCCCAAGTTGCAAAAAAGCTCCTCCAAAAATTCTTCATCCATTCGATGATAATGCTCTACATTGGCTCTACATTCCTTAAGCTCGTCCAAAGTCCATATTGACATGTGATAGTAGCTATATGGTCTAGTTTCCTTGGCGAATTCATCGTACTGTCCACTGAGAGTTCTTGGTGATGCCGAAAATATCGTCCTGGCGTGATCTGGTTGAGGATTATCACCACTATCAACTAAGTACCACGTTTCAGGCCGAGCAAGGAAATCTTGGAATGTTCCTATATGCCCATAACGTTGGCAAGTTGTTCCTCCATAAGCATAGCATCTAGTACTCTTCTTCTCTTGGAAAATAATAATCGGTGGGTTTTCCTCATCGTGTTCGGCAATGAGGCGGATGGCAAAATAGACCAAAAAGGCTGACTTCCCAATTCCAGGTGTTCCAGTGACAAAGAGTCGATTCAAACAATATACTTTGGGAGGAGTAGTGAGTTTGGCTGTAATATGGTCATAAAGCTCTTTATATTCTTCTCTGATATAAAGATGCCGTGTATCAACAATAGGGAAGGTACGACCCTCAGGGGCAGTCAATATTTTGGAATCCTTGATAGCTTCACCAGAATTTCGGAGCTCGCGAGCCACGCTAATAATACTGTAGTAAATACTATCTACCGATGCCTCCCCCATGTACGAAAGCACCTTGACCCTCTCTTTGGAGTTGAGAGGCGAGAGGGTAGGGCCACCATCCACTATCTCTTTCGTTACAAGCCCTGCTTCTGTAATCGCATCCATAAGATCACCTCTGCTACTCATGCTTGAACGAGCTTTTTTAGAGGGTGACTCTGATAAAAGAGATAGAGTGATCAAAATTAATATTTTTGATTTATTGCACATCACTCTAGAATGATCAATAACCAGGTTCTCAGCCAAAAGCACTCACCAGAATCTCCATCCTGTTTTCTTTTCTGAGCTAAGTATCAAAAGCGAATAATTAGAAAGAACGTTGAGTTATCAAGGCACAAACCAAATGGTGATATCATGCACATGGCCGTTTAAGATATAAACCAAGCTTCATCAGCTGGAAATATCAACAATCAGTCCATCAAGAGCCAAAGATATACCTCGCTGTGGTGGCTTGACAAAAACATGAATAGTTTTCCTTGGAAGTTCAGAATTGAATATGTTCCCAAGCTCCTTTGACGCGACTGTAAGAGCCTTTTTTGACTTGATTTCTGATTCAAAGATGGCCTCGCCTTTGTCAGGGATGGAAACCTTGTAGAGGGTAAGCTGGTCAGCGCCGATATTATTCAATGCATTGGCTTTCTTTGCTTTGATAACCTCCTTGAGCATCCTGACCGATTTATCGCAGAAAATCTCTACTGGGAACGGCGTTGCTTCTCCCTCGACAACGCAGTTCAGCTCCAGCAGCGGTGAGATGGCGCGCTTTTTTCGTTGTGGGTGTTGGTTTTCTCTTTTTCGTTTATTGAGTGTGGAGGCATCCTCAGGCTTATTTGCAGTCATTTTTATTTGTGCTTGGCTCCTTGTGGAATCATTTGCAGCTATGTTTTTTTGTGTTGAACTCCTTGTGGCGACCATTGTTAATAAAGATAAGTAAGACTGAGTATGGTTGAAATGCTGGGAGAAAATGAAAAACGAGTAAGGCAAAAGGAAAGGAAAGGAAAGGAAAGGAAAGGAAAGGAAAGGAGAGGAAAGGAAAGGAAAGGAAAGGTGATGAACGAAGGCTTGGAATAAACGAAAAAGGAAGTTGAGTTCCTTAATTCAAGACCGTGAGAAAATCAATCACATGCCATTTTCTTGATCATTGTCATGTAAAAACGGATAGGATGCATTTGTTTTTTTATTTTATTTGATTATGTAATCAATCAAACATCAAAGGAAATTGGTTGCGTAATGCAGCAAGCCACGCAGTGTGTGGCTATCGGGACTCTTGCACATGCAGATCACACAGCAGCTTTTTTCTTATTCAAGCTAATAGTCCTGGAGGCTGATACCCACTCTGGTAGACAAATACCTCATCATACCAAGCGGTGCAGTCGCCTTTACTTCACTTGACGGAAATCGATGTCAGTGGCTCCTCTCTCTCACCCATTCATTCACACACACACACACACAGTCTCTCTCTACATCTATCACTACATGAAATGTCAAAATTGAAAGACCCAAAAGTAAGAATCCAAGGTATTGATTAGGAGGATACTTTATTCAAGTGAAGCTAATTAGAGCTGTCAGTGTGGAAATGAGGCTCTATACCATATACTATATACCACATACTATCTATACACCTCAGAGCTCGGTCAAGTTGAGGAGGAGCTACCGCAGCAGCTTCCGTGCTTCCATTTTTTTTTTTTTTTTTTTTTTCCTCTTCTCCTGGAGAAAACTGCATAATATCACTTCACATGTAATTTGGAGAAATATTTCCCAGCAGTTTGGTTCATGTTTATCGCTCACAGCTCCATGAACAAAAACCATATCAATGCTCTCAAAAGTTCCCACATTAGTTAATACGGGCCGGAGACCGTGGCTTCGCCACGGCCAGCTCTTGCCTCGTTAGAAATTTCATGAAGAAAAAATAAAGCGTAGTGCAACGATTGGTTTTAAAAATAAAAAGCGTTACCATATATATAACGAATAGTATCTTTGCATAACTTTTTTATTGACTGGGTCTTTTTTATTATTTTAAAAACTACAAACAAAATCGACAACTTCTGGACTGAAGCAAGCTGACTCTTGTTGAGGTAATTGTAGTACTGAAACTGTGCATGTACGAGCTGCAAGACCAATGACATCTCCAAGGCCTGTGGCCCTTACTCATATTAAACCAAGTACAAAGGGATTGACGCCTTGATGAACCTACCGTGATTCTATCGTGATTGGTTGAGCACATATTAAAAAGGGGTGTGTGCACGCGTCTGCGCATTACGACTTCGCCACGTGTAAAATCTGAGTGGTTCATTATTGTGTAACAGTTGGTAAAAAATAAAAATAAAAATAAAAATAAAAAAAGTTTAGGTTGGCAAATTGAGTGGATATCCTACACAATACTTCACATCCTCTTGTTATACAAATCTCACCTCACGCCGGCGCGAGACTTGTTCTAGTCCGTCAAGTTTCGTACCATTAATAGTATCATTTTATTCAGGATTGGCAGTGGGATCGGGGCCTAATATTTTACGAGTGTACAGATTTTAGTTTCTCAGGACTGATACTGGAGTTGAGTACTAAAATTAGAAAAATTTACTGCTGCACAGACTTTAGTAGGGTATGGTGCACAGGTGTACTCCATAAACAAGCAAATATACACTGGTACTAACACAAAAAACCGATGTTCGCAGATAAATATACACCGATACTAACACGAGAACTGACCCCACAAAACCCATAAATGATACTAAAATCGCTTTCATGATATAATAGTTTGATTCGTACAGTAAGCCTGCAGAAATTCCATGTAAAGGAAGCTTGTCCTCTTTGCAATACTAGCCTGTGTGCAGTATATGTACAAGACTCTTAGCATGATAGTACAGATCCTTGTATTTCTTGATTAAAACGGATTTTTATCATGTAAAAGATAAGGACAATAGATTTGTACGGGCCAAAATATTAGTATCACGGAAGAATTTTAGTATCACTTTACATGGATTTTGTGCGTGTGCAGGTTAGTCCTTGTGTCAGTAACAAGTGCATGTTTGTTTGTTTGTTCATGTTGTGTCTGTGCATCAACACAATTCAGCCGCAAAACTTTCACTCAACTTCAGTATCAGTGTCAGTATGCACTCGCCCTGAAATACTGATTACTTATTGGACAAACTTAATTTATGCTCCAAAATGATGGCGAAGCAGAATTAAGACTGACCGTTGCTTTAAAAAAAAATGAGAAATGAGAAACTTTTCATCTTGTCATTCTTGTCAATCTCCAAGTCATCATTGAAATGACAAAACTCTCATACCAGCAATTTCGAAAAGCAGGCATTGTTAAAAAAAAGTCTGTGTAAGGATCGAAAACTCTTCCGCGAGTAATGAGAATCCGTTATACTCTGCACACCTGGAAGACATCCTAGAAGTATTCCCGGATGCGTCGGGATTCGAATTGGATGGGATCCCCATTCGATTCCTCTTGGACACTAATGCAACAGGTACTAATGTTTCCCATTGGCTACTTTATTTTACCTTATCAATTACCCTAAGAGTGGCAGAAAGAGAAGAGAGAGCTCAATTTTAACACGTTTTCTTTCTTTCTTTCTTTAGGCCGCCTATTAGGATCGAGCCTCCACGCATCGCGTTTTACCCTGACAAGGCCTTGGATGTCGTTACAAAAAGACTGCAGCCTGGTAGTAGCAGCAGAGACACCGGTGTCAATGGTAGCGGCAATAGCAACAATAATAACGGCGGCCGTATTTCCAACAACAATCACGGTAACAGCAAGAGCGCCAGCAACGGCAACGGCAACAGCAAGAGCAACAACAATGATAACAGCAACAGTAGTAGCAAGGGCGTCAACAACGTCGCCACCCATTTGCCTGGATCAAAAAGATCGACAAATCTAGCTACTCAGGACCATTTACCATTATCATATTTGGCACGGTCTTCCAATTCATCCCTCGTTACGCGCAATAATAGACGAACTGAGATGGTCAACTCTAATATAGAAAGGGCTATGGAGCTGCTGCAAGGCATCAGTATGGGGAGTGACGAAATGCTTCGACGGCAATCGGCGATGCATATAAATCAATCAGATATGACATATAAATCAATCAGATATGATTCAACTGCAATTGGAGGCCGAAGAGAAAGATAGACAAATGCTTGAACTGCAATCGGCGATGGGTAGAGTACAATCGGATATGTTTCAGCTACAGTTAGAGGCCATAGAAAAAAATGACAAGATACTAGCTTTCCAATCGGAAATACATCAGCTGCAATTAGAGGTCAGAGAGAAAGGGGACATGGTACTTGCACTGCAACTGGAGGCTAAGGATAGAGACGATCAAATGCTTGAGTTGCAAAATAAAGCGCTCGATAAGCTCGCCACACTACAAAAACATGCCAATGCTATCCTAGTCCAAAACTTTGAGCTACACGAGTATCCAATCCCACGGCTGTTTATCATCTTACCTGTCGACACCTCCAAGTGGGACCCAAGGAATGTCCTGGGAAATAAGTTCCGCCTTCATTTCCTCTGTGAATGCGGAGAGCTCACTGCGGAGATAAGCAAGAGCAGCCAAAACCAAATCCACCTTGCTAAGCATGATGGATATGAAGTCCGTGACAGCACAAAGTTTTTTCGCAAGTATGGAAGGCACATGCTCATCATTTTACATTGCCTCAGGGTGGGAGCGCCCATAGCTGCTTGTCTAGCACCAATCCCAAACTTGACTGCTGCTATCAATTACTCAATCGAATACATGGAAAAGCTCTCTATTGAGTACCCGGTGTTGAAAAACATCAATACAATCGATGAGCATGAGGCACTCGAAGGGGCAGATCTCCGACAACTGGGCACATTTCTTCGAATAAGGGATGAAGACAGGGAATTTGGCAACTTGTACAGGATCACGACGGAAACAGGTCACGTAAAATGGGTTGTCTCGACCACTATCATTCGACATATAGAGAAAAAGAACAGAAAGAGTTTGCTGGTGCAGTGGAAAATAATGGAGGCAAATATGACCCGTATCTTGGCAAAGTGATTATCGCCCTGTATCCCAAAAGCAAACCTGGAGAATTCTTCAATGTGCTAGCTAATGCAAGGCGTGTTTACGAGTTGGATATTACATTCGGCTGGGAGTGGACAAGAGCTGACCTTGTTGCATTCGAGGAAGCACTAAAGAAGTCAAGTGTATCGATCCTTCGACTTGATCTCGGAAGGTCTCAAGAAAGCACTACCGAGAAATTTCTTCCAATATCCACGCGGTATGAAACCCTGGTTCGGATCATGGGACTGAGCAAGATGAAGACGATTCATATTGTTCTATCCCCGGACCTTATAAAGCTTTCCAGTTTGCAGCCCAAAAGGCCGTTGCATCTTCACAAATTATCTTTTTCGATGAAACCTGGATTAATGGAAGCTAATGACTTTAAAGTGTTTGCAAACTCACTGGGGACCAACCCAGCTTTAATCACTTTAGATTTGGGAGGCAGCTCGATTGAGAAGGAAAGAGCTGCTGCGCTGTCAGAGGCGCTCAAGACAAACACTATGTTGACCACTTTGAATCTAGGATGGAACTCAATTGGGAAGGAAGGGGCCCTTGTACTATCAAAGGCACTCAAGACCAACAAGGCTTTGGCTACTTTGAGCTTGTGGGATAACTCAATTGGGAAGGAAGGAGCTCAGGCACTGTCAGAGGCGCTCAAGGAGAACAAGGCTTTGACTACTTTAGAGTTGAAATGGAACTCAATTGGCAATGAAGGAGCTCGTGCACTATCAAAGGCACTCAAGAGTAATACAACATTGACCGCTTTAGAATTGGCGTACAATTCAATTGGAATGGAGGGAGCTCTTTCATTATCAAATGCGCTCAAGGGTAACACGGCTTTGACCGCTTTGTGCTTGGAGGGCAATTCAGTTGGGGATGAAGGAGCTCTCGCGCTGTCAGAGGCACTTGCGAGAAACACAACTTTGGCCACGTTGAACTTGAAGGGTAATTCGATTGAGAAGAAGGGGGCTCTTGCACTGTCAGAGGCACTCAAGACGAAGACGGTTCTGACCACTTTGGACTTGGAATCCAATTCAATTGGAAATGAGGGAGCTTATGCACTCTCATTGGCACTCAAGGTAAACGAAACCTTGACGACTTTGGAGTTGGCGCACAATTCAATTGGAATCGAGGGAGCTTTTTCACTGTCAGAGGCACTCAAGACTAACATGGCGTTGACTGCTTTGGGCTTGGGAGGAAACTCCATTGGGAGTGAAGGAGCCCTTGCACTGTTGGAGGCACGGAAGTTTAACACGACTTTGAGCTCCTTGAATTTTACAGGCAACTCGATTGGGTATGAAACGGCGCTGACGTTGTCGGAGGCGTTCAAGCCTAGCAAGGCCTTGACTCCATCTTGATTGCTTTTATCATCGATGTAATATTGGAGTAATTAAGGATATTGTTCGGTTCGAAATAATAATAATAAAACTAAAAATAGCATGTTATGTAGTGATAATCATCGTAATGCAACGAAAACCACTGATAGGGGGGTGGAGGGAGCTATGGCTTGACATTGGCCACCTTGCTTTGTGAACTTTAGCTTGCAACCAGGGATCATGAACAAGAAGAATATAAAAGAGTTTTGCTCTTCACTCTCCTCACGTTTAGTAAATTTTTATATTACTGAGAGATTGTCAGTATAAAAAAATACATCGATATGTCTGTGCCTGGCGAAAAAATCCACGTGCTTATAGTTCTAAACGCGTCTTTCTCTTTTTTCTTTTCTTTTTTTTTTTTTTTTTTTAAAAAAAAGCCTCCGGCTCATTTTTTTTAAAAAAGATTACCTCGTAGAGCATGTTATTATTATTTTTTTTTAAAAAAATCAGGGGTAAACCAAAATGCGCGTTTTAGCCGCGCTATACAAAAAGCTTGTCGCTATTACATAAATAAGAAGAAAAGAATAAGGTAGGTGAGAACAGATGCACAGCATGGATCGTGATGATATGACCTGTGTGGAGAGTTGCAATAGCACGTGATCAATTCAACCTTATTCTGTTTGCAATTATGCCTTGTCCGACATCAACATTGGGCAGAATACATGAAAATGTTTAATGCTCAGTAAAGAAGTCCAATCTCTCTCTTTTCTCTTTTTTTGCATGCTCACTCTTCTTTTCTTTTGGCGGGCTTAATATCCACTCTTAGCTTACTTGCTTCATTCATTCATTCCATCTTACGCTTACAATACATACTTTTTCTGCCGCATTCTCTTTTCACTCTTGCTCTTGTTGAACAGTTTTTTTTTTTTTTTTTTTTTTTTTTACTTCTTTTAACGTTTTTATCTTTTACTCTCTTGACCCTTTCTATTACAACTGCCTTTTTTACCTTTTTATCTTACCAATGGGTTATGCAGAGGCCTTTTTGGTAATGAAAACAGAAAACATTTATAGAGGAATACAATTTAAAAAAAGACACAGATTCATTGCTTGAGAGAATAAATCAATTACCAAAAAAAAAAAAAAAAAAAACTGGAATCTTTTCTTGAACTGACAACAGCAACAGCAACAGCAACAGCAACAGCAACAGCAACAGCAATGGAAATAGAAATAGCAGCAAAATAAGGCCCACAGGATACATTTCTTGCATTTACAAATGGACATGTTCCTGATGAGACATCTTTTTTACTTTTATTAATAACCTCACACAACAACTTTTCAGTCTCACTCACACCGATAATACATAAAATGCTTATTTGCACGACTACGACTATGACCATGACCACTTGACACACCGTTAATGCATTCTGCCCAATCCCCTTTGGCATAACGGCATAATATGACAAACCTTGGAACGACTCGCACTGTTTACTTTTTATTTTTACCCATGTCTGTGCCTTTTACTTTGCTTTATTTTCATATATTTTATTTTAAAAAACAAAATATTAAAGTGCCTTTTCTCGTTCTCTTCCTTCCTTTGCTTCCGTCCTTCCTTTCTTTCGCTTTCACTTGGATAGACTGAAAGACCACAGGATGGTCTGGAAGCAGTGCAAACACGTCTTCGACGGGCCAAAGCACTACATGAACAACTTGCCAATTACTTCAAGGAACGGTAAGGAAGGAGAGTTTTCCACCCTCAAATTATGCAATTATGCAATTGTGCACACGAATATATATATTTTTTTACTCTGTAACCCTGACTTACTCCTGTCAGTATGCATAAAGAAGAGAAACCCCCATAATTGTCATTGCTCATGCCAGTTTACTATTTACCATTATTATCGTACTTTTTACTATGTGTACGTACCACATTATACTTGAATTGCGATACCTTTTATATATCTTCAAAGCGCGCACATTGAGGACATGTATGCCAAAAATATCACGAAAGCATTCCAAAAACATTTTGTCACCGACACTCAGGCACTAGGGTAACGTAATTCTGCTCCGTCTATTTTCTAGCATGCAGACCAGGGAAAAAGAAAGAGCGGGAAATTAAAGCAAAGACCTTTTGGGGGATATTTTTTATCTTATCTAGAACGTTCACTGCACCTTGGGAAAAGTTAAATGCAGAGACTTCGGAGCTAGCCAGTTTGCATAATCAATTCTCGCTCCGAATCACAAATGAGATTGAACGGCCACTGCGAGAATTCACAAAGACCCATTCAGAATGGCAGCATTTGACTATGGTAACGGCTTTTTTATTTTTATTTTTAATTCTTTAATAATCATTTTTTTAATTAATTTTAGTATATATTTGTCATTAACTCTAATCGTCTGAATTTATAATAATATTAATAACAATATTATTATTATTATTATCAAATCAAGGCTGAAGCAAGTTGCATGCGGATCGCAAAAGAATTTGATGAGAAGCAAGCCAAGGTTGCAAAGTACAAAAAGACTCTTGAAAAGGTCTCTGGAAAGAAAGGAGAGGCCGCAGGTGAGTGATCATTTATTTTTATTTTTTATTTATTCACATCAATATCAACATCAACAACTACAACAACAATGACAATAATAACAATGACTGGATGATTCCTTATTACGATCAGATTATCCGTGTAACAATAATGAAAGAAAGAAAGAAAGAAAGAGCAATTAAAGAACGATAAGAAAGATCAAGAAGAAAGGAAAAAAAAAAAAAAAAAAAAGACAAAGAAGTAAAAAAAAAAAAAAGCTATCTCTCTCTCTTTCTCTTTTTTTTTATTTTTATTTTGTTTTATTTTCCAATGTAAACTGGAATAACAGGTTTAATGATGGGCGAATGTTTGTGTTAATGAGAGCTTTTTATTTTTTATTTTTTTTATAGAGCAAAAGTTAATAGAGTACAGTATGCAACTCGAAAGCACAAAGACTGCATGGCGTATGGAAGGTCCCGAGCTTTTACAGGTATGGAAATATATTATATACATATTTTTTTTTAATGTCACCATGATTCACATAATGCCTTGTTATTTGTTTCCTTTACAACATCCTGACTACGCACTCACTTTTTTTTTTTCTTTCAATTAGAAATGCCAATCAGTGGATCAGAGTCGGTTAGAGCATTTGAAGCAGATGGTCTCTGCATTTGAGGCCATCCAGACAGAAATTGTTCTTCAGATTGCAGAAGTAAGATTTGAGATATATCTCAGGACGAGATCTGATGGACAGGATACACCTTTTTCATGGATTTTTTTTTTTTATTAATTGTCCAGTACTAAACGAAAAAAGACATTTTTAAATCCTACTCCTCCTTAGATGTCTGGACGCACATCAACATCGGTTGCAGAGTTTGAGCCAGTCATGGATATGGAACTCTTTTCATCTGAAGCCTCTTCCAACATGCATTGTAAGGAAAATGGAAGAGAAAGCTTAAAAAAAAAACTGACAGGAAAAACCGAAAATGGACATGAGTTGACAGAAATCTATTTATTTTCTTTTGATGAGTGTAGCACTTTCTGTACGTGATGGTGGATCTATCACCTCTGGCATTTCATATCCAGGCAATGGCGATGGTAAGAAGCGAATCTTTTGTGAATTTTTTTTTTAAAAAAAAAATCTTGATGAACGACGAAAGAACGATACGGCCTAATAATAATTATTACTGTTATTTTTCCCTTTCATTTTCTTTAGCTTCAAGCATCGAACCACGTCGATCCAATGGAACGCATAAGCGGGGCATGACAGGAGGCAGCCAATTGAGTAATGTATCGTTTTCTACAGATATCTCAGTACCAAAGTCAAAGGCTGCCAGCATGGTCGACATTCAGGAACATACACGCACAGGATCCAATATTCTCGGAAGCACAGGTGAAGCTGTAAGTGTCAATTAATTAAACGTCCATCATATAATAATGTGATGAGTCATATTGAGAAGAAATGGACTCAACAAATCTAACGTGATCACGTCAATCTCAGCCTCAGGTAGACTCGGAGGGATTCTCTATCCCTCCTCCAGATCATGGGCCTTGGTCGGATGCAGGCATGAGCAGTAACTGTGATGATGAACGCTCTGAAACTAGCAGGTTCGAAGAAAAAAAAAATCAGAGTGTTTAAAAGTGAATGAAAGCATGTCTAAAAGGGTTAAAAAGATCATTCTAAACTTAAAGAAACGGCCTTTATCTTGTTTTTGCTCCACTCAATTAGTTTTTCACAAGGACCCAGGATGCAGATGGAAATTAAGCATGATACTGTCAACGAGAGCAATGACGAGGTTCGTGCTGCTCTCGAAAGAGTCACCTCTACTCTGAAGCAGAGCAAGACTGTTGTCCGACGACATCCAGGAAGAAGAGAGGTCAGGAGCATGTACCAGTCAGAGGACTCGCTCTCTGGCCTGAACAATTCGTTTCAATCCCCACCTCTGTCAGGCGCGTTCGCATCCGATCGAGATGGTTCATCCACGCCCCACTCCTTGAGCTCGCCATCATCACGAGTCTTGTTCAATTCATCTTCATCGCATCTTCAACCAAGTGCTGCTTTCACTCCAGGAATGTCGCGCGCAAACACATTGAGCCTGTCATCAGGATTAAATAATAACAGTTCTATTCCACCTACGCCTCCGTTGCCACTCATTAATGGATCTGGATTGGTAGTGCCATCATCACTAGCTCCAGTAACATCTTCAGGGACTGGACAACAGCCTCCTACAAGTGACCAAGAGTCCTTCCATCCTATGGGGACCTCTGCGCCTACATCACCAATCGCAGCAACGCATGCGAATGGGGGGTCGGTGCCAGGAGCTGGTCAAGAACGGACATGGATAGTCTCTGTGGTTGAGAAAGTGCATGCCCATACTCAAGCAGGAGAAGTAGTGAAGATTTTGGTAACAGGAGAGGTGATTTTGAATCAAGAAGGCACTGAAGTCAATGAGGGACAACCCACAAAGGCATTGTTACGACTCGATCATTTGCAGACATTGGAGAGATACATTCCTAATCAGACGTACCTGACAGCTGTAGAGGGGGCTGAAGGATCGTTCTGGGTCGACTTAGAGGCATTAACGCAGGCACTTGTGCAGGGACAAGGGGTTGCAGTGTTAAAATACCAAGTCCGGACCACAGAGGAGGAAGCCAGGACGATGATTCCATTAATAGTACAACCAGCATGGAGGATTGAGCCAAAACAGACTTCACTATTGGTCAATTATAAGGTTAATATGCAATGCAGATTGATCCAACCTACACCATTACCATCATTAGAAGAGCAGGAAGGAACTGGAGATAATAGTAATAACAGCAATAACAATGACAACAATACTCCAGCTCAATTGAGTGAGCTTTCATTCTTGGTACCAGTGACAGGGGAGGTATTGAATGCACAATCTAGGCCAGGAGGTATTTGGAATAAGGATTCAGGGAAGATGTTGTGGGATGTGGATAATATTGTGATGAGTAGTACATCGCTGGAGCCTCACAAGTTGATGGCAAGATTTGAGATGAATCCATCAGGGGCAGCAAGCCAGCCGAACCCGGCAGCTGTCAAGTTTAGAGTACAAGGCAGGCTGTTATCGGATGTGAAAGTTCATCTGACAAGAGCGCCTTTAGAACAGGGACAAGAACAAGAACAAGAACAAGAACAAGGAGGACAGAAACAGGAGAAAGAAAAAGAAGACAGTGCGCTAGGATCAATTAGGCTGCAGGTTCAGTCTGGTCGGTACCTGGCCATGGCATAATCCGTGATTTCTTTGTTTTTCAGTGCATTTCTGAAGAAAAATAAAAAAAAAGAAAAATTAAAAAGATAATCGATAGCATGAATATGACATGTGTAGCAAATGTAGCATAGCAATGTAGTGTTTCCCAATGCAAAAAGTTGAGCCCATTTTTTTTTCATTTGATGATGTGTTGTGTGAACATTTCATTTGAACATAAAAAGGTGGCACAATCCCATTCGCAATAAAATATCGCCGTCACATCACCGTCATTCCAATCCTCTCTCCTCTCTCCCACACACACACTCTCTCTCTCTCTCTGCCACCATTTCATTCCTTCTCTTTAAATCTATCATCTCTTTCTTTTCTTTTCTTCCAAAGACTTTATCGCCCTATCAACAGAAGCCTAGAGGAACTTGAACTAAACCAAACCAAAGGACTAAAAGGACAGGGCACTCGACCTTTTTTTCTAAATTCAAATAGTGTGCACATGCCACCTTGTGCTTAACAGATCAACATTACATTACATCGCCAAAACCTTTTAACGACAACAACGAGTGAACAAACGGACGGACGAGAACAAAGAGACAACTCAATAGGGACTTTTTTTTCCCCTTCCCTCTCTTGATATACCCGGGACTAAAAAAAAAAAAAAAAAAAGGAAAAAGTGGTCAAAGGAAAAAAAAAATCTTTTTCTTCTTAAAGACGTCAGAATATTGTTTGATAACTTTCAGGATGGCACGTTTGGCAGTCTATGGAGCCATCAGTACCCTTCTTGCGGGAGCAGTAATAGCCAATGCATTTGCACAGCGAAGTAATTTCTATGCAGCATGTATTTACCTCTATCGGTCCAATGCCTGTATGATGGTAAGGTGTATAAGGTGTATAGGGCGCAATTGGAGCGTATAAAGCAGATTGTGGGAATGGTAAAACCCATAATGAAGAAGCAACATTTTTGAAAAATAGTAACCAATCTATCGACGTGCTTTTCTTTCTCTCTCTTTTTTTTTTTTTTTTTTTTTTTTTACTTTCCATTAGATTATCCTCAATCTTGGCTTATTCTTGACCATCATTGCAGGACAATTAGTTCAAATCATCTTTTTTGGCAACCTTAGGACACTCGAAGTCGAGGTAATGGAGGAGAAGTTGATTGATGTCATATTCGTACAGCCATGCTAGCTTGTAATCTTTTTTATGTGCGTTATGGTCAATAGTCAATGATATTGATACTTTTTTGTTTGTTTGTTTGTTTTAATTTATATGCATTCCAAAGCACTTGTACGAACGTGCCTGGTATGCAGTGACAGAGACGTGTTTAGCGATGACAATTTTTAAGGATGAATTTGATACGCGCTTCGTGGTCATGTTCACAGTATTGTTATTCCTGAAAGTATTCCATTGGCTGTGTATGGATCGTGTAGATTCGGTAAGTATCTTAAGAGTTTAAAAAAAAAAGAAACAACAACAACAACATTTCATTAGAGTACTAAGATATTACTTTTTTCTTCTCCTTATCATTACACAACAGATGGAACAATCCCCCGAAATTCCTCTATCGTTTCATGTCAGGATGGTGACAATGATTGCAATGCTCGTGAGTCTAGACGTTCTTCTTGTCTATCATGCTGTCAACATTGTGACCCTTAAAGGCCCTAATATGATGATCATGTTTGGTTTTGAGGTGAGTTTTTTTTTTTATTTTTTTTTTTATATATTTCCAATGGTTATCAATGTTCTCTCTCTTTAAAAAAAAAATCTAATCATTACAATTCAATGCCATGGTATCCACTATTTTTTTTTTTTTTTTTTTTTTTTTTTTGTGTCAATAGTACACTCTGCTTGCCACCAGCTTAATGGCTTCTTTTGGAAAATATGTACTCCATACAATCGACATGCGAACGGAGGATCCCTGGGAGAACAAGTCTATGCTTTTGTTCTACCTTGATCTGGTTGCAGATTTTGTGAAGCTTGTGACGTATCTCTTGTTCTTCATGGTGATCTTGGTGTGCTACGGCTTGCCTCTGCATATTATCCGAGATGTCTACATGACCATGCGATCCTTCCTTCAAAAGTGTAAAGATCTTATCCAGTACCGAAAAGCAACTCGAAATATGAATGAACGTTATCCAGATGCTTCACCTGCTGAATTGGCCGCCCTTAGCGACCCCATTTGTATCATTTGCCGTGAAGAGATGGTTGGACATCATTCGAATGCCCCAGCTGGACAAAACGCAGCAGGAACAACAGCACCGGCGCCAGCAGCAGCAGGAGCACAACAACAAGCACGACCTGCTAGCAACACACGTCCAACAGGATCCAGCACAAATGTACCCAAGAAACTTCCATGTGGTCATATCTTCCACTTTCATTGTCTTAAGAGTTGGTTGGAGCGACAGCAAAGTTGCCCTACTTGGTAAGTAAAAAAAAAAAAAAAAAAAAAAAACTTTTATAAATAGGATAGTTTCAAATAGCTCCTAGATAATGCTGATGCGCTTTTTCTTTTGCCCTCCCATAGCCGTCGCCTTGTTTTAGATCCACCGACACCGGCCCCAACACCTGTCCAACAAGCAGCCGGCGATGCAGCTCAAGGTGCAGGAGCGGCTGCTGGTCCTGGAGCAGGACAACAAGGTGCAGTCCCTGGAGGGTTCGGTAATTTTGGGAATAATAACGCTCCCCAGGTACCAGGAGGGGGAGCACATGGAGCATTCTTACCGAACCATGGTATGGGAGGGTATCCTTTCTTTGCACCTCAGGGACAGTATCCTTTGGCCGGCTGGCATCCTCAACAAATGGCAGGCGGTTTTCCAGGAGCGATTCCACAGGGTGGAGGAGCAGGCGTACAGGCACCAGCAGCGACATCAACAACAGGACCAAGATCAGGACCAGGATCAGGATCAGGAGTAAATTCTACAACAACGACGAATACACCAGCTGGAACTGGTTTCAATGCAGCGCCGATGGGTCAAGCCAACTATATCCCTCACTATTCGATCCCTAATGTGATGCATCCTATCCCCGGATTCATCCCTCTGTTCCCTGTTGGGGCAAGAGCTGGTGCTGGTCGCCATAACCAACAAGAAGCTCAGGCTGGGTCAAGAGCAAGTTCTTCTCAGCAACAACCTGGATCTAATGAAGCAGCAGTTAGTGAAAACCAAGGAACAGCTGGTTCCTCTTCAACAACAACAACACCACCACCGCCACCTATTTCTGCAGGATTGAATCAGTCAGGAGTTCATCCAGCAATCAATGAGATTCCATTAACACCATTGGATGCACTAACAGATGAGCAATTGAAGTATCTAGAAGAGAATACAAGACGTGGTCTTCAAGAACGTCTTCGTGTATTACAGGCTGTGGAAGCACAGATTGCACAAAGCGTGAGCTCCTTGAACCGTGTTTTAGGGATTCTACCACCAGAAGGAACACCTATCAGAAGTGAGCCTGTAGATCTTCCGAGCCCCACCATTCCCCCCACCACAGTGCTGTCAGGTTCATCATCATCGTCTTCATCATCATCCTCATCATCAGCTATAGATAGGATGTTTGGCAGTAGAGGTGTCGGTGCTGGATTGAATGATGGTAATGGTAATAGTAACAGCAGTGGTGGTAGAAGTGTCAATGTTACTTCAACATCACAAGTTGGCTTGCAATTAATATCCAATGTAGGATTAGTAGGAGTAAGTCAACCCGAGCAAGCTCCTACGCCTACATCCACGTCCACATCTACCGCATCTATCACATCGCCCTCTGCAGAAACACAACAACCCCCCAATATCCCTACAGCAACTGGCCATCACCAACCATCAACTACAAACAATGACAATGATTCTGCTGCTGCTGATGGTCCAACTTCTCAGCACAAGCATGAGAATGGACGGGCAGATAAGGGCAAAGCGAAGAAAACAGAGGAAGATGAACAGAAGGAGAGTCTTGTGATTACTTCACAGGATGGTGACGGCATGTACGGTGACGAAGAAGAAGACGAAGATGAATCAAAGTACTCTCCTCAAGAGATGGTGAAAAGACGATGGGCTAGAATGAACTCTCCAGGGAGCTTGAACGTTTAAAAAAATGTTTATAAATTTATAAAAAGTAAAATTTTAAATAAATAAAAAGATGTATAAAAAAATTTTTTTTTGCTTTTATTTTGTAAGGGTGAAATGGTTTCTTTTCTTTTCCTTAGTAACCATTAAATGGTTGGTCTTCATCCACCATTATAGCTATCAGTGAGTTCATCATCATAGTCAAAGTTAGCGCTCCCATATCCTGTGCCGATAGATTTGGTTTCAATGCCATATTGTATCAAGACCTTTCTTAGTGCGGCATGGCTGGACCTATCAGTATGGAACCATCCATAGATCGATGCTATCCATGGCCAAGCATCTACCATCCAGCACACATCTTGAAGGCCCATGACCTGATCCAACTCCATAAAGTTAAACTCGTTCATCTTCCTCAGCACCCTCAGTTCACCCAAACCAGCTTCTAATCGTACAGCCAATCCATCCACAGAAAACTCCTTTCGTTGTTCTAATAATGATTCAAAGCAAATATGATCCAATGAAGGTTCACGTTTGCTTGCTTCCTGATGAAGCACCCCTAGCATCATGATAGATTGTCCAGGAGAGACATTTAGATATTCCAAATGTCGCAGCTTACTGAGAACACAATAAATAGCATGATGCCATGAAAGAGGTCTCCCAGCTAATCCACAAATAAAAACATTGAAGGCACGCAGGTTGGTACAGATGGGTTGTATAGGTCTAAGTACCTTCCTGCTGTTGATGCTGCTGTTACCAGTATTCATGACGATAGGGTCATCGTCTTGGAAGCCAAAGATATGATGCGCTTTTATGAACCGTGCCTCCAACGTGAGCAAATGAGGAAATGTGGTAAGTGCCAAAAGAGCCATGTAACTGTCGGCTGTAATGCACATGGATATATTTAAATGAGTTAATGTCAAAGCATGAAAACGGAAAAGCATTTCCATGGTCAATGGCCCAATCGCGGCATAGAGAACGTCGAGTTTAGTGAGACCTCTTCGAATAGCATTATTGGAGGAAGTGGTAAAAGGAGTAACACATGACGAAGTAGAAGTGACGGTGGCGTCAATGTCAGCGTTTTTAATAATATTGAATGGTTTCCTTTCCTGATAGGGTTTGTTATTGGTGATGTTGTTATAGTTGTCGTTGTTATAGTTGTTATTGTTGTTGTTGTCATTGTTGTTGTTGTTATCGCCGTTAAAACTCTCCAGAATCTTGGCTAGGTTTTTATCAGATAGAGAGCGAAATGATATGTAAAGTATATGGACCATTGGACAGTAAACTGACAAAAGTTGAGAGAGCTTCATTGTCAAGTCAGGTTCTGGCAGGTCTCCCCGCCCTTGCAGTATAATACATTGTAAATCAGGGCACCTCTTCATCCATTCGAACTTCGTGTCATATGAAAGTTCCTCTGTGGAAAGATCGAGATATTTAAGAGTATAAGGCTGAGTTTTTTTTTTTTTTTTTTTTTTTTTTTTTTAAAAATAAATAAATAAAATAAAAATAAATGTTAGTAACAAAGTTGAAGCAACGATGTAAGAAAAAAAAAAAAAAAAAAAAAAAAACTTACTGCGGAAGCACTTGGAAGATGGAAAGGCACGGGTGATTCCTTCAGATTAAATATCATATTCAAATCCGTGAGTCGAGTACATTGGTCCGCAATAATCGACAAGGCTTCATCATCCAAGTCCCCATCTAAATGAAGTATTTGCAGTCGAGGACATGCTTGTGATAGAGTCTGAAGAAATTCGGTAGGGACATAGCATGTACTAAGGTTCATAGAGATGTACAGTTTTGTAAGGTTTGGGTTCTGGCAAAGGAGATTCATGACTCGGGGCCAGGTCTCTGCGGGTGTGTTGACACTATGTGTGAAGAAGAGAACGAGCTCTTCTAGCTTTTGGAATCGAAAGTGAAGTTGAGGTCTGGGTAGAAGTTTATCTTTGGCCTTGATGGTGCCTTTACCTCTGCCTTTGCCTCTACCTTTGCGTCTATCTTTGCCTCTACCTGTGCCTTTGTCTTTGCCTCCGTGTTTGCTCTCTCCTATCTCGATTTTTTCAGCTTCAAGGATTTGTTCTTGACCTTCTTCAGACAGAAGGAACGGCATATTCCCGACCGTGGGCTCACACCGCAGAACTAAATAGCGTACTAGATTTGAATGAATACGAGTGACAAGTTGTAATCCCATCTCCCTCTCTAGGTCAAGGCATTTTTCATAGCCTTGTAATTCGATGACACGATAAAGATGTGGTGTGAAGATCGCGTTCCAGGTCTTGTTGACAAGGCAGGCTACTGCCAGGTCTGATACATCGAGGAACTGACCAAGATGGGAAAGGAGTTCTGGGATGACGAGCATTCGAATTTTTTTTACTTTGGCGGGAGTGAAGAAGAAAAGTGAAAAAGGGAAAAATAAAACCAAAATCGATTCGTCATCTGAAACATCACGTCCGAAACAACTCAAATAATATTAATGAACGTATAGTTTGTGGAAGGCGCAGTACATTACGCCGCCAATAAAAGTTTTTTCTCACAGGAACAGGAACTCTTCGTCCAGAGTAAAGAATCAGGATGACGAGGAAAAGGGTGTAATATGATAGCAATGTTTGATGGCCACAGTAAATGACAAGGAGATGATAGCAGCGACTCAGAATTCATGGTTAGACAAATGTATGTATTTTGTCTTTTTGCCTTATAGCTACTCTCACTTAGCACGCTTATTGTGGTTATAGCTCCCTCAACATCAGCATCAGGTAAGGATTAAATGCAGGATTAGTTAAATCATTGGATTAAGCTCTTCTCAAATGTCCTTCGAGCTTGGTTATTCCTTTTAATGTTCTTTTTTTTTATTCAATGTTAGTAATGGAAAGGGAATACGATCAAGACTGCTTTGTAGTTAATGCCCAAATGCTTCAAACCAAATGACAATGTGCATTTGGACGAACACCATCGTGTGAAATATCTTGACAGGATGAAGAGCTACATTCCTCTTATTAGAGATATAATCAGTGGAGCTAGGACTTCAAGGAAAAGATCATGAATTCTCGACGCCATGGTTACTCTCACCCCAAGCCCCAGTAAAAGGGCTCCCTCAAGTTCTTGTCGATGGCCGTGGCGTGTCCCTATCAGCAGTTCATCACATTATCAAGGTATATCATGAAAGGGGGACCAGTGCTCGCGCCCCAATTCCAAGACGCCCAAAACTGCTCAGTGCTCGATGACACCAGGAGCAACTCACGCAGTAGTAAGAGGAAAAGGAGAGCTACTCTTCAAGAGATCACCAACTTATTGCCCAAAAAAGTGGGTAAGATAGCTGCAGAGGCTCCGCATTCCTTAGGCATTTTCAGCCGTGTTGCTGTCCCTAAACCATTCTTAAGTGCGGAGCACATAGCGAGGCGATTGAACTTCATTAAAAAATACAAGAATTGGTCTAAAGAAGACTGGGATCGGGTGGTTTTGTCTGACGAGCCATCCTTTGAAGTTGGTCCGCATTTTTGTAAGATAAGAGTTTAGCGCACAATACAGGAAAAGTACGAATATGATTGCGTCGCGCCTACTTTTAAGAGTGGTAGGACATCTCTGATGGTTTGGGGAGCGATTACAGCGACCAGGAGGTCTCGGCTGGCTATATTTCAACGAGGACATAGGGATGGACCATCTTTTATGACAGATGTGTACAAATGTGAACAGCATTTCATGTTGCAATCAATGTTTAGCGTTGAGAGGATTGAAGACGGAAGATATTGCAGTGAATGAAAGAAGACGAGAGAAAGAAGAGGACTTCAACTTTAATAGAGGACGGATTATGTCTCATTCTTTCCATTCTAGGCTCGCACTCGGCCCTTGTTACTCCTTTGCAATATTGGGCAAAGTCATTTCCTTTAGGCAACTATAAAAGAAAATAATAATAACAATGCCAACGAATGTGTGGAACGTGTAGCGACCATGATGATATAAAAAATATGTAGATATAATAAATGAAAACAACGAAAGCAAAGATCCAAAAGGGAATAAAAGCAAGAGATCGGAAATTTAGAGCATGCTGAGAAATATTAGGACAGTAAAGCAAAAAGTTCACAATTTAAATCTCCAATGCATTGTAGACGCGACCTTTTTTTTTATTATTTTCTTTTTGGTAAATTAAAACTTATGGATAGAGTATTTTTGGTAAAAGAAATCCGAGATATCCACCCAGAGCGCTCCCATGAGATCTTTTTTATTTCAAGTCTTTTGTGACATTGGAGATCGTATAGTTCATGGATATCGAGACAAAGTATCCCTGCAGTCACAAGACAAAGATATAGTTCGGTTCAAGGAGAGAGACCTGCAAAGTACAAACCCACGGGGAAGAGTCATCTGCTCCGCCTGCAAAGCGCGCACGACGCTAGACACAAGTATTTATTTCCGTCTCCTGCTCCTGAATTTCTAGACAAACTTTAAAAATCCTACAGATCAACAGATATACAATGCACATACCACACAGGTCAAAGTCGAACATTTATTTTATGATGACAATGGGTAGTAATGGTAATGGAGACTGGGCGAGGACGGCAGTAATCAGAACAATGGAGGTGATCGTGATGAAAAGGGTCACAATAAAAATATTTGTAACCTTTCCCAAGCGGCATGAACAAAAAAGCAAAAGAGCTTCGCCCGGGCCAAAACTTCCTTGTATTGAACAAAAGCCACTGGTTGTTGACGAGTCTTGTCATGCACATCTTCAACTGAATTTAATCGTAAACATGTCCAAACCTCATCAATTTCGAGTTTTGGAATTCTATTCCGGCATTGGAGGCATGGTAAATGTCTGGACATGGGTGACAAGAATTAAGAAAAGATGACTTGGCTGAAGAATTAACCACAAAGACCACTTTTTTTTTTATTATTATCAATTCTGACGACGATCAACTACTGTAATTTCTAAATAGCACTATGCATTCAATGAATCTGGTCATAAGGGTGAAATCCTCAAAGCATTTGATATCAATACTACTGCAAACGAGGTATATGCTCATAACCATGGAAAACAACAACTGGCCCAGGTAAGATACTATATAATGCAGGTATCTGAATGCTTTGAGTTTTGATGAGAACTTATTTTATTTTAATGTAAACAGCTTCTTTAATTTTCATTTAGAGGAATATTGAAGCTGTACCTGTAGAATTCTATGATAAGCAACAAGCTGATGTATGGCTCATGTCTCCACCCTGTCAACCAGTAAGTTTTAAAAAATGAAAAGTAGCGTGAATAAGGGAAAAAAAAAAAAAAAAAAAAAAAAAAAAGAGAAATAAATAACGTGCTCTGCTTGTGCCGCTTATTCAATATTTTCCTCTTTAGTATACTCGAACAGGAAACCAAGAAGGTAGTAAGGATAATCGTGCAAAGTCCTTTCTCTACCTCATGGATATCTTGCCGAAACTTCAACACCCTCCCAACTATATCCTTTTGGAAAATGTCAAAGGATTCGAAGAATCTGATTCACGCGATCTGTTGGTCGAGGCTCTCACTACTAATGGATATGAGTTTCAAGAATTGTTGATTACGCCTTTACAGATCGGGATCCCCAACTCTCGAATGCGATACTATTGTCTAGCAAGGAAAAAGGATACTGTCGGGGGCTTTGTTCATCCAGTGTCGGGCACATTGATTGGGTACATTCCATCTATTCATCCTACGTCTACGACTACATCTGATAGGGATCATGACGGTGAAGAAGAAAATAACAAGGGCAACAATAAGGAGCTGAATGAAAGACAGGGAAAAGATTTTGTGGATACGAGAAAACAAGGCGATTTATCTGGATTATCAACATCTATCGCCAAAAAGCAGAGAACCAGTCTGTCAACCTCTATTATCACAAAGGAAAGTGGTAGTGCTAGCAATGACGATGGCAGTGGCAGTGGTAATAGTAGTGGTAATAGTAGTGGTAATGGTAGTCAGGGTCAAAAGCCAGACGAAGATGCTATCTTAGCAGATCCCGAATTATCACTCAAAGTCGACACACTGGAATCGTATATTGAGTTCAAGGATATGGATGATGAACGCATGAAACGGTATATGATTCCAGACAAGACACTTTTAAAATATGGATGGCTGTTTGATATTGTGAAGGAGACGACTCGAAGGAGCTGTTGTTTTACGAAAGGATATTATCACTTTGTTGAATCGACAGGATCAATTTTCCAGATGGCAACAGACAAAGACGTAAGGCATAAAAAAGTTTTTTTTTTTTTTTTTTTTTTTTTTAATCGAATAACTTCCTAATTAACTTTTTTTTTTTTTCTTTTTTTTTTTCTCATATATTTCGGGTTTCAGACGGCTGCCGTGTTCGATGAAGCTCTATTATTAAAGGCCAAGCCCGATTCGACAACACCAGATGAGGACAACGCAAGAGCATTAGCCTTACTTCGTTCGCTTGGTCTACGTTACTTTACTGAGAATGAAGTTGCACGACTGATGGGGTTCCCAATCATGGAAGGTAGATTCTCTTTTCCTGTAACGACATCACTTAAGCAACGATATCGTGTCTTAGGCAACAGTATCAACGTCAAGGTAGTATCGCAATTGATTCAGTACTTGTTGACATCCAAGGATTCTCAGGATAGAAATGAATAATTAAAAACCAGCATCACTTGGATTTTTTTTTTCTCTTTATTATTTATTATCCAAAGCAGTTCTAACAGCCCACAAGTTTATTTAGTGCCATCTTTCTTGACCTGCTCTTGAATGGCACGCAAGAAGCCTTCCACACCTAAAACAAAAAAAAAAAAAAAAAAAAAAAAAAAAAAATCAGCGGAGCAAACTAAGATGCATAAAAAAGAACTTTTTTTGCTGTGCTTGTTGTGGTTAGTGCTGGCATTATTAACAGTAGCCACTTCATACCATCACCAGCGTCTGGACTTAGTCCAAACTGTCTCAGCAACGGACCCAGCTGTCCAGACTCCAATGCTGTGCTCAATGAGACCAATGCCTGGGAGAATTGAGGCGTTCGCACGATGGCTTGAATCTCCTGGGGATTCTTCTCTGAAGACTCGGGTAAATGTGGATAAAGCGATTCACAGATTTGAGGGTTGCTCAACAATGGTGCGATCGATCCTGGTGTCAGTACATGATCTAGACGAAGATTTGATCGTGGTCCTGCAGCTGGAGTTGCACTCTCTGTGCGTAATGTAAATGTGTAAATAGCATTAAAAAAATAAAAATTAATAAATGGATAGCTGACAAATGCACTAAAATATATTACACCCGCGTCTTTGCCAGAGAAGCCGCATAGGTTTTTTTTGTGTTTTGTTTTTGCTCTCAAGGTCTTTGAAACAGAAAAGAAGAGGATTTTTGGAATAAATAGACTTACGAGGGACTTTAAGGCCTCCTAATAAGTGACGTAGAGTATCCATCTGCTGCGATGTCAAAGAAGAACCTCCTGCAGTTGTTGAAGAGGAAACGGGGACTGCAGGTGCAAATGCTGCAGATGGTGCAACTGTTTCTGATGATAATGTCCCAGGTGTTGGTCCTGTTTGTGTTGCTGATGCTGTTGATGCCGTTAATGTTATTCCATAAAAAATATAAAAAAAAAACGATTTTTAGTGTTTGAATATTGCTGTTTGACTTTACCCAACTTGTCTGTCTTTTCTTTTTATGAAAAAAAAAAAAAAAAAAAAAAAAAGGTTCAACTACATACCTTCAACCCCTTCCATCGCAATATCCTCTGCATCCAAATATTGATCTTCGTCTTCATCCTCCTGAGATTGAATCAGATAATTGACTCGTTGAAGAATTAAGTCATCCCTTGATGTATCTGCATCCTGAAGCCAAAAGAACAGTTTTTGTGAAGATGATTTGAACTGAAGCATGATCACACGACCCGTCGTACATTGAGGAACTTTAATCAATTCTGCGTCCCCATGAAAGAGGATTAAATCCTGAAATTTGTTGTTAAGAATAAGACAAAATCAAGAGGATATTTATCAGTTCTCTTTATCCTTATCCTGAGCCTTGGCTTTGGCCTTGTTCAATTTTTTTTTTTTTTTTTTTTTTTTTTTTTTAATGTCATCAAATCCCCAAATCAACAAGAAAATCAGAGTCGCAAAATTACATCCTCTATTGCTCCGGTTGTTCGGTTCTTCCAGTAATAATGCATTAACCCATCATCATCGGCCTGCAAGTAAGCCAGTCTAATATGATTTCACCAAACGTATAAATTAGAAAGTCGGTAGAAAGGAAAAATAAAAGAGCGCTTTTTTTTTTAACCACAAAACGAATTCTCCACTTCGCCTTTGTTTTTTATAGATATAAATATGCATTACCCTTTTGTAGGGTCTGGTTCGACGGTGTTAGTTCCATTGACCCTGAAGCATCGTCCTGCTTTGAATTCCAAGAGGTGGGGCTTCGTTGGTGCTAATGCCATGGTGTAATGTAACAATGTCAATGTCTGTCTTTTTGCAAAAGTAAAAAAAGGATAGAGCAAATTAAGATTTGAGTGCAGTACACTCTTAGCCTTATTACGTCACCGAGGGAGTAATTAGGCGACCAAACTCTGGTAGTGCGCTAGGAAATTTCTACCATTTGAACAATCAAATTTTGATTTTTTTGAACAACCTGAATAAACAGCTCATATGCAACATGCACAAAGACTTCATCAATCCACATGAAACTTTACATGTTTGTTAAAAAGGTCGATAATGTTATTTATTGGGACCTTGTAGATGGTATTGTTAGGTAGTGGAAGTGTTATGTTAATTCAATAGTGGGTATTCCTACCTTCACTTCCAGCCTTTCAGGCTCCTAATCGATTCGAACATATCGAACTCGAATAGGTTCGAATGGTTCGAATAGGAGCACTGGACATGGTAGCAACAAGGCTGGCCAGGCTTTCTTTTGATAAATTATACCACTCTTCAATAAGAGCTCATGTGAGAGCGGGAAGGTCTCTTGGGTCTTTAGCGCGCTTATCGAGTGCATCCGCAAGAAGTGACCATACAAGCTCAATGGGGGTCAAATCTGGGGAACATGAAGGTCAGTCTGGAATCCTCGGAATGCTGTTCTTTTCACGCAAGCTTAGAAGTATGAACTGGAGCATTAACCTCCATGAGGATACCATCCTCTACCTCAACCAGAAATCTGGCTAGCTCGCCTTGATACACATCTTCCACAAAACACCGTCCATCTTTACGACATCTTTCAAATACAATCAACCGAGACTTTCTGGCTGCTGTTAACGCCTCCTAGACCACCAGAGTTGTTCTACCACTCTTGAAAGTGGGTGCGAGGCAATGGTGGTCGTACTTTTTCTCTACTTTACGCCAAACTCCTATTTGATGAAAATGCTCACCAACTTCAAATGATGATTCGTCACTCCAAACTACGCAATTCCAGTCTCCCATAGACCAACCATGTGTTTTTTGACGAACTGCAATCGCCTCTTTATATGCTCTTCTTTTAAGAATGGTTTTTTTACTGCAATCCGGCTGAAAATACCCAGCGAATGCAGTGCCCCGCATCTGTCCTCTCGCACACTTTATTCGGCAATTGGTTGGTGATATCTTTATGAGTACACCTTCTATCTCTCTTAGTATGGCGAATGATGCTCCTGAGGCCCCGTTCACTTAGCACTTTGGGCCGTCCTGAGATCGGAGCGCAAGCGGTGGTACCTCTTTCTCGATGCACCTTGATAATATTATTAGTGGTGGTTCGAGGTACACCGCGCTGCAATGCGTTTTCCGTAGCCTTCATACCCGCGCGGTGCATTCCAACGATGATACCTTTATTTTCGATATCTAAGTGTATCGGCATGGTGGTTTACTCTAGCTGTTTATATGTGGAAAACGGAAAAGAAAGAGATTGAAGAAAAAGTTTCCCATATGTATTTGAACTTTATTTAGTTGACTGGATAGAGGATGTAGTTATGTTTCGAGACAGCGATACGTTCGCAAACAAGAGCATCTCAACGATTTGACGTCCTATCTCGAGAGACCGCATTTTGGTGTACAAGCTTGCAGACGTACTCACCGCTCTGGATATTACACGGCCGCAGTTGACGGTTACCTTCCAGAATCAACTCTACTCTTGGTGGTACAGATTATTACTTGACCGAGATAAAGAACGTTGTGAGAACTAAACGAGATATCACTGACCTTTGGAACTGTGAGTCAGAATAATTCAAGGCTTTAAGTCTAGATTTGGGACAGCCTTTCGTACGTCGGAGAGAGCGCGTTGTTGCCAAGTAATGAGCGCACTAATACGGCGACCCAGACGGTCAAAGTTTTACAACTTGGTTGTCAATCAGAAAGCAGTGCACTAGCCTAGCCTCAAATACCGACATTGAGTGGAGCGGCAGAAGGCGACAACGGTCTACGATTCTGTGTCTACGGATAATTGAACTAACTTCGACCAAGGGATGCTTTCAATTAACTGAACCTGGCACAGACGGCGGTACTTGAGCGTTGGCTGACTCACTATTTCATTGAGGACAAGAAGGGCTAGAAAATGGGTCTATAGAATGGTGTTGATCAGCATCCTACCAAGCTCCAAGTATCAGGTGTCGCAAAGACTCTAGTGAAGAAAAAACATCAACAGAGCATCTGTGATAGAAAAGCCAATATAATCACCAAGCTGATGCTTATTGTATCCCGTGGAAAATTACAGCTTGTCTCGTTTGAGTATGCTAACCTGGCATAAAAGATGCCAATAAACCATTCCTCAATCACTACAAGCTGGTGCATGATCTGAAAGACATATGGACTTATAATATCAAAGCGTTGACAAAAGATGGCTGTGAACTCCCTTTCCTCAAAGGTGTATTGGTTCATGGAGTCCAAGCTACTGCAAGAAAGAGAATGAAACTGTATTATTTGGATTTCAAGCGCTTCTGGCTCCACCTCACAAATCTGATGCAAACATCAAAAAAAAATGAGCCGAATCCTTGGGTCTCTGCGTCCTTAAAAAAAAAAAAAAAAAAAAAAAAAAAAAAAGACGGAAAGGGCAAAAGCTAAAGATCATTTCTCTCTGTGAACTGAATTTAGTTTAGTTGTGTAACAAATAAATCTATGCTTTTTTTCCAAAACGCAAAAACGTAAAAGGTCAAAGGTCAAACTTTTAACTTTTCTTCGATAAGGGTTGTTAGCAGGTCTCGAAGGAAAAACGGGGGGCTTCGAAAAGTGTCTATTGGGATGAAATTACCTCCCTTGAGCCCTATCCTATAACCCCTACCTACCAACACCTGGCCTCACTCTACTCCACTCCACCAGTTTTAGAAGGATCATACATCAGAATAAAAAAAAAACTCAAAACAGACCTGTACTAATTTTTGTTTAATTATTTTTTTTATTTATTTTTTATTTTTTATTTTTTTCAATGAATAGATGACAACTTCGAGATCTTGATCCATGAAGAAAGACTCGAGGTTCGTATGTATATGTACATGCCTTATGAAATAGAGGGAGAAAAAATGAGGATCCCTCTTTCTCTCTTCCTCCTTCCATCATTTCTTGGCTTTTTTTTTATGCTTATTGCTGAGGCTTCATATCCGCAACAGACAGTCTCAGATCTTCAACTGCGAATTCATTCGTATTCTGATTGACACCCTGGCCCGAAACAAGGACTGGCTTGGCCTCCGTAAGTGTCCATACCTGCTGGCCTCCGGTCAACTGGTTAGGAGAGCTGATGGTGACGTTCTTTGGTGTAGCCTTGACAGTATCCGACGCCATCCATTCGAGAAGCTCAGAGGTGGCGGTGCCGCGACCTTTGTGTAAGTGGATGTATGGCTTTGTCTCGAGTGCAGAAGCGTCCAGCCCAGAGACAGATTCAAATTGAATCGAGGTTCTGCCGTCAATCGTAAGAGTATGAGACATCTTGGTTTAAATGAATTAAAGTGAAAATGAAGGGAAAAAGCAAGAGATAAGTTTGGGTTGGTGGTATGAAAAAGTTGGTACAAGAGCTGATCAATTCCTTTCGAAGGCTCGTCTTTATATTGCTGAAAACAAAACGTCAACATTATGTACGTACACTTCGTGAAACAACTGAGTGCTGTGGTGGCTGTGGTTGTAATGGCCCGTTTCATGTACTGTTTACTGGCAGCCTATTAGCTTGCTTGCTTGCAAGTGAATCAGCCACTAATTTAATTCAAAAAAAGCGTATACGTCTGTATCAAACTTTGCTATAAGTGGACTTTCATGGACTAGATACGTTGACTGAATCCTTAAAATCTTCCATTTATTTCGAAAAGAATCACTGCTATGTAAGTCTTACATTATGCTGAAGCTTTTTTTTTTTTGTCAAAAAGAAACGTTGGTGGTCATGATTTTATATACAGTGCAATAAAAAAGATGCGGATGGAGAAAAAGATATTGATCTAGAGAATATAATGAAGCATCATGAACTATAAAAAACAAGAGCACCGATCATAAATCATCAACAAAAGACTTCTATTAAAGATTTGAATATCCTATCCCTTCATGGTACAAAATTAGTTATTCTGGCATGTGAACCTCCGGAAACAATATTTTCCTGTGTACCCGACTAAGTGCAGCTCGATATTGATGTTATTCTCTGTGTAAACTTGGCTGCTGCTGGGTGCCATCCACTCCACAACTTTAAAACTTGCAGGTATTCTAAGTTTGTAAAGCACGGGACTGATTATTAGATGAGGCATCCAAACCTTTGATCGAACCCTTTCCTATGCTTCAGATACTTTTATTATTATTATTATATATTACAGTATTATTAAAGTAATCTGCTGAGAGCGATAGGCCTTAGTAAGATAATGGAAATAAAAGGGTGTGGATGCGTAAACTTTGAAAGAAACATAAGGGAGTTGGAATCGTTTTATTAACATGAATATTCTACTTGCTGTCCAAGCTCGCCCACTACGATTGCTTGTCAAGTAGCTTGTAAAGTGATGTTGCAATGTCTATCATTCGAAAGTTTTTTTTTTTTAGTCTGCATTGACCTCTGTGCAGACCACAATTGGTTCAATCTCTAACCTCCAAACACTCCTTGCCTCATTGCCCACCAATGCCTGCTACTGTTTTTTTCTTTTTTTGGAATAATGAAAAGAGGATAATCTTAGGTTGGTTACGAGCCTAGGGTAACCTCTCACTTCGAAGGCTTGAGAGAAACGCGTCTGCATTCCTAGGGTGATGATATATTTATATATTTATAGAAGGTCTGTTTGGATTGTGACTAGCAAATATTTCCGGCAAAAATATTTGTATTACCACCGATTAGATTACGTTACAACGACGTGAACAATTTTTGCCAGTGATCCACAGACTGTACTCCTCTTTTTCTTGTATACTTTGGTCCACTGTAAAAATCATCAATAGGGAATTATGCTATATGACATCTTATTTTCAAATTTAGGATGCAATCGTTCTCTTTTACAAATAACATTATGATTAATGTTATTATTGTCACTACTATTAAATACTGACTATACTATCTGAGGTGTTCCCGAACAAAAGAGTAGTGAAATTTGGACAGTAAGATTCTGAACCCTGAAAGGCTATTTTAGGAAAAACTATGAGCAGTCAATAAAGTGCTCCTTTCATGTCCTCAAAAAGGAATGATAAGGGATCTCCTATTTATGTCGCTCCAATCTCAAAACATCATACATGGCACCAAACGAGATTGAACAGTATTTTACAACATAAAAGTAATATATATACAAACACTAGTTTTAATTGACCGACCGGTCTATTTTATTACATATTATGCGAATAGGCTGTAGACTAAAAAAAAAGTGACAATCACGTAGATCAGACATCATTTATAAGGCATTCTATTGGTACTTCTTTTTAGATTTCGATCGCGCATGCATTATCCCTCTTCTCACGCCTATTCCTTCTAACGTTATATGTATTCATATTCATTATAACCTGCGCAACTTTTCATCATGCTCACTTTTTAAAAAAAGAGAGAAAGGGAAAACCGCTGTGAGAGCAAGTGTGGAACATCAAGTTGATGTCATAATTGCAAACTGATCAGTATAGGGTCTATGCAGGTCAGTAACGCATTTCAAATGCTATACTGGGGAAGTTTAGTGAGCATTTTATCGCACGGTACTGATGTAAGTATCCATGCACTCATTCCGCAATTTATAGAAAACGTTGACACTTTAGAATAAAAAAATAAAACATTCTGGCTCGCGCTATACGTCGCCATGTCTCATATAAAAATATCTTTGATTACTATGATACTAAATATCGCTATTGAGACTTTGTTCAAACTCAGATTGGCGTCCCAAGATAGGCTCGGGTATTAAGATTAACTTTGACCACAACCCTTACGCGCATGGTACCATGCGATGCACGCAAGCGATAAAGAAATCTGGATAGTTTGTGCAGAAAGAGTGACCATGGATGCTTGCTTTGCTAAAGGGTGGAGTTTATTTCAGGAACAGGGGTGACGTGTGAATCTTTCATAGTGGTGATGCCACACTGATTGCAAATGATTGAGAAAGTAGGTAGGAGGTAGACACCTTGTATATCCTATATAAGGGTAGTAACTTGCCCTTCCCAAAGAGTTTTTTTTTTTTTTTTTTACTCTTCATCATTCACATTACATCTAGCATTTGCCTACCCCCTCCTATCCCCTCGAACTCCAGATCTACCAACATGAGGTCGAAGTTCAACCTTATTCCACTCGCCCTCTTGGCCCTAAGCTTTATCAATGCCGCTCCTATGAGCGTCTTTAGGTCTGACGTCCCACCAGAAGCCCCTAATAGGTCCATTCACGAGAAGCCAATTGATGCCAACAACATCACTGCGCCATACCCTGAAAACAAGGGCTATGTCTCCAATGGTGAGCTTCATGAGGAGCCCCCAAAGCCTCACACTCCTGCCGGCGGTCTCGGGTTGGATGAGCCCCCTGTGTACCATCCACTCTCAGATTTTGACTACCAGTCACTCAGCATTGCTCTTTACACTGAATGGATTGAGCTTGATTTGTTCCGGTACGCGCTAGAGAAGTTCTCGCTCAAAGATTTTGAGGATGCGGGATTGAGCAAGGCTGATCGAGAACTTGTCGCTTACATGGCAGATCAAGAGGTCGGCCACGCTACTAACATCTACAACATGCTCGGCCCTGCTGCGGCCAAGCCCTGCACCTACAAATGGCCGTTCGAGACTGTCAAGGAGTTTGTCCGCTTCAGCAAGTTGGTGACACGTATTGGTGAGGCTGGTGTCATTGGCTTTATCGAACACTTGAATTCGCGTCCATCAGCACAGCTGCTGTTGCAAACAGTTACTACAGAAGCACGTCAGCAGATGGTTTTCCGCCAGTTCGAGGGTCTCTTCCCAATGCCAGTCTGGTTCCAAACCGGTATCACCCAGAGTATGCAATGGACCCTTCAAGTTCCCTACATTGTCTCTTGCCCCGAAATTAATAATAAGCACCCTCTGATCTGGCAAGTCTTCCCTGGATTGTTCATTACCAATAACCCCAACAGCACAGACCCAAGATTTGGCCCTGCAATCTCAACTGACCGCCCACCTTTGAGTGAGGGTGGTCGTGTAGTCGAGTTTGAGTTTGAGAAGCCTGGCAAGAAGATCGGACCTGATGACCAATACACGACTAGCACCAACGCTGGACAGCCCAAGTTTGCTGCATGGATCAGTCAATTGAATGTTACCTACACACCACTGGACGATGTCGAATGGTCGGAGCCTAACGGTGATGAGTTCAAGGTCGGAAAGGCCACTACAAAGCAGCCCTATGTCCCAGAATTGTACCCCGGTCTCACCACTGAGGGTCATCCAATCATCAACGGAACTGTATTTGTTGCACTTGTTGATGAAGATGTCTTTGTCACACCCGCCAATTTGACCGAGTTGAACCAGCATATCGTTGCAGGCCCTGCTCTCTACCAGTCTGGTTAAAAAAAAAAGGAGGGGAAGGAGTCTTCTAGTCCAAAATTGTACAGATTTTATTTCGATAATTAGAACTTTTGCAAAAGTTCCTTTTAATAAAGACGAAAAAACTATTCACAAAAAAGAACACTAGATTTATCAAACATATACGCTCGCTTACTACCCCTATTACTATTTGTAATACTTGCCTAATGTCTTATGTTTCTTCATGTAATGAGGATTTTTTTTTTTTTTTTTTTTTTTTTTAAAAAAAAAATAGAGAGGAATGACTCTTTATAATTGTTCAAAGGAGAAAGAAGCTTTCCAATAGAATGTGTACCTTCTGAAGTAGTACTCTCTACCCTCAAATACATTCGAAAGAGTCAAGAGATGAGAGCATGATCATTTTAAAAAGAGGTTGTGTCAATTACGCACGTGACGTTAGGGTTTGTGGAAAAACAACCCAACAAGTCGTGTCTTTAACTAGTCGTTAGGATTTAAAAGCCATCAACACATCAACATTAACGGCGTATTTATGCTTTGAACTTATTTTTTTTCTTTCTCAAAATAAGGGATGCATTAAAGTAATTCATTTTTTTTCTTTTTCTTTATTAACATAACCATAAACTTCAATAGAGTTTCGTTAGGTTGAGAAGGAGTGGGGAGGTCGTTAAAAATGTTGTTGACATAAGAACATAAAATACAATTGAATAGCATGTAAATGTAAAAGAAATTGATTGGCCTTTTTTTCGTGAAGATATTTTTTGTCTTTTGTTTTTTTTTTTTTTTTTTTTTTTTTTTTTGTCGTTTTCGTTGTAATAAACGAAAGAAGGGGGGGGAAGAGGGAAATTATACACAAATGAACTAATGAACAAGTGAGAAAGTACATGTGGAAGGGAAAGAAAGAAAATAAAAAGAGAGCCAGGGTAGATTAGCGTGCACTAATCATACCCGAAGTGATGGGTCCCTCAGAGTACTTGGGAGCTAATTTTCTCTGTTGCTGCTGTAGCTGTGGTTGAGTTCGTGGCATGGGCGTCCAGGAAACACCTCGGGTCACATCCCACGAGGCCACCTGCTGGCGCTCCCCCATCTGCTGCAGGGACCAGTCTGCATGGTGACGGACAGAGACTCGGTGAGCTACAGCTAGAACAACAGTGTCTTCGTTCTCGTCAGAGTCTTCATCCAATTCAATCCCGTCAAGGTAATTAATTGTCTTTGGACCCTTATATGAAGTAGGAGACATCGGTTTGGTAATCTGCTGTTGCCAGCGGGTATCTTGTTGAAGACGGCGCTCCTCGTATGTAAGGCTATTCTGTCGTCGGCGTTGATATGGCCGCTGCATAGACGACTGTGCCTGGGAGACTGACTTTGATACTGCAGCGGTTGTCTGTTGTTGCTGTTGTTGCTGTTGTTGTTGCTGTTGTTGTTGCTGTTGTTGTTGTGCAGGGGAAGCTCCTGGCAATTGTGGTGCGTGCTGCGCCTGCTGCACCTCTAGCTCAAAACCATCAGACGCATCTTGATAGCCCTGGAGACCCAGGACCATGAGCTCACGTTCCAATTCTTCAAGCTCGCGTCTCTTACGTTCACGGCCTTCATCAGAGTTGGACTCATCATCACTGTCACCACCATCACCGGCGCCAGGGAGGTATGAAGTAGCGTCATAGTTGCTAATGTTGGAGGCATGAATCAGAGGCGAAGGTCGATTCCATGACCAGGAAGGATAGTCATCACTGGTCGAGTCGAGCTGTGGCTGCATTGTCTGTCTTTGTCTCTGTAAAGGACTTGACAGCGTCTTGTTACCACTATTGATATCACTGTTAGGCTTGGTTAGAATACAGCAAGGTTCGCGACAGATTCGTCTTTCGGGATCAATTGTTGAGGCTTTGTCGTTGTCACTGTCTTGGGTATTGACACGATCAGGATGTGGGCGAGGGGAGGAATGGTTAGATGAGATTGGAGACGAAGTGGAAGAAGAGGAACGAGAAGAGGGAATGGAAGAAGGAAAGAATGGAGATGAAGATACAGATGTAAGGAGTTCTGGCTTTGAAGAGTGCAGTGGATGCAAAGGGAAGGAGATGAAGTTATGACGAGTCTTGGCAGATGTAGTCAACGAAGAGGCTGTTGCCATCTGAGCCTGACATTGTTGCTCTATCCGTAGTTGTTGTTGACGAGCCGCCGTTGCAGCTGCATCAATCTGATAGGCGAGCTCTTCGTCTTCAACCATCTGCCACAGGGACTTGATGGTTCTTGCATATTCTTGGGCCTGGAAGATCATCGGTTATCCAATAACAAACGAGAGAAAATAAAAAGCGTAAGAGATTGAGTTTGTTTGTAGCAAAAACAAAAAGAAAGCAAAAAACAAAAAAGAAAAAAAAAGAAAAAAAGAGAGCAAAAAGGAACAAGGAGGTGTACAATGACGATATCAAGAATAATCGGAAAGAGGACCAAGAAACAAAAGAAAAAGCGGGACGAAGAAAGAGAAAGTGAGAGAGATGGATCATGAACATGGCTCTAGCGTACACAGCTTCGAGCACTGTTTTCTTCAAAAGTGGTGGAAGATGAAACAGAAAGATCCACCCACCGATCCAACAGAATCCCTTTTGCCTGCACCCCTCTTCTCCCCTTTCTCCTTCCCTCACCCATCCTTCCTTCCCCACCCCCCTTTTTTCCCTTTTGCCTCTTTTCTTCCATGGTTCCTCTTCTCCCTTTGACCCTCCTATCCTTCCACGTCCCACTTCAATCCCTTGCTTTGCTTCCTTGTCTGTGATAGTCCAGGGTGACACAAAGTGTACAATTGTTTTTGCGCGCGCTTTCTACCTGGCCCCCCTTTCTCTCGACAAAAGTTACCTCCTCCCAATGTGGAAAGAAAAAAAAAATGTGCATGTGCATGCAGCGCTTTGAACTTACGAACCTGTGAACCGTGTCCCCTGCAACACTCACCCATAAGGCTCTTTTTTTTATTTTTTATTTTTCCTTCGCCCCCAAGATTCCCCCCTCTGCTTTCTCCCTCTTCTCCTGCACATTGACGAACACATACAAACTTGAGGTTGCTTCCCTCTCTGTACCTATATCCCCGATCACCTCCTTCCCTTATTTCCGAGCTACTAAATAAGTCGAACAGAGTCAGTTGCCACAAATTCCTACCTGTTATCTCCTCTACTAGCCAGTAGTTATTCACACCCACATATCGTCATTATGCTTCTTATCGTGTTTGATCGTCATCATAGTCATCGTCACCGGACACTCACTCACTCGCTTTCTTTCTGTCAACACCCCTGGTTTCCTTTTCTCCTTCAATCGCAATCAAACATGAACGTAAATATAAACATCAAAAGTACACCCTTTTTCTGCAATTTTGCCAGTAAACCTTCCAGACCAAAGTAAATTACGAAATCAACAATATAACCCACACAGCTTTAAATAAATTCAAATTTCAACCTTCCTATGCCATGCCACATCATGAATGGCAGTATCGCAATCCCTCCAAAAGTTGCACATCTCCCCCCCTCTTCTTTCTTTTTGTATTTCCCATCCCTTTATATTACTCAGATAATATGAATGCAAATAATGCAAATTATCATAGTCTATCGTCTAATAGTCAAAAATGAGAGGGCAAAGAAAAAAAAAAAAAAAAAAAAAAAAAAAGATAAAAATATAAAATATATGCTTACCACAGTCTCTACAACAGGAATGGGTTCTGTTGTTGAATGATCTTGATGAGGATGGAATCGTGTTGAAAGACCTCTGAGTAACCTATATCCGATCATAGAGCTTGATCTTGAAGTTGAAGCCGAAGATGCTGTTACACCTCCTCTTATGAAATATTTATTCGAGTCGGGCTTTAATAATGACTGTTGTTGCTGAAGTCTTTCTTTTTCTTTTTCTTTTGCTTTTAATCGTTGTTGCTGTTGTTGAATTTGCTGTTGTTGCCGTTGGAGACTAGAGATGGCAAGACTTCCTCGGATCTGCAAGGGAGCTTGTTGACCAGGGATTTTAATCGAGATCGGTGGCATCGGTGGACTTTTCCGATAATGGGAATTCATTTCTGTAAACAGCTCCATTGGTTCTACAAACCGCTGTTGTTCATATTGCTGTTTATATTGAAGTTGGGATTGATACTCTATTTGTTGATGTGGTGGCAATGAGTGATGAAACACTTGTCTCTCATTTGGAAACGTTGTAGATATTGGTTGAGTGTCAGCTGACATGAAGAGGCTGTTATTATTATTGGTGTAGATGTAATTGTAGTTGTAGTTGTAATTGTTATAGCTGTTATAGTTACGTGCAAAAGAAGAAGTAGGTGATGGAGAGGAAGTAGTTGTAGTAGGATAAAAAGTGGAATTCATTGATTTTCTAGTTGCTGTTGAATTTGGTGTTGCAGTTGCAGTAACTGCAGTTGTTTTTGTTGTAGCTTTTACGCTCTCTATTAGAGACTCGCTATTGAACATTTCGGTGTTGTTTTCAGTGGTATCAGTGGTGGTGTTCACAGGTGGATTCAAGGAGGTGGTTGGAAATGAAGGGGAAGAAGGAAAAGAACAAGTGGAGAAATAGTGTGGCATGGCTTTAGATGCTGTGGTCATATAGGCTGATTGTTGTGGATCTTCAAGAACTGGACCAGTCCCTGACTCTGACCCTGACCCTGACCCTGACCCTGACCCTGACCCTGACCCTGACCCTGACCCTGATCCTGACCGTGATTCTGACCCTAAACAAGAGCGGGAATGGGAATGAGGATGAGGATGAGAATAGCTCAAAGAGGGGGAGTCAGAAGTGGCAGAGGCCGAGGCTGAAGATGGAGGCGAAAGTGTGGATGCAGCAGGCGAGGGAGATGAGATGGATGGGGCGGAATATGTAGATGAATGCTGAGGATGTCGTTTCTGTTGGTTCTTGTGTTGTTTCTTAGACTTGAACCAAGTCCTTGCTCTGATGATAGTTGACATTTTTTTTTGTTTGTTTGTGTATTATTTGATCCGAGAGGGTATGAAGATGTACGGGAAGGTAGAAAAAGACGGAGAGACGGTAAGAAGGACAATAAACAGTAAAAAAGAAAAATAAAATGCTATCAAGGAATTAAAAAAAAGGAAAAGGAAAGAGAGAAAGAAAGAGGAATATTTAAAGGAATTGATAGTTGATGAATAGCTTAGAAGAGAAAGGAAAAAAGAAAAAAAGAGAGGAGACAAAAGAGAAATAAAAAAGATGAAACGTCTGCGGAAAATTCAAGTAATACAAGGATATGCATTTGACAAAAATATTTATATAAATATATATAATACATTCAAATATTCAAAACATGCAAAACATGCACAGAAGTACAGCATTTCTCCATAGTCCACACTTCATGACCAATGGTCAATGGCTATTGATCAGTCTTGTAATTCCTATCCCGACAGAGGTGAATAAAAAAAGTAAAGATGGAGATCAGGAAAAAAAACACAGAGCGAGCTCAATGGATTCTGCTTTGCTCTTTTGCATTCGCATTCGTATGCATGTACCCTTTTGCAAGTTTGATCTATCATCGTCCCTTCTCCTCGATGATTTACTTATTTTTTTCCTAACTCTCTATTGATTTTAGACATGTTACTGATAAGGAAACTATTGTTAAAGTAGTGATGATGGATGTTTAATGCTGATCATCATGACCCATAGACAACAGCAAGAAGTGACCCTGTTCTTGCTTCCCCCCCCCCCCTTCTTCACCCCCTTTTTTTCGCAACGTCCCTTTGTTTCAAAGTCTGTGTCCTACTTTTGTGTTTTTGTGTTCACACATTTTGGATGTGTTACATAGTGTCTGTGCAAAAAAGAGATTGAGTTTTTTTTGAATAAGAGGAATGTATTTGGATGGGCTGGGTTGGACTGGCTCTGGTTATTTTTTTTTTTTTGCATTGCATTGCCCAAGCGTACTGCATTGAAAATGAAAATGTTTATTTGTGAAATGTATTTTATATATCTTTGGTAAATAAATAAATGCGTATACGTATTTTAAAATATGTATATTTATATGACTACTGTACATGTGAGGGATTTGAATGCGATCGTTCGGTCCTTTGGCATGCATAATGAGGCATTGGTTTTTGTCTTTTTTGTATTTCGTTGTATATTTGTTCTTGTACTTGATCATCCCACAGCAATTTTTTTATTTTTTATTTTTTATTTTTTATTCACCTGTGCTTAGCAAACAGTAAAAGAGAGCAAAATGAAAAAAAAAAAAAAAAAAGAACAGCATGCATTTATAATAAAAAATAATGATGGTATCGGGCATTAGGGGAGGACAGGATGACTATGGTGATGCTGATGAGACTTTTGAGAAACGTGGACAGGCTGACTAGGTAATGGAGGTATATATCTACAAAAAGGACAGGTTAGGGCTAAAAAAAGAAAAGAGGCTCACCGAACTGAACTGAGGTAAGTAAAATCGGTTTATTCACCTATCCAATCGGATATTGAAAGAATTAACTGTAGACGGCAGTAGCGAATTTAGAAATAACAACAACAGTAACAATTAGAAAGATCTTTTGTAGGATAGCATACTCAAACAATGCAAAAAAAAACGGAGTAACAATAGAAGTAACAAAAAAAAAAAAAAAAAAAAAAAAAAAATCGTGCTCAGTTACGCCTTGGAGAGAAACAGATTAAGAGATGCGATGCTTCCACTAAAATAAGCTTTACAACGGTCAACGCTTTGTTCATCTAACCAATCCTTTTTTAAGAAGGGTACGAATAAACCGGAACAAATAAAATAATAATAACAATAATACTTATAACAATATTTGGATCAAAACAAATAAACAAGAAAAATCGCGACATTGCAACGAATGTCATTTATCCGCTATAGTGGTTCAATGGCAATGGTACAACAGTAGAGCAAACAAATAGGAAACTATACATTAACTCCCCCCTGAACTACTCCGTTCTGTCTATCCATTGGTCTAAAACCATCTCCTCCATCTCCATCTCTTGTCGCCTTTTATCTCTTTTAGTCGTAAATATATATGTTTAAATATGTATAGTATATGCTATGGATAATGTTGAATGTAGTTTTTGTCTATATCTCCACTTCTATTTTTCATATCCTTCGCGTCCAATTTGCTAGTCTAATCTTGTAGTCCATACTTTTGCACTTTCTAAATAAATCAGATCTCTCCCAGCTCCGATCAACACTGTTCATGTATCCTTGCTCTAGTTTCAACGCTAATATACTGTATATACAAATTATGAAGACTGTGTATAAATGGAAAGGTATACACAGTACACACAATTATATGAATGTTTATAAAGGCTAAATGCTTAGGGTATGTAGACATTTAAGTGTACTGCGTATATGTAAAAATGTACAGGAAAATGTAAACATGTAAATACGAGCTGCGCTCTGAAAACATTTGGTCTCAACAGCCCATCATAATTACCATTAGATATCATATACTGTATATCCATTCATCTCTTTCCTCCAATGTCCTTGCTGATTTTGATCGACTTGTTCTTCTCTTTCTCTTTGTCTCTCTTCCTGTGCCTCAAATTATAATGATCTTTTCTCCTTACTAGGATATTGCATTACTAGGTCAAAAAAAAAAAAAAAAAAAAAAAGAACTGCGGCTTACTTGTGCACTACTGTGCATCATGTTCAGGACATGCAAATGTATAAATATGGAAGACAATCAGTCCACACATGCAAACATATAAGGAAGGGTTTTCCACACAGGCATGTATCTTTTTATATGGTTCATTGCTCCTCTATTTGACAAACATATACTTTGTGGAGAGTATATATGCTACATGCCAAAGTTTGAATATATTTCTTGGTTGATACAAAGAAATTAAAAATGAAAAAAGTTTAAAAAGATCGATCGAACCTCTATTGAACAAAAAAATAAGTCAGAACAAACATGCCAATGCGCCTTTTTTTTTTTTAATTTTAATTTCCCGCCTTTCTCCTTTTCTTTAAATGCTTAGTTTTTTTTTTTTCTTTGCATTGTTTGGTTAAAGTTTATTTATTCTAATATACATGTATGGTCGAATAGTTCTGAATCCTATTCTCCATGTGGCAAGAAATATTAAAAAAAAAAAAAAAAAAAAAAAAAAAATAGAAAAAAAAGAGAAAAAAAGAGAAAAAAAAAACTTGTTCAGTCTTCATCGCTACTGGTGATGCCACCTTCATCATCATTGATGAACTGTCCTCCAGCCACCGTCTCCGTGTACGCGTTCAAAGAGATAGGTCCTCTAGGCTTGACAGGTTCGGTTGACGTCGGCTTGTCCTCCTATATAGACATAATGGACAAAAAAAAAAAAAAAAAAAAAAAAAAAAATTAGAAACGCATGCCTCAGGTAGTGACTCAGATCCGTAATCCAACTAACCGTAAAAAGCAATATTTTTTTTTGGTGTTAAACTCACCTTGATATTCTCTTCAAGGAAATTGACGAGATCCTCTTCCTCACTTAATGCATCTGTTGGTGAACTTGGGTTCTTTTGCCTTTGTTGTTGTTGTTGTTGTTGTTGTTGTTGTTGCTGTTGCTGTTGCTGTTGCTGTTGCTGTTGCTGTTGCTGTAGTAGCTGCTGTTGCTGCTGTTGTTTCAGCAAGCGTTCTTGTGGAGACACAAGAGTTGGCAAATTCAGTTTCCCTGTCCCAGTTCTTGGTGTATTTCCTACCGAAGCACTAGGTTTTGGCATCCGTGTTGCACTTGGCAGCTTTGGTGTTGAATTCAATGACACCGAGCCAGTTACAGGCCCTCCTACTCCCATCCCTACTCCTACTCCTCCGCCAAAATTTGCGTCACCAACAGGTGTTGACAGACCAAGACCAATTGCTCCACGATGTTGTGGCTGCACAGGTCCTCCTGCTCTAGGTACTCGTGGGCGTTTATTCCTTCGGTCATCTCCTGAATCTGAATCCGATCCGGAGCCAGAACCTGAACCAGAATCCGATCCTGATCCTGAACTCGAACTTCCTGAAGAGCTACCGGAACTAGATCCAGAGCCAGAACCAGACGACGATGACCCTGAATCTGAATCACTTCCAGATGTCGAAACCTTACGTTGTCGAGGCGGCTTTGCTAACCCTGCTGACATTGCAGACAGTGATATGGGCTGAGCTGGTGATGATGCACCTGCTATAGATGCCGGCTTTGCTGCTGCTGCATTGGCATTGGCATTAACACGAGCAGATGGTGGTGGTGGCATGTTGACACGCGGCCGTCCTTTTGGTTTGCCAGTGGAGGTAGGCTTTGTGGCACCGGGTGTTGATATTGATGTTGTAGCTGGCCTGTTTGGTGCAGCTGGAAGTGTTGGTAAAGGCACAGATGTTGGAACCGCTGGGATTACAGGTGTGACTTCCTCCATTTCCTCGTCTTCATCATCACCTTCATCACCATCATTCATATCCTCGTCACCAATATCATTCATCGCATTTTCAATGTCCATCAACATGTCGAGCGTATCATCATCTGGATCCTGATCTGCATCGCCGCCTGTCGGTACTGCCGGTGCAGATGCTGTTGTTGCTGATCCTATGCCCTCATTATTTTGAGCAGCTGAACGATTCAAAGAAGTTGCAGGGGTCGATATTGTAGGGGCAACCGCTGTAGACTTTTGAACACCTGCACGTGGCTTTATGGTATTTGTACTATTGTTGCTGTCTATTCGTCCATTACTCTGTTTGTTATTCAACACGGGGGTTGTCACTGTGGGAGTAATCACTGGAGATGATACCGCAGTTGCGGTATTGGTACTATTGGGCAAATGAATCATCTGAGGCTTGGCTCCGCCACCACCTCTGCGGTGGAGGAAGGAGAATGCGGCGTGTTGCCTTTCTAATGTGAATGTCTAGTAGCATCATACCATAAAAATTAAAAAAAGGGTGATTTTGACAATTACTCGTATTCTCCGTTGATTGTCTTACGGCGCTTGATATCAACGCCAAAAGATCAACCCACAGATAAAAATATAAATCTTAATTTTTTCTTTTTTTACCTGAGTCTCCTCATCAAAAATTAATAAACAATCGACAGCACGCCCCGGTCGTTCTGCAGGAGAAGTCCATGCAATTGTCTCACTTCCCACACTACCTACGCCATTTACAGTCGTGTGATCTGCATTAGGTCCTCCCCCGGCACCATTACCACCTCCATTATTGCCTGCAAACTCAAGTTCAAATCCTTCACCGTTCCCGATCAATACTCCAGGTTTAGATTTATCTACGGATTCGGGTGTAAAATTATCTATATAAAAAAAACAATTATTGGCTTCTTTTTTAGATCTCTATGAAAACAAATCATTCATTACAATATTTTAAAAAGGCTTTTTTTTTTATTTTAAGGAGGGAATGTCTTACATTTGAACTGAAAGAACTCATTACTGTTACCATCACCATTACGATTGCTCAAAGAAGCGCCTCGATGAACCGTATAAACCCCCTTTGGATTCCAACCAACCATGGAGAGAGAAAATCAACTTTTGCAATGAATTATTTGGAAACAAAAAAATAATAAAGAAAAAAAAAAAAAAAGTAATAATAATAAAATAAAAAAAAATAATAAAATGAAAAAATAAGCGATGTATAATGGTAAAATAAACGCAAAGAATTTCTTTAATGTGCGTAATGTTTATAATGCGTGCACGGATGGAAGAAAAAGGAGAAAGAGAGAGGAGGAGAGGAATGTGAATGTACGAGTGTGAAAGTATGTGTGAGAAAGATGTTCATGAAGCAATTAATAGATGAGAAAGTAATTCTTGTGTCTGTGTCCCTTGATATGTGGTGGTGTTTGGGTCTTCCAATAAATGAAAGACAATGGAGTTACCATGTCTATTAAGGGTAATCATATCATAGGCCCCATCACGTGGGGCTTTTATCCAGCGATTTTGTGAACAAAAGCACGTGTGGGTTTATTTATTCAATATGCTGGTTCAGCAGCCTACTTGACCAAGTGCTCTGCTACCCCAGACCCCAGACATCATTCACCATTTATTCTAAAATCTCGAGCATCAATAAAAGATTGATTACACACAGCTACAGAATGGATAATACACATTCAAACACATATCAATTTTGTATATGCACATGCCTAAAATAAGATGCCTTCATTGCTTTCTCACGAAAAAAAACCCCTTGGATAAGGTTGCATATTTCGTCTAATTGCATATTCGATCACACGTACGAACGTACATGTACAAAAGGAAATGCCACTATGCTGCGATCCACACTGTTCTCATTTATCTTCCATTTTTTTAAGTGAAGTTTCTTCGCAGTATTACAGATCCATAAAACAAAAACAGAAACAACCCTGTCTTCTCCTCCCAACAAATCCACCAGGCGTCTGCAAGCAATACGGTCGCAAGTCAGCCCAGTCTCACCGGCCATGAATCGCGGTATGGTGATTATGCCCTAGGCGACATTGAGCAATATATGGAGATTGATAAGTTACTCCAAGAGGAACAAGCTGTCTTTGCGGCTCCCATCAGTGACGAAGACTTGCTGAATAGCTCCTGTCCAAGCACAAGAGCCTCGTGTTGAGAAGGAAAGTAATCGCTAATCAGCTAACAAAAATAAGAATAATCGAAACAAACGATTTTCTGCCTAGAAAACCGATCAAAGAATCGGCGCGACCCACTACTGGTACCTATCAGTGCAACCGCTGTGGTGAAAGAGACAGCGAGTCGTAAGCGTTTTCACGAGGTTGTCAACGGCATCATCGAGATGGAGACATTTTATGCCGGCAAAACAGTCTATTGTCAATACTGTTGCTATGTGATGGCAGAGCTTCTCCTCCTGACGTAGGCGAGAACAAGCCTTTTAGAAAATATGCATATAGAGAAACATGCGGATGATTTTTTAGATAATACAATAAATACTACTACAGCACTAAACGCCTCTCCTAAGCAGCTGATTGATGAGTCCGAAAAAGAATCGTCCACCACAGATCAAAGGGGTGGAATTAACCTATTTGACAACTCGGGCTGTCAAATAGTAAAATATTGACAACACTGAGCCCGGTGTTATTTGACAACCCTTTTTTTTATTGACAAGGATCCTCAAAGCTGTTATTTGACACTCCACTTCGTCCTCTAATTCTATAGTGTTCATTATCATTTGAAGATTAATGAATACTCAGTGGCCGGTAAGATATGACGGTAATAATCCTAGGCAAGGACGAGTTTAAGGCATAAAGAAAGAAAAAGAAAAAAGAGAGAGGACGGAGGAGGCTGTAGCCACAGCCATGACAATGGAGCGTTGCCACCATTTTAGAATCGCAAATTTGTCCCAGCCGGGAAAGTTTCTCCAAAAGTGCAGGACAGTGAAAGGTTGTCATGTGACAAGTTGAAGACCTGGGTTTGTGTGGTTGCGCTCGTAGCAGAAATAATTCATGTGGTGCAAAGTAAGCGGGTGGAACCATGATACCGAATTCTTTTACTTCGTTTTTTTCCAGCTCGATCATGCTCAACTCATATTATCACATGGTCAGGTAGTAAGTACCATTTGGGCCACTCCTTCAATGACCTTCTCCATGACACAGTCAGCTATGAGGCAAGAAGTCATAGACAATGAATGAAAAAAACTATCATAGCACTTTAATGTTGAAGAATGGGCCAGCCAAGCTTGTCACTCTCTTTACTTCCTTAAGCCCTCGATAAAACAAGTTATGCAAGGTGACACACTAATAGAAATTATTCTTTTTCCATTCTTTCATTCCTTCGTTGACTCGTCTCAATTATTCTTTCATTTTTTCTCACACATAAACTTCTTACTCCATGCGCACACACGCACCCGACAAACGTTTATTTCCGATCCTCATCTTCGTCATGTTTTTTTTTGCCAACTGTTACACTACAATGAAGCGCTCAGAATTTACGCGTGGCGAAGCCATAATTTGCAGACGCGTCCACACATCCCTTTTTAATATGCGCTCAACCTAGCCAATCGCGATAGAATCACGGTAGGCTCATCAAGGCTTTGTACTGAATTTATTATGAGTAAGGGCCACAGGCCTTAGATATGTCATTGACCTTGTAGCTTGTACATGCACAGTTTCAGCACTACATTTACTTTAACAAGGGTCAGCTTGCTTCAGTCCAGAACATGCTCTGTCCTTAGTCCGTGGCTATCCAGAGTACCTTGCAGTTTCCAACATCCTATTCATTTAAGGGCATCTGCAAGGGCTTATTCTTCTAAAGTTGATATTAACGTTAGTATCACCATCTTCAAAGTAGAGTAACATTAGTTTTATTTCATAAATAATAGCAACATGACTACTTGAAGCAACACTACTCTGCTTGCTTGCGCTAATTAGAAAAAGAAGAAGAAGAAAGACGATCTTTAGAGCTATTTGTACTTCGATATTAGGTGCATGGTAAATAGAATAAAAGGAATAAAGGTAGTAAGAATAACAAACAGGTAATCGCAATGGGTTTTGGCTCAGAATGCATTGTCTCATCATCCCCAGTCCTATGCCATTTGGTCGCGAATATGTTTTTCCCCGATAATTGTGTAGCTGCAAGCGGTATTTGCCAAAGTTATATGAGGTTACAATATGTACTGGGTTTGAGCTAGCAATTATATACGGCTAAAACATATTCGTGGCAAATAGCGAGGCTTATGGTCAGAGTGACGGTAACTGCGGGTTATCCGTCTGGTATTCATCATTTTAGAGCCCAATGCTAGACCTAAAGAATGAAAAAGTTAAAGGGGTTTAAAAATAAAAAATAAAATTAAAGAAAAAAAAGAGAGAAAAGAAAAGAAAAGAAAAAGAAAAACAAAAGAAAAAGAAAAAAAAAACAAAAGAAAAACAAAAGAAAAACAAAAGAAAAACAAAAGAAAAACAAAAGAAAAAACAAAAGAAAAACAAAAATAAATAATAAAAGAATAATAAAAGAGAAAATAAAAAAATAAAAAAAACCAGGTGGGGCCTTGCTCAGAATGCATTGTCTCATCATCCCCAGTCCTATGTCATTTGGTCGCGAGTATGTTTTTCCCCGGTAATTGTGTAGCTGCAAGCGGTATTTGCCAAAGTTATATGAGGCTATAATATGTACTGGGTTTGAGCTAGCAATTATATGCGGCTAAAACATATTCGTGGCAAACGGCGAGGCTTATGGTCAGAGTGACGGCAACTGCGGGTTACCCGTCTGTGTATTCATCATTTAGAGCCCAACGCTAGTCCTAAAGAATAAAAGATAAGGGGAGAACTGAAGGATAAAAAAGTTAAAATAAAAAAAAATAAAAGAGCCAAGTGGCCCTTGCTCAGAACGCGTTTTCTCATCATTCCAGCCCTATGCCATTTGACCATGAGTATGTTTTCCCCCAATAAATGCGTAGCTGCAAGCGGTATTTGCCAAAGTTATATAAGGCTACAATATATACTGGGTTTGAGCTAGCAACTATATGCGGCTAAAATATATTCGTGGCAAATGGTAAAGGTGCTGGTCAGAATAAGGGAGGAGTAAGCATCCAACCCTCTTTGCATTCATCATGTTATATAGCTCTGCACAATCCGCCGACAAAGTTCTAACGGACACAAAGCGCATAAGGAGTAGAGGCTGTCGTAAAATCAACACTCTTGAAGTGAACACAGAATGCGAGTGAGAGAGCGAATAAAATAATAAAGTAAAATAAAATAAAAAAAAAAAGAATCTCAATAATACTTTTCTTTTCGACTTAGCTTTGGGCCTTGAATAGAGTTGGCTCCTGCTCCTGTGGATGGGAAAAGGTGGAGTGCGTTGGGAGAGAAAAAGAAAGAAGAAAAGAGAAAAAGGAAAAAAAAAAAAGCTTTTTATGCACCTTTTTTTGGTGGCGAAACAAGGTCATAAGTCATGTGAAATCCTTTGAACGCAAATATTCGCGTCATCTTTACTTTTTAATTTTATTTCTTAAGCTTTTTTCAAAAAAGCAAATCCTAGTACTCCTTTCTTACCTTACTCAGCTCACCACTGAACCACAGTCAACAATAGCTTGCCTAGCCAACAAGCTCTGGAACGCGATCTTCTATCTACCACTTTATCGCACAATCGAGCTGTGCCGTATTTATTGTACTTGTTCAAATTCGACATATTATTTTTGATCCTTCAGTGCGAAGCAAAGATTAAAATATGCTATTTCTTCATTGCGAGAAAAGCCAGGGCCAGGAGCGAGAGCAGGACCAGGATCTCTGGGCATACATGCACTCACTTGTGAAATAACCCAACACGCCCAACCCTTTTAAATATGTTTCTATTATGAAGGAACTTCGACCATGCTAAAGCCAAGAGGAGGACTTCATAATAATGCTTCCAATGGGACCACCTCGCTTCAGGCACCCGTACGCCTTTATGGCCACATCAAATCGAATATGTCGCTTCTTCGTAACAAAAAAGAGAAACCTGGCTCCGTTGGCTGTCATCGCTAGCATGGTTGGTCGTCATAGCATGTTTGCAGGAATGAGCCTCCTCCAACATTCCTTGTACCGCCATCAGCAATTCTATACAAAAACCAGTAGGTAGCAGCAAAGTGCTGGCTTTAAATCCGACATCATCTCTATCTCCAGAGTCAACAAGCGAGGCTAGATAAATGGAACATCAGCAAGGACTGATGTAACAGTGAAGCATCCGAAACATCCTTGTATCTGACTGAGGAGCAGGTTCAGGGGCAGGTCTATATTTGATAATGTTTTGTAAGGCTATACGTGGGTCGATAGTTGTCCTTGCCTAGATTTGACGAAGCAAGGCAACACTGCATAGCATATAAATATGTAAGTTATAGCAATCCTTTATGTTGCGAGCAAGCTATTTTATTTTACTTTTTACCAAAAAAAAAAAAAAAAAAAAAAAAAGCATCAAGGAAATTGAGCTCCTAAAAAAACCTTCAAAGGAGATTGTAGATCAACATGGACTCTTTTAACAGAAAGGAATATTAACACTGAGTCAGGATACACGTGGTTGTCATTCAGGACATAAAGAGCTTCGTGGTGCCCACCAATGTTATTTTAAATATTGAAAGAGATAAAACTATTATGGATGAATTTAAGTAGCGTAGTGTTATAAATCCTTGAATAATCGGCCCCTGCGTTTAGCTCAGGTTTTGAGCTTTATTGTAAAGATAAATTCGAAAGGCAATGGTTATTTATTCTTATAAATGCCAAAAAGTAGCGTTAATATTTCAGTTACTATTATATATGCAAATAAAGTATTGTGTATTGGAGAAGACGTTCCATCCCTAGTCCACCTTGTAGCATCCGTTTGATTGTTTTTTTTTGTCAATGTGTAAACTAGATCTGTTACTATTACAAAATGAAGCTTGAAACCCCTCTTTATCCTCTTCTACAAAACCAAGCACATGCTGTCGGTGTGTTTGCTGAAGCTTCGACTCCATTTTCGTTGTAGTTTCTTGCATAACTGATGCTTGAGTCTAATTAGCCTATTAGTGGTTAATTTACAGTCATCGTGCTCTTTGACCTTTTAAGTCCCCCAACCATCGGTGCCAATGTGAAATAACATTTGCAGCCAATGGTGATGATACAATTCAGCCATTAATATATCCTCTGGTGCGAGACGCGTATTCAAGCCATGGGAGTAGAATCAAGAAGAAGTTTGCTGATCAATGATGCTTTAGTCTTTTTTATATTTTTATACCTTTTTATTAATGTAGCTGCTAGGTGAGAATAGCACTCTGGATGCTACAAACGCTTACCTGTAGAACACATATGAGATGACCTGGTTAAATATGAGTCCTATTTGAGACGAGTATTTATAGCTGCTCCAGTTCTTGTTATGCATGTTGTTGTGATGGAATGGTCGAAATAGAGTTTGATCATTCTGCAAGAGGCTGTTGCTTTGATGGTTTGAATGCACATGTTTCAATTTGGTGGCGCACTTGCCAAGACAAGACAAACGAGACAAGACAACGAGCTCGATACACAGTTCTGCAGGTCTAAGAAAGTGGGCAGAAAAAGGAGATCCCCAGACAAGCACAGCATGCTGGCCTTGCGACAAAGACTTGGACTCTAGAGAAAGGACAATAAAAGCTGAGGCTTTCTCATTATGAAGTCACCATTGCCATATAAACATGACGATGCCAGAAAGATCTTTTTTTATTTCCATTTTGACTCCCATAATGAATAGTAGAGTGTTGATGAGTAATTGTGCATAAATAAATAACAAAAAGGCACCAGACTCTTCGCCTGCCTGCCGCGAAGCAGACAACCCAGGGCGCACCACGTGGAGGTGGTCTGGTTGCGTGCCCCCCGGGCCATAAACCCTAGAGCAGTCTACCGACACGCCCGTCGCAGGGCCCAACCCGCCATCCAACCTACAGCGTCCTGCAGGCTGCAAATGGAGTCCGTTGGACATTGCCTAGTGCTCTCGAGCGCACTAATCCAATGCTTTGGAGGCCGTTAGAGATTCAAAAGAGGGAGGAAAGAGAGGTCTTTTTATACATTGTCAGGACCTAGCGACTTGCTTTCTTTTCATTTTTCACCAACCTTTGACATGTCGATCGATTGTGGAACCTTTTTTCCATATGAAAAGCGCTTCGCAATTTGAGGTTTTTTCATCTTTTTTCAAGAAATTGCAGTCCTATTTCCCTCTAATGCTATTGAATGAAAATGCATTTAGTTTCTCTTCATCCTCTGAGATATCTAATAAGCATCCATATGGCTACAATCCCATCTGCCTTTGACAATCAACAGCATCCTGGTTCTTTTTATTTTTATTTGGCGTGGTCTGTGCTCTCATACCAACAGAGTTTGTTTGTTTGCTTGTTTTGGTAAGATTGCAAGACAACAAAGAGAGCAGAGAGTGGGCGGAGTGGGTGAATATATTTTACTGCACTTTGACACAGAGATGTAGATGTGCGTAGTCGCAACCTTAAACAAAACTATCCCGAGAAACACATTGTCTTGCCTGTCTTACTGCTTTGAGGAACTGCATTGTCAGGATTGTCAGGATTGTCAGGATTGTCAGGATTGTCAGGGTGGTCGGGATTGTCAGGATTGTTAGGATTATTAGGATTGTACCATGTTTATTAGATATTTCACACCGTCAAGCCATATTTGATTATACAACTCACAACAATTGACTGCGGATGAAAAGAAAAAAGAAAAAAATTACATACCAAGTTGCCTATCCACTTCTCGTCTAACATTGGTGGCAAAAGAAAACAAAGCACTAAACCCAGGTCTAACCTTCCTGAACCTTCTTCACCATCATTGCTAAATGTTTAATTAGCATGCAATTGCTATTTGTTCACTCCTGTCTCATTGCATTGATTGTAGAAAAAGAAAATAATCCTTTATGTATTTTTGTTTTTGTTCATGAGACTTTGGACTAAGGAGTATCATATTATGGGTCCGCTGCAATAATGCTCTGTAAAGCTGAATGGGCTTTATCGCTTCTTTCTTCACTTCTTGGTCTTACTTAGTCACTTCTCTTCAGCTTCTCTCTCGCTTCTTGACCTGTCTCTCTTAACCACCTCTCTCTTCACTCCTTGCACACCGCCTCTCCACAACCAATCCGCGACGAGTCCCAGTAAGGCACCTCCGCTACCAAAGTGGCTTCTTCATAAGTTTGTATACTATACTACACTCTATATTTATAATCGCAAGGCCTTATTGTCAATGCCAGAACCAAATATCAAAGTATCCATGAATCCTACAGCTATCTCTCATATCTCTGTTCATATCCCTTACTCCTGGGACACCGGAGCAGCTGCACCGAATTATTGACAGACATTTCGATCGAACCAGGGCTTTTGAACAGCGTCGCGATGACAATTCTATCGGATACCCTAACTTCAACCCTATCGTTCATTCCGAAGGAAATGACGAACTTTCTGAAGTAGCTAACGCATCTGAATGAGTTCCTGTTAGCAAATTTATCACACGCTTCGGACATCCCAAGACATGCAAATGAAGTCCCATCATCATCTGCAAGTAGTTCGATTCCGGAGAACAGAATTTCTCCAACATACTAAGGACGGTGGCAGCAGCAGCTATTAAGTATTTAATGGACCTACGGTTGACATGCGTCAAGGTGTAAATGATCTTGAAGAGGAGGGGTGCTGATGTCATTTTTTTTTTTTTTTTTTTTTTTTCAATTAGATTTACTGAGCCAGCGTAGAGGACAGATTGTTGGCTAGGGACTTCAGATTGTCAGTTCAAGTAAGCTCCTCGAGCTCGCTTTTTGCACCTTCAACGACAATTCCTGCTATGGTTTCAGAGAAATTGCCAGATCCATTGTGAAGCCCTTCGGATTTAATCGCAAGGCCCAGATCCTGACTATGGAGTCAGGCCTTTGTTTTTGTAAAAGCTCTGGATACTTCTTCGATGTTCTGATTATCCGAACTGAACACATCTAACAGGAGCTGAGCCAATGGTTATTCGTTTATTTCCATCACATTAAGTATCTCGAGCAGGTGTAATCATCCTTTGGACGACACGTAAAAAGAGCTACGTCGATATTAATCAACTCCTCCTGCTACTTAGGTGTAACAGCTTCAGCAGGCACTGGCACTCCCGTTGCTGTGTGTTTTTTCTAGCGCTCATCCTTTGTATTCTAGAAGTAAGGGATATGAACAGAGATATGAGAGATAGCTGTAGGATTCATGGATACTTTGATATTTGGTTCTGGCATTGACAATAAGGCCTTGCGATTATAAATATAGAGTGTAGTATAGTATACAAACTTATGAAGAAGCCACTTTGGTAGCGGAGGTGCCTTACTGGGACTCGTCGCGGATTGGTTGTGGAGAGGCGGTGTGCAAGGAGTGAAGAGAGAGGTGGTTAAGAGAGACAGGTCAAGAAGCGAGAGAGAAGCTGAAGAGAAGTGACTAAGTAAGACCAAGAAGTGAAGAAAGAAGCGATAAAGCCCATTCAGCTTTACAGAGCATTATTGCAGCGGATCCATAATATGATACTCCTTAGTCCAAAGTCTCATGAACAAAAACAAAAATACATAAAGGATTATTTTCTTTTTCTACAATCAATGCAATGAGACAGGAGTGAACAAATAGCAATTGCATGCTAATTAAACATTTAGCAATGATGGTGAAGAAGGTTCAGGAAGGTTAGACCTGGGTTTAGTGCTTTGTTTTCTTTTGCCACCAATGTTAGACGAGAAGTGGATAGGCAACTTGGTATGTAATTTTTTTCTTTTTTCTTTTCATCCGCAGTCAATTGTTGTGAGTTGTATAATCAAATATGGCTTGACGGTGTGAAATATCTAATAAACATGGTACAATCCTAATAATCCTAACAATCCTGACAATCCCGACCACCCTGACAATCCTGACAATCCTGACAATCCTGACAATCCTGACAATGCAGTTCCTCAAAGCAGTAAGACAGGCAAGACAATGTGTTTCTCGGGATAGTTTTGTTTAAGGTTGCGACTACGCACATCTACATCTCTGTGTCAAAGTGCAGTAAAATATATTCACCCACTCCGCCCACTCTCTGCTCTCTTTGTTGTCTTGCAATCTTACCAAAACAAGCAAACAAACAAACTCTGTTGGTATGAGAGCACAGACCACGCCAAATAAAAATAAAAAGAACCAGGATGCTGTTGATTGTCAAAGGCAGATGGGATTGTAGCCATATGGATGCTTATTAGATATCTCAGAGGATGAAGAGAAACTAAATGCATTTTCATTCAATAGCATTAGAGGGAAATAGGACTGCAATTTCTTGAAAAAAGATGAAAAAACCTCAAATTGCGAAGCGCTTTTCATATGGAAAAAAGGTTCCACAATCGATCGACATGTCAAAGGTTGGTGAAAAATGAAAAGAAAGCAAGTCGCTAGGTCCTGACAATGTATAAAAAGACCTCTCTTTCCTCCCTCTTTTGAATCTCTAACGGCCTCCAAAGCATTGGATTAGTGCGCTCGAGAGCACTAGGCAATGTCCAACGGACTCCATTTGCAGCCTGCAGGACGCTGTAGGTTGGATGGCGGGTTGGGCCCTGCGACGGGCGTGTCGGTAGACTGCTCTAGGGTTTATGGCCCGGGGGGCACGCAACCAGACCACCTCCACGTGGTGCGCCCTGGGTTGTCTGCTTCGCGGCAGGCAGGCGAAGAGTCTGGTGCCTTTTTGTTATTTATTTATGCACAATTACTCATCAACACTCTACTATTCATTATGGGAGTCAAAATGGAAATAAAAAAAGATCTTTCTGGCATCGTCATGTTTATATGGCAATGGTGACTTCATAATGAGAAAGCCTCAGCTTTTATTGTCCTTTCTCTAGAGTCCAAGTCTTTGTCGCAAGGCCAGCATGCTGTGCTTGTCTGGGGATCTCCTTTTTCTGCCCACTTTCTTAGACCTGCAGAACTGTGTATCGAGCTCGTTGTCTTGTCTCGTTTGTCTTGTCTTGGCAAGTGCGCCACCAAATTGAAACATGTGCATTCAAACCATCAAAGCAACAGCCTCTTGCAGAATGATCAAACTCTATTTCGACCATTCCATCACAACAACATGCATAACAAGAACTGGAGCAGCTATAAATACTCGTCTCAAATAGGACTCATATTTAACCAGGTCATCTCATATGTGTTCTACAGGTAAGCGTTTGTAGCATCCAGAGTGCTATTCTCACCTAGCAGCTACATTAATAAAAAGGTATAAAAATATAAAAAAGACTAAAGCATCATTGATCAGCAAACTTCTTCTTGATTCTACTCCCATGGCTTGAATACGCGTCTCGCACCAGAGGATATATTAATGGCTGAATTGTATCATCACCATTGGCTGCAAATGTTATTTCACATTGGCACCGATGGTTGGGGGACTTAAAAGGTCAAAGAGCACGATGACTGTAAATTAACCACTAATAGGCTAATTAGACTCAAGCATCAGTTATGCAAGAAACTACAACGAAAATGGAGTCGAAGCTTCAGCAAACACACCGACAGCATGTGCTTGGTTTTGTAGAAGAGGATAAAGAGGGGTTTCAAGCTTCATTTTGTAATAGTAACAGATCTAGTTTACACATTGACAAAAAAAAACAATCAAACGGATGCTACAAGGTGGACTAGGGATGGAACGTCTTCTCCAATACACAATACTTTATTTGCATATATAATAGTAACTGAAATATTAACGCTACTTTTTGGCATTTATAAGAATAAATAACCATTGCCTTTCGAATTTATCTTTACAATAAAGCTCAAAACCTGAGCTAAACGCAGGGGCCGATTATTCAAGGATTTATAACACTACGCTACTTAAATTCATCCATAATAGTTTTATCTCTTTCAATATTTAAAATAACATTGGTGGGCACCACGAAGCTCTTTATGTCCTGAATGACAACCACGTGTATCCTGACTCAGTGTTAATATTCCTTTCTGTTAAAAGAGTCCATGTTGATCTACAATCTCCTTTGAAGGTTTTTTTAGGAGCTCAATTTCCTTGATGCTTTTTTTTTTTTTTTTTTTTTTTTTTGGTAAAAAGTAAAATAAAATAGCTTGCTCGCAACATAAAGGATTGCTATAACTTACATATTTATATGCTATGCAGTGTTGCCTTGCTTCGTCAAATCTAGGCAAGGACAACTATCGACCCACGTATAGCCTTACAAAACATTATCAAATATAGACCTGCCCCTGAACCTGCTCCTCAGTCAGATACAAGGATGTTTCGGATGCTTCACTGTTACATCAGTCCTTGCTGATGTTCCATTTATCTAGCCTCGCTTGTTGACTCTGGAGATAGAGATGATGTCGGATTTAAAGCCAGCACTTTGCTGCTACCTACTGGTTTTTGTATAGAATTGCTGATGGCGGTACAAGGAATGTTGGAGGAGGCTCATTCCTGCAAACATGCTATGACGACCAACCATGCTAGCGATGACAGCCAACGGAGCCAGGTTTCTCTTTTTTGTTACGAAGAAGCGACATATTCGATTTGATGTGGCCATAAAGGCGTACGGGTGCCTGAAGCGAGGTGGTCCCATTGGAAGCATTATTATGAAGTCCTCCTCTTGGCTTTAGCATGGTCGAAGTTCCTTCATAATAGAAACATATTTAAAAGGGTTGGGCGTGTTGGGTTATTTCACAAGTGAGTGCATGTATGCCCAGAGATCCTGGTCCTGCTCTCGCTCCTGGCCCTGGCTTTTCTCGCAATGAAGAAATAGCATATTTTAATCTTTGCTTCGCACTGAAGGATCAAAAATAATATGTCGAATTTGAACAAGTACAATAAATACGGCACAGCTCGATTGTGCGATAAAGTGGTAGATAGAAGATCGCGTTCCAGAGCTTGTTGGCTAGGCAAGCTATTGTTGACTGTGGTTCAGTGGTGAGCTGAGTAAGGTAAGAAAGGAGTACTAGGATTTGCTTTTTTGAAAAAAGCTTAAGAAATAAAATTAAAAAGTAAAGATGACGCGAATATTTGCGTTCAAAGGATTTCACATGACTTATGACCTTGTTTCGCCACCAAAAAAAGGTGCATAAAAAGCTTTTTTTTTTTTCCTTTTTCTCTTTTCTTCTTTCTTTTTCTCTCCCAACGCACTCCACCTTTTCCCATCCACAGGAGCAGGAGCCAACTCTATTCAAGGCCCAAAGCTAAGTCGAAAAGAAAAGTATTATTGAGATTCTTTTTTTTTTTATTTTATTTTACTTTATTATTTTATTCGCTCTCTCACTCGCATTCTGTGTTCACTTCAAGAGTGTTGATTTTACGACAGCCTCTACTCCTTATGCGCTTTGTGTCCGTTAGAACTTTGTCGGCGGATTGTGCAGAGCTATATAACATGATGAATGCAAAGAGGGTTGGATGCTTACTCCTCCCTTATTCTGACCAGCACCTTTACCATTTGCCACGAATATATTTTAGCCGCATATAGTTGCTAGCTCAAACCCAGTATATATTGTAGCCTTATATAACTTTGGCAAATACCGCTTGCAGCTACGCATTTATTGGGGGAAAACATACTCATGGTCAAATGGCATAGGGCTGGAATGATGAGAAAACGCGTTCTGAGCAAGGGCCACTTGGCTCTTTTATTTTTTTTTATTTTAACTTTTTTATCCTTCAGTTCTCCCCTTATCTTTTATTCTTTAGGACTAGCGTTGGGCTCTAAATGATGAATACACAGACGGGTAACCCGCAGTTGCCGTCACTCTGACCATAAGCCTCGCCGTTTGCCACGAATATGTTTTAGCCGCATATAATTGCTAGCTCAAACCCAGTACATATTATAGCCTCATATAACTTTGGCAAATACCGCTTGCAGCTACACAATTACCGGGGAAAAACATACTCGCGACCAAATGACATAGGACTGGGGATGATGAGACAATGCATTCTGAGCAAGGCCCCACCTGGTTTTTTTTATTTTTTTATTTTCTCTTTTATTATTCTTTTATTATTTATTTTTGTTTTTCTTTTGTTTTTTCTTTTGTTTTTCTTTTGTTTTTCTTTTGTTTTTCTTTTGTTTTTCTTTTGTTTTTTTTTTCTTTTTCTTTTGTTTTTCTTTTTCTTTTCTTTTCTTTTCTCTCTTTTTTTTCTTTAATTTTATTTTTTATTTTTAAACCCCTTTAACTTTTTCATTCTTTAGGTCTAGCATTGGGCTCTAAAATGATGAATACCAGACGGATAACCCGCAGTTACCGTCACTCTGACCATAAGCCTCGCTATTTGCCACGAATATGTTTTAGCCGTATATAATTGCTAGCTCAAACCCAGTACATATTGTAACCTCATATAACTTTGGCAAATACCGCTTGCAGCTACACAATTATCAGGGAAAAACATATTCGCGACCAAATGGCATAGGACTGGGGATGATGAGACAATGCATTCTGAGCCAAAACCCATTGCGATTACCTGTTTGTTATTCTTACTACCTTTATTCCTTTTATTCTATTTACCATGCACCTAATATCGAAGTACAAATAGCTCTAAAGATCGTCTTTCTTCTTCTTCTTTTTCTAATTAGCGCAAGCAAGCAGAGTAGTGTTGCTTCAAGTAGTCATGTTGCTATTATTTATGAAATAAAACTAATGTTACTCTACTTTGAAGATGGTGATACTAACGTTAATATCAACTTTAGAAGAATAAGCCCTTGCAGATGCCCTTAAATGAATAGGATGTTGGAAACTGCAAGGTACTCTGGATAGCCACGGACTAAGGACAGAGCATGTTCTGGACTGAAGCAAGCTGACCCTTGTTAAAGTAAATGTAGTGCTGAAACTGTGCATGTACAAGCTACAAGGTCAATGACATATCTAAGGCCTGTGGCCCTTACTCATAATAAATTCAGTACAAAGCCTTGATGAGCCTACCGTGATTCTATCGCGATTGGCTAGGTTGAGCACATATTAAAAAGGGATGTGTGGACGCGTCTGCAAATTATGGCTTCGCCACGCGTAAATTCTGAGCGCTTCATTGTAGTGTAACAGTTGGCAAATTGAGTGAATATCCCACACGAAACCTCACATCCGCTTGTTATACAAATCTCGCTTCATGACGGCGCGAGACTTGTTCTAGTCCGCCAAACCCCGTACCCTAATAGTGCCATTTCTATTCAGGATCGACAGTGGGATCGAACCATAATATTTAATAGAGTACTACCCCCCAGCAATTCTTCACATGCCGGCGGCTAGTCTGGATCTGGTTCTACAGCGGCCCCAGTTGGCAAGGCGCTCCTGTGTTTAGATGGGCTAAGGATAGTATGTCTGCAATTGCCTTGTGAAACGTCTTAGATCTTTTGCAACCCGCTGGTGGATCAAAGTTGAGTGGAAGGCTTTAAAAAGTATATCCTCCTCCTCCAACGATGTTGAACAGAGGAGAAGCTCTCCAGGTCCCATTGGCTTGTTTTGGTTGATGGTGAATGAAAGGATGGTTGGGGCACACTGCGGGAGCATGTCCTCGGATCTATCGTCACTTGGGTATCGATCCACACTAAAGGTCGAGTTTAATCGTAATATTGAGAATACAAGGTTGGCGGATCGAGGGGTAGAAGACATGCCTATTGTACTCGATCCATGTTCAAAGCGACTTTAAAGTCAGGGTCAATGGAGATTTAGCTTGCAAAAAAAAAAAAAAAAAAAAAAAAGATTTCGCTTCCTCCGTTAAAATAAGGAAGGCTCTTGAGGACGACTAGAAGGATTGCCTGATAGAGATATAGTAGCCAAGCTGGTCATCATACCTTGAGGACACGTTTGCAGAACAGGCTCATTCCTAACCTTCCTCCCTCTCCCTCTTTCGTCTCTATTACCTACTTTTCCCTTCTTTCCTTAGACTTTATATAACAGTGAGTTGCGTATTGAGGGATTTGCGGCAGAAATGACTCATTTCGTTACTAATGCAAAAAAAAAGAAGAAAAAAAAAAAAGAGTGTACAGATTTTAAAGTTGTCACTCTTTAGATGCATGTCACGGGAAAGATGTCTGGCAAACGATATACAAATCCCTTTCCACAATTGCAAAGTGTCCACAAAACCTGTTGTCGAATTCTTCACACATAAACAAATTGTGCTTTTTTCACAAACTAACTGAGAACGGTATTAACCGAATTATTTATACTTGCTATTATGATCAGAACCAGGTAAACGTCCGAACAGACCTATAGAAATACAATCCAAAAACGAAGCATCTGTGCCAGAAACACAAATAATCAGAGGGTCAAGCTTGTCGCTCTTTTTGGCTAGACACCTTCAAATATAAATGGTTTACTTAACAAAATTCTTATAATTGAGAAGGACTAACCAAAAAGTGCGACAAGCTTGACCCTCTGCGTTTTTCTCTCCTGGTCTAAAATTAGAAATTAAGTTTGCCGCACAAAATTAATGGACTTACAAGACTTCGACAGCTAGATTATCGCAAATAGTAAAATAGCCTATTGCTGGATGTATATCGATTATAGAAAAATGGATGAGGTATCGGGGATATAAGGCTTTGGTACTTACATAGTAAGGATGTTTTGATCTTAATCCTTAAAGTATTTATGGAATTATTGCCGTTTAAAGGTTATAAAATGGTCGAAATGAGGTTCAATGTCAAGCCAAGGTGTCTGCCTTTCCCTCAAAAATACGTCAAAGTGCTCTTCCACACAGTATATGATAGATACGTTACATCGCTTTGTATAGAGTCTTAGTTTTCCAAAATCCAAGCATTTTCCATAGACTTTACTTATAGCTGAAGAGAGAAATATATATCATTTTTTAGTGATTTTCTGGCTTTATTCATTAAGGAACTTCAGATTCCTTTATAAGAACACGTATGGTCCCTTAGTACATTATATTATGCACTACATATTCTTACTTTTTGGAAAGTTTGATAAGTTTTGGAGATATTCTGATGGTTCTACAATATTTTGTCTAAAAGCTGGACAATTTCCATAGAAGCCTTGACTTCAAGATGCTCTAGTTCTCAAGCCTTTAAATATAAACATTTTCAATTATTAACCCAAAAATACAATTTCCTGTTTTGAAAGATATGTTTTCGGTTGCTTTATCGACTTTAGAAGCTTTAGCACGTTTGGAGCCGAAATGAGGGACTTTACTATAGAGTATCTGGTTTTCTATGGATCCTGAGAACGCGGATATGCATATATGAAGCACTCAGGCATTTTGGGAGATGAATCCCGTAAGTGCATATTAGTATTATTTCCATCCCCGCCCCGAGCGCCCATTTTTTTTTTTTTTTTGAGAGCACATGGAAGTGATACTAGACATTCATAAATAAACATGCACTGATACTAACACAAGAATTGACATTCACAAACAAACATGCACTGATACTAACTTAAAAACTGGCCCGCACAAATCCTATGTAAAATGATACTAAAATCTTGTTTTCATGATACTAAATTATGGCCCGCACAAATCCCATGCAAAATAAATTGCAGGTCTGAGATAATATGACTCTTGCAAATGCATGGAGGCATCCCATTTCTAGACGCCTCGACCGAGATTTCTGTTTATTCTCTTCTTTCACTTCCACTTCCTTTCTTTTACTCACTACTTCCCCGCACTTCTTTCTACCTCTGCCTTCAATGAGTTACTCACCTTCGGGCGAAGAAGCCGACTTCTGTCGCGAGCGATCAAATACTCATTCCACACCATCCTTGCCACAATGCGGATCTCATGCTCCACCCTCTCGTCAAGAGAATCCTCCACCAGTTCATTCTAGGAGCGAATCGAAACCATCATATCCAAAGCTACCACCTTCACATTATCCCCCGCCACATTATCCACCGCCACATCATTATCTACCACCACATTGTCCACCACCACATTGTCCGCCGCCGCATTGTCAACTATTACATTACCCATCGCCACATTGTCAACTATTACATTACCCACAGCCACATTGTCAACTATTACATTACCCACCGCCACATTTGCCACCGTACAACATTTCCTCGCAGTCTCCATATCATATGCTTCAGCCTTCGTTTTCATACGTCCCACACCTACATGCATACATGCCCTATCCATACAATCCTATCCAATACCCGATCCGGTACCCGTGCTCGCTTCCCAGCTGCCCTCATCGCCTGCCGCCATCCGAGACACTTCATCAAGGGCTAGCGTCCCTATACTCAACAGCGGCTAATATGCTTTCGCATTTTGTACCGCCAGGCGTGGACGTCAATACAGAGGCTTTGCCATCCGAACAAAAGGCTGCGGAGAATAGGCACCCTATATCCGACCCTTCGCAGTATAATCTGAAAACACCGCTCTCACCCCCGCTTTCACCATTTTTGCCTCGACGTTCTCTAGACAAGTCAAAAGCATCTCATCATTCTAGGGTCTCAGCTTCCCTTTCACCATTGTTGCCTTCACGATCTCTAGACAAGTCAAAGGCATCCTGCCGTCCTAGAAGTAGATATCCCTCAAAGGTTTAAATATAGTCCTCGTGTATGTATTGGAAGAGATATATAATAAAAAGTAGATTCTTATTAAACACACCTGTATTGTCGGTGCTCAATAGAACGCCTTCCCCAATGTCACATCATCTTTCGAATTTCCAAATGGGGAGGTTGCGTACGAGACAAACCTCAACATCGTCACCAGTGGCAACAACCAAGTTATAGCGTCTACTTCGGATAGCGAAGATGGCGAAAGCACTTTGGGAGCGTGCAGTAATCGTCGACGCAAGCCAGGATGTGGGTCCGGGTGGTCCATGCTGGTATACAATAACCGCAAGCAAAAAAAAAAAAAACAAAATAACTTTCATGAAGCGGTGCCTTGGGGTCTACAAGTGTTCGGTAGACAGCTGCGGGTATCTGGAAAGGCCTAAGCTCCCTACAAGCAAAAGTATAGACGCGCTCCCTCCGCCTCCAAAGGTTCCATGCAAAACACACAGGCAGCAACTGATTCATACTCCATGCCAGGCAAAAATTGATATAGAGCGCATTGGCAATGTTGAAAGAGCCCAGGATCATGGATACCACTATCATCAGCCTCCACCATCGAACAAGCCGACTGGAGAGGCAATGGCAGAGTTTGAAAAAATGGTGAAGATGGCATCAGAGGCGGAGCCTAAGAAGTTGTTGATTGGCACGAAGACCCGAAAGCCTGTCACGGAGATCCATAGCGCTTTTGCTAACCTTAGTCGTACTGCGTACCACAGAAAGAAAATTCTAGATGGCTTTAAGTGATCCTGGACTATCACCTCTTTGGCAGCATTCGACCGAGATTATAAGATGATGGGCCCCATCAGCTTATTGGAGAATGAAGCTCATATTATTATTCAGGCGGAATTCATGAAGGAAATGCTCCAAAACATGAATATTTGTATGCAGACCGACTCCATCGAATCATTTGTCCATGACGAACACTACGCGAATATCAATATCACGTTCAGCAGCGCATTCAATTTTGTGATCAATAGGACGGTGCCAGTCGTGATGTCAATGCTATTTGGGAAAACACAAAAGCATTCCATTTTTTGGCAATGTTTAAATACTTACCTTTCAAGGGATTCGATGAATTTACTGAGGGATTGCCCGGAATGGTCTGTGACTTCAGTGAAGCAGAACGCGCAGGGTTTGAGCTTGCTGTCCGGGAATATTTTAGGCTCGATGATGATCACGAGATACAGATGGAGAACTTCTACAGGTTCTGTGAGGTCCATTTCCGTCGGTCCTTAATGAGGGTGCAGAGGAATTCTGCAGTTGTCCCGCCTTCAGAAGAGTTAGTTTTTAACCGCAAATGCCTAGATCTCCTCGACAAGCACACGCCAGAAAAGTTCCATGAACTTATTCAGGATTTGGTGGAATCTTTCCCAAGGACAAAAAAGTGGATTGATTGGTATATGAATCCAAACAGAGCAAAGTGTATTTTCCAATCTCTTTCTAATGTCGACATCTCGACATTTTCAAAGGATACAAATGCCCAAGAGAGTTTGGGAGGAGATTTTAAGCGCCACTCACCAACTAAAAAGGGCATGAGTGTCGGGGATACGTATAAATACGCCTGCCGCTACCTAAGTCTCATCGAACGCGATATTAAACAAGCCTTGAAGGGATCGACGCTAAGATACCATCGCATTAAGTGTCCTGAAAAGAGAAAAAAAGTGGACCGAAGCAACGATGGTCGCGCGCCAGATTGCAACAAGACACTGTTCCCAGAGATATTTAAGCAGCAGCGTCGAGCAGGTCGTCCTAAAGGAAGTAGGAACAAAGCCCGCAAGCTAACGATCGACGAAGAATGGGAAGACCTCGCAATACCATGGCAGATCCAATATAAGGGCTTCAAGGCAACCAATACATGTTCGTTAGACGCTCCTCTTATGCTTTGGGTATTATTACGTAGGTTTTCTGGCATGCGATACTCAGCAGCTACCTTAGCGACCTCCCAAGGGAGCCTACTGGAAGATGTCGTTAACCTAGTAGTATCACAAAAACATGCCAAGGCAAGATGGATGTGGTGCAACAAAGCTTTGAGATTAACACCAGAAGGTGACCATGATTTATGGGGCTCTGTTGAGGGCAGCTTCACTGATCATTTACGAGGCTTGACCGCATTCAAGCCTATTTTCAACTCGACGTGTTCTGAAGTGGGATGTCCCAATCGAAATTTGAAAGAGACACAAAGTGCTTCTTATTTTGTCATGAGGAGCCATGCAAGGCAAATTAAACAAGAAGGCGTTGACATGTCAACTAAGAAAGAAGACACTTCTTGTTCTTTGCCACTGCAGGCTCAGGGATCCCACAAGCGGATGCTTTCACTTAACCTCGAAGATGGAACGTTGGAACCTCTGGAAGTCTGCAGCGGCACGCGGGTGTATTCCCGAATGGAGGTTACTGAATGGCCACTGCTACTCATTATCGACTGCCTTCAGGCGTGGCACACCTCTACAGGTTTTCAACCAACTCAAGTATGGTACCTGAGATCCCACAACTAATTAGCTGGCAACAAAACAGATGGGGATGATGTCTCTAGTAGTCCCAGTGTTACTAGTGCAGACAAGTCGGAGGACAGTTCAACTGAGAGTCAAAGCCCGGAGGAGGATTCAAGCGAGGGCCATGGAGGTTCCAAGGGTGATTCAGGCGAGGGCCATGGAAGTTTCAAGGGGGATTCAAGTGAGAGCCAAGAAAGCTGCAGGGAGGATTCAAGTGAGAGTGAAGAAAGCTCCAGTGAAGATTCTAAGCAACCACGGCAATCACGACAAAACTATCCATTCAGTATCTCCACCAACGTTGTTTCCAATAAGGGAAAGTTGCCAACATGTGAAGGCTGCAATAGCCAGTTGGAAAGACAAGCTAAGAGATTATTAGTCAAGGTCCCAAGCAACGTCAAGAGAGGGTGGAGTGTTACAAGGTCTTATCACTTTCTCCGGGCCTGCCTCACAAAGCTACCTCAAGAGCAGTACGACGAGGCCATGCGACAACTGCGAGTACGAACAACACGAGCACAGCATCTGTAGAGACAAGAGTTAATTGGAAGACAATAGCGTTACTAGTGATCTTAAATTTCTGTTTTCATGATACCAAGTTATGTTCTCTTTACATGGGATTTGTGCGGGCCAGCTTAAGCGATGGTATCATTGCATGTTTATTTGTGAATGTCAAATTCTTGTGTTAGTATCAAGTGCATGTTTGTTTGTGTCTCTCCAGCCAATGGCCTTTCAGTTATTTTATGTACGTACTGTACAATGCTAATTTTCTGTCATTTTATATAGTATGCAGTATCAGTATGCGATACTGGTACTGAAATACTAAAATCAATACGATTTAAAAAAAAAAAAAAAAAAAAAAAAAAAAAAAAGCAGCATTGGAGCCTATTCAAGTTTTCTGAGAAAAAAAGGGAAACGAAGTCTTAAATAAAATAGAGGTGCCGTGAGAAAAAAAAAAAAAATCGCTGGATACGATTAATATGTTGTCACTGTTGAAATAAAATCTAGGTCTTAACGACCAACTATCCTATCAAAAAACTTCGTCTCTATCCTTTGTCGAATGCCATTCCAATAACGATTCCCACGGCTTTGCTAAACTTTATCTTTATCTGATAAAGCTTGATGCGATGATTCGATTAAAACTTTTCTTCTAACTATCATCTTGTTCATCTATAATGGTTTTATTATTATTATTATTATTATTATTTTATTTTTATTTTTTTTCCTTCTTTTTATCTTTTGTCTTATGCATCGAGCTTTTTAAAGCGATCATATTCTTGGAAGGAACTGACATCTCGTCCAAAGACCCAAGTCATGAACCAATACATCGGAATCAGCATTTTGTTTCGCATTGACACGCTCATGGTCAAATAGGATGATCTCCAAAAGACCCAAGCCAATCGTCCTGATTCCTTGGCATTGTCATTGACCTTGGTCATGTCCACCACAGCTTCCCAATTACCGATATAGGCCATCGATCCTCTATTCTTGAACGAAAACGGTTGAACCACTTCTTCTAATGATTTCTCTGGGTTCTTTGCTAGTTTGTTGAGCGATTTTCTTAAATAATTAGCCTGTTGGTTAGCCACTTGAGCCGTCTGTGGGAGCTCATGATCTATAGTAAAGGGTAAAAGGAAGGAAGGAAGGAAGGAAAAAAAAAAAAAAAAAAAAAAAAAAGTTAGAAAGAAATGGAAATAGTTATACACTTTGTTCATCCTTTCTCGGTTGACAAATCTTTTTTTTTTTTTTTTTTTTTTTTGTTGAGGATACCTTTGATGGTTGCACAATCGCCCAGAGCATAAACATTGGGAATGACCTTGCCATTTGGATCTAGGACTCTCAAGTAACCGTCCGTCAAGATCCTCTTGTTTTTCGATTTGAGTACTTTTCCTTCCAAGGATGCTGTCAAGGGATTCTCTGTCAAGCCTGTAGACCAAACCAAACACCCAAATGGAACCTCCTTACCGTCCTTCAAAATCAATTTCCCATCCTCGACTTTCTCAACCACTGTTCCAGTTCGAACTTCAATTCCAGATCGTTTGAACTTGTTCATACAATATTGAGCCAGGGATTTGTCAAAGCTGGCCAAGATGGTAGGGGCCACATCATAGACAGCCAAGGTCACATGGTTCATCAAATCAGGAAACAATCGTGAACAATCCTCTCGAATGAAATCATGTAGCTCTGAAGAGAATTCTACCCCGGTGGGTCCACCTCCGACAACAGCAAAATGTAATAATCCATTCCTTTCCTCATCCGATCGAGACATCTCTGCTCGTTCAAAACATTCCAAGACCCGCGCCCGGATCTTGCGGGCGTCTGCTACCTCCTTTAAGAAATAGGCATGTTCCTTAACACCGGGGATATTGAACGTGTTGGAATAGGATCCAACTGCAAGGATCAGGTGATCGTAATCCAATGTGAACTTGTTGGTATCCTCTAGTGTTTCAGTGGGAGATTTGTGAATATAGGTCCTGGGTACCTTGGGTAGGTTTAGTGTGCAGTCCACTTTGCTCTTTTCGAAATCAATGGCATCACTCCATGCTTGATGGTATTCCACATCCCGGTAACCTCGGACAGGTTCTGTGATACATCGGAATTCAAGTGTGCCTACAGATGTACTGGCTAACAATGGTGTGAACACGAAATGGTTCCTAAAGATCGGAAAATAAAATAAAAAGAAAGGTAAATAAATATTAAGGGAGAAGAACATTCAGGGGGAGCATCCAAGGGGAAGAATCCAAGCTCTGTTTTTTTTTTTTTTTTTTTTTTTTTTTTTTTTTACCTGGGTGACACAGCCACGACATCATATGATTTCTTGTCCATATCACGTAGCAATTTGAATCCGCCCCATCCGGATCCCAATATCATGAGACGACCTGCATTTTTTTTTTTTTTTTTTTGTTTTAAAAAAAAAAAAAAAAGATATGACAGTGGATTGTGAATAGAGAGTAGATCATAAAAGATGTTTTATGTTTAGCGTCTTTTATTCACAGTCACCGTTTCACGTAATGTTGACGACGATCAAAGAAATGTCTGCATTTGTTCGTTTTTTTTTTGTTTTTTACCCTGACACTTTCCAACTGATTTAATGCCGCGGAGTTGTTGTTGTTGATATGGCGAAGATAGAGAAAAGATTGAAGATGAAAATGAAGAGGGCATAGATTGGGTTTTGGCTTTAGATTTGGATAAAGCTGATGTCAGTGAGAGGGTAGAGGGAAATGAAGAGAAATGATGGATTTGCTGTTGTTGATGACTCTTGGGAATTGAAGTCATCATTCCTCCTCCTGTTAATCTTCCTTTTGCTGCCAGACTAGAAGTCATGCTCAAGAGGCCTTTTGTAGAAGCACCAGATCGGGTAGCATGCTTCAGCGATGGTAGTATCCATGCAGTTTGACGCGAATCTTTTTAAAGAAGGTATTAAAAAAAAAAAGTTTTGTAAGATGACCAGAGCTAATGATTCTTTTTTTTTTTTTTTTTTTTTTTTTTAGCCTCATAAAGCTATGTTTGATCACGTAAAAAAAAAAAAAAAAAAAAAAAGTGATTGCTTACATGGAAATGGCATTATATTTTATTCTTGTGAATGTGAGAGAGTTGAGAAGGAAAACAATTGGATAGCGAGTAAAAAAAAGAGGAAAGAGAAAAAAGTTGTTTGAGCACCTTTTATAATCTTTTTTTTTTTTTTTTTTTTTTTGATCGGACGTACAAAGTCATGTTGTCATTATCGCGTTACACAGCAAGGCATTTTCATGGAGACGAAAACAAGGGTCGTGCGTATCATTTTTATTTTTTTTTATCCCTCTCTCACTCATTTCATTTATCCCTCACCCTATTTTTTTTTTTTTTTTTTTTTACATTCCCTTTTCATTTCCATTCTCGTCTTCCAACGGAAAAAAAAGCTTAGGACATTCAAAGTCCCCTCCGTCCTGTTCAATCAGAATACTTTTAATTCGTTTATTTTAATTAAATAACCATACCATACAGCCTTCTTTGTCCTTCCCCCCCCCTCCCCCGTTGTTGTCCTGTTATTCCTCCTGCTCCGTTCCTTGCCATGCCCTCTCCGAAACCTCTTTACTTTTTCGGAACACCCGTGGAAAAATATATAAATACACGTATAAATTTTAAAAAATGACTCGTCAATGGAATGGAATGAAGACCTGCTGCGCGTTGCTCTAGGAATGCACAGCAATTTTATGTCTCCGACTCAAAAAGAAAAGTCCAAAGTGTCACCACACCCCATTTTCTTTTTTTTTTTTTTTTTAACCAATAAATTGGCCAACTTGCTGTCCTATAAACATGTGTCTCTGCGTCATCACAAGCAAATCCACGTGGTCTTCTCTTACTAACTGCCACATCCACCTTTAGTCCTTTGCTCTTTGCTCTTAGCTCTGAATTATCATTACAATACGAGACATTGCCGAGCAGAACAAAAAACCAAGCAGCTCATCAGCCCATAAAACAAATTCCAATACCCGTTCTAAAAGTGAAAATTTATTTCTCTATGAAAACGGCCTAGAAAAAAAAAAAAAATACAAAAGCATAGAAAACAATACCTAATCCCATAAAAAGGAGTTAGCTAATGCATCATGGCTCTTTTTTTTTTTTTTTTTTTTTTTTGTTTTTATATTTTTTTTTAGGCTTTTTTGTTTTTTTTGTTTTGTTTAAAGAAAAAGGAAAAAGGAGTATAAAAAGAAGAAAAAGAAAAAGAATGAAAAGGGTGAGGCAGGGATGGTTCGTGAAAAAAAGAAAGTCGTGAATTGATTTTTTCGTAACGTTTTTGATAAAAAGAATAAAAAAAGGTTGTTAAAATGTGTTGTTGATTAGCTGCTGCAATCGCTTAAAGTGGGTATTATTCGAAGATGGGATAAAAAAATGCACAAACTTCGACATCCTCCTTATTTTTTACTCCTTCGTCAAGTCTTTTTCCGCTTTGCTTGCTTTGATTTTTTTTTTTTTTTTTTTTTTTTTGTATGGGCCGGTTGGTCTGTATGCGTTCGGTTTTTGAGGGCTGGGAGGAGAGAATTGGAAGTTGTAGACAGCACATGTCGGGGTGTTGAAAATCACGAAATGGGAAGCAGTCATGAAATCCCAGCAGGGTTGGATCGGGCGCAGTGTTCAATCGAATAAAAAAGTTTCCCAAAATGTCATCGGGATTAAAGACAAAAAAAAAAAAAGAAAAAAAAAATAGCAAAAAATATAGAAAAAGAGAACAAGGGACTGTACACGGGGAGGATAAAAATACAGAATAAAAAAGAAAAAAAAACCTCTAATAATACACTGAACGAAAGTAGAAGAAAACACATCAACAACAAAAAGAAAAAAAAAAAATTCACGGAACCTAAAGTCACAAAGCAAAAATCAGTGAAGGAAGAAGCAAAATTGGGAAAAGAACTGATGTTACAAAAGTAAAAGAAACAAAAACACAAAAAAATAATTGTCCAAGTCTATGTTCAACCCATTCATGAGAACCCTTATGCACTGCATATACTAAAATTTCGGGCTACATGATGAGTGCACACGACCCGGACACTATCCATATTGGCAAACAAAATAACATGCCTGGATAGAAAGAAAAAGAAAAATGGAAAAGGACAAATCAAAAAAGGAAAAAAGGAAAAAGAAAAAGATGATAGAGTTAAAAAGAAAAGGGTATGAAAATAAAATAAAAAATAAAGGAAAAATAAAAAAATAAAAACCAAAAGAGACGCAATGGAAGGAAGGAAGGAAAGCAAGAAGCAAAAATGAGAGAAAAGATCAAATAAACTATTGGCTTTGGATCTTCAGCAAGTTGCGGAGACTCTGACTAATTTCCATCAAGTGAGCAACACTGTCCGGTGCAGGACCATGTGGGGTAAAGCTTGAGGTTGCCATGCGGTCAGGAACATTATAGCCATGGGTCAAAGGCATGGAGTAGTGGCCGGTCCAACCTTCCGTGGGCGAAGGTACAGTGAATGGTCGCATACTGTTGAGCTGGGGAGAAGCCGCTTCGGCAAAGAAAGGGGACGAAGGCAGTCTGTCAACAGTGGGCTCAGTGGGGCTGTTACCGGCCGAGCGAGAAAAAGCAGGGATGGGAAGACTGGTTGGGGCAGGCGAGTTATGGAAGGTGGGACCGGCATAAAGTGATGTCTTCTTCTCCATCAACATGACCTTATCAGCAGAATTGGTCTTGATCGTAACAGTCGGGCGCTGTGGCATGTCCATGGGATAGGGGCCACGGCTTGAGCCATGTTGGGCACCATCCATGTTCTGATGGCTATATTTAAAAAACCAATAATCATATAAAAATTGGATGATTAGCTCATCATTCATACCCCAAAGACATTTAAAATAGACAAATGGAATGACATATCCATCAAAGGGTACATCAAGAGTAAGCTAAAGCCATCAATCAATTATCTTTCATCAATGAAGATCTGATATCCAATAAATTCATTATGACCCAGTGTGACCCATAAAAATAAAACATCACCATCACTAGAGCTTGGAATAGAAAGGGAAAAAAAAAAAAAAAAACTTACCCTCGGCGGGGCTGCGCCTGCTGCGGCACTGCTGGCGCAGAGCTAGGTCGATGAGGAGGACTGCCGGTCAATTGGCGACGGAGATAATTGTCTGGCAAACGTGAAAATGACTCTGAATCATCAGAGTCCGAGGAGGATGGTGGGCTGGATGGATCCAAGGGAGGACTCTGCTGCATAGCCTGCTCAAGATCAACTTGAGCTTCTTGGCGTCTCTGCACTCGGCGAGCCTTGGAAGGTTGTTGAGAGTGAGGCCTCTGCTTCTGGTTAGGGTGATGATTACGTTGCTGATGCTGGTGCTGATGCTGGTGCTGGTGAGTCTGAGTGCGTTTGGATGTAACCTGTTGCTGAGGATCAAGCACAGTAACGGTCTTGGCAACAGGGGCAGCCGAGGAGCGCTTGAGGATGGTCACATTAGTCATGTCAGCCTTGGTCTGTTGGCTGTTACCATTGTTACGCTGTTGAGGAGGCATAGAATGGTGACGATGATGGGTCTGCTCTGGGGTCTTTTGAGCATGACGAGAGCCATTATTGTTATGACGAGTCTGGCTCTGAGGCTGACTTTGGTGGCTCTGACCTTGGCTCTGTTTCTGGAGGGCTGCAGTAAGGCCACTTTTCCGGTTATTGGATTTCTGAGCTCGGGGAGCAGAAGGAGCAGAGGCCTGTGATGGAGCGGATATTGCTGTTGATGGATGCATATGGGTTATATGGAACTACAGGGAGGAAGGAGGGAAAAGGGAGATGGAATCTAAATATTGGATAGAATGTAAGTGAGATGAAGGTGGATGGTCAAGTATATGATAGGGAAAAGAGGGTTGTGGTAAGAGTACAGATAATGGAACACACAACCAGGAAAGACAGGTGTAGATGATGAGAGTAAGGGTGGATAGGAAGGATAAGTTGGTGGTTCGTGGTTGTGGTAAGGGATTGTTAGTAAGGAAAGAAAGAAAGAAAAAGGGAAAAAAACGGAAGAAAAGGTATTTATTCAAGAGGAAGGAGGGTCGTCGCAAGCTGAGAGAGGAAGGGCAAAAAGGTAAGAGAGCATATTGCATTTTATGTAAAAGCTCAACCAGTTTTCCAACTTAATTCTCAATGCACCAAATCTTTTCAATTAATGAGGGGTTCTGTGGACATTCAGTCATTCACATTGACAAATTGATCATTGGTCCCATTGTTTAAAAAAAAAAAAAAAAAAAAAAAAGGATGCAGTCATGTGATATGAAAGAAGACAGTAATATGGAGAAAGATCCAATGGGACAAACAATTTCAAATAACTCTATACCGTTAAAGACATGGTACACAGCCCAACACCAAAAGAAGGTATGAGTTGGAATAGGTTTCTTTTTTACCTTTAGAACAGAGGATGACGAAAGTTTTAATATATCCTCTTGGAACGGGATGTGAACAAAAAAAACCAAAAATAGAGAGAGAAATAACAAAGAATGAAAAAAAGAAAGTGTGGGAGGAAGTGGAATGGAAGCGAGTAAAGAGTGATGGGAAGAGGATTGAGGGGTAGGAAGTGAAGGGGGAAGGAAGGTAGGGGAGAGGGAGAATTGAAAGAGGGGTGCAATGAAATAGAGAGAGAGAGAGAGAGAGCGAAAGCGAAAGTGAGAGAGAGAGAGAATTGAGTGTGTGGTAAGAATTGAGAGAGCAGGCGAGAGCAAGAGAGAATGAAATTGTTCAAAATTGAAAGTTGAAAGAAGAGAAGAAGAGAGAAGAGACCAGAAAAGAGAAAAATAGAGAGTGAGGCAGGCGGAAAATGAATGGATGCAGAAGCTCCTTTTTTTTTTTTTTCCTTCCGCACTAGCCTCTCATCATTCATCATTTGGAAAAAGAGAAGAAACCAAACACAAAAACAACACAGATGCAACGATCACAACAACAATTGCCTTTCAGTGGACTGAGAGAGACAAAAGGCGTTTTTCTTCTTGTGTCTGCCATTGGTCTAGGGTGGTCTCATTACATGGCACGTATACAGTCTGCCTCTTTGTTGTTTGTTTGATGTCATGTGTGGTGTACATGTACATGTACGTGGCATCTGATTAGAAACACCCCGTGCCAATCTCTGTACTCCAAGCTAAAAAAAAAAAAAACTTATTTCCCGCTTTTTTTAAAGTCTAAAACATCATTTGATTAAAAAGTTTTAACCGGCCATTTTTCTATTTGCTGCTCTAATTGACTAATTGATTGCACTAAAATATCAGACCGACCAGACTGAGTAAACAAAACATTTCGATCTCATACTTCTTTTTCGCATTCCTGCTGTTGACGACGTCTAACCTCCGTCATCGTCAAGGATCCATCCTGTAGTCCCTGGATTAACTCTCTAACCTGGTCAAAGCTGTCAAATGGCGTAAAGGGGATCTTGTGAATCCTGCAATACTTTTCCAAGTTCCTATTCAAATGCAATTAAAAAAATTTATGTAATAGACAAAAGGATATTCTGGTGAGCATGAGCCATGTCCTTTTTTTTAAAAAGATGAAACAAATTCAAAAAATAGAGGGACATTTATAATTTTTTTTTACCTTCCTTTCCTTGCAAACAAAACATCCGCTTCGCGTGCTGCACTCAGATCCGAGATACCATCTCCACAAAACACAATGACATGTTCCTCTGCCTGTTCCTGCTTGGTCTCTTTAGCCAACTCACGTTGTTTCTGTTGCTCAACCATCTCCTTCTTGAACTGTTCTTTGGATTCCTTAATACAGACTGATTTGTCATGACTGTGAGGTGTCTCATCTCTGTAGCTGACCAACCATTTCTTATCCACGACCTTGCCATAATTCGCTAAAATCACCAGCTTCTTCGCCTCCTCCTCTCCAAGGTACCATGACATGTACTTCTCAATGATGATATCAAGACCACAGGAGACTATCGAAAACGGAATCTTGTGCGTTTGAACATGTGCATAAAACTTTAGGAATCCTGGATCGAGCTCAACCTCCCGAACTAGCTCCAGACCCTCTTCAAACGTCAAGTTCACACTTGACCACCAGATATCCATGGCATCCCTATTATATTCGATCACAAAGGGAAAAAATATTTTTATATAGATTGAATAAGGGCGAGCATGTCCAGTGATTAGCAAAGAGGTCATGTTACAGACACAGGCATTACTTCATATACTCCTTTTTTTTTATTATTAATCTAAACTTACAGAAATGTCAACTCATGGTTCAAGACTTGGACATCCATTGCCTTGCGAGTCTCTTCACCAATGCCAGAGTCAATGAGGATGCAACCAGTGTCCTCCATGCTGATGGTTCCATCAAAATCTGAAAATACTTCAATTCGTGGCATGATGGATTTGATCAAAAAAGCAAAAACACAGATGGGCAAATGAGTAACTTGAAGAAGAATGGGGACAGAAAAAGGTCGAAATTGAGAAGGGAAGGAATACTGAACTTCGCAATGATATCTGTCGTCCTGAGGAACGTTAGAAAGGACCTTCTATTTTTCCTTTCAACGTATACATTGTAGAACCTGTTCCTGGCAGTACATGTTACGCCATTTTTCTTTTTGGAAAGTATGACTAGTGCGAATCTTCTCATAATTTTACAACACCGACATTTACACTATCGAAGTGCCACGAATAAAAAAGCTACAAGAATTATTCTTTTTTAATAGTATATATATATATCTATATATCATGTTTATATGAATTATGTATTATTTCTTTTTGGCTAGAGAAAAGCTCCTTTAATCCCCCCCACCAAAGCCATCGAACCAACCTCCAAGCCAAGAGTCTCCTCCTTCTTCTCCTCCAAACCAAGAGTCCCCTGAATCCCCGGGTGAGGAATCATCTTCAGCCCAGATTTCTTCTCCCCACTCATTGGTGGCCCCGGCTGGAGGAGCAGGAGCAGATGGCATCGGCGGAGTACCAGGCATACTTCCTGTGCCAACTGCGCCGCCTGTAACATCTCCTGCTGTTGCATCGCCAAGAACATGACCTGCTCCTGCGCCTGCTCCTGCACCCACAACTGTGCCCATGGGATTGTCTCCACTGTTACTTGGCACAGGAGCATGTCCACCTCCCATCATCATTGGAATCGGCATGATACCACTTTTTTTTTTTTTTTTTTTTTTTTATGAGTAATTAAAAATACATAAATAAAGATAAACAACGTTATGGTCAGTGGAGATTCTTTTGTTAAATCTGTCCCTTTTCCTTTTCCATCATAGAGATGCTGCTGTTTTATAAAATGATAAGCTTACCCATTGCCAGAGTGCCTTGAAAAGTAATCAAAATCAATGCTGACAGCACAAGCCAACATAATGGCTCTCTGATCCAATGTCAGTCCACCTCTGCTCTCCAATTGTGCCAATGCCTTTTCATCCTTATTAGCCTGGATCTCCTTGGCATGTTGCAAATCTTGATCCGTCGTGGCTGCTGTAGTAGGTGTAGCTCCAAGACCCTGTTGCTGTTGCAAGTCTTGAATCACTGCTGCATCAAATCGAAGTGCATACTGTCCTGAATCCGTAAAGAGCTCCCTCGCAAACCCCACAAAATTTCGATTGACACTCGCAATGTTTCGTCCTTGCTCATCCTGCATTTCAAAATCCAAAGCCAGGAAACCACCATCGATATGTGCAAATTGAACTCGGTTCAATCCTCGACCCGTCAAATCTCTTTCGGTCGAGATGGCTGTCGTCGTATGATCTTCGTGCTGTGACATGGTCGTTGGGTCAGGTTGTTCGAGCGTAAACAAGTTGTATCGTCTGCGGATCAAATGCCATTCCTGTTGAACTTCACCAATCAATCGGTCATCGGGAGTTGAAATCATAATCCTTGAATTGATGAATGCAAACGGACGATGGATTTTCAATATCTCATTGCCTTCTAGATCCAACACTGATGCTTTGAAGGGTCGATGCGTCCTAAACACCTGTCGACTCATAGCTTTCATAAACGTTGTATCTTCCTCTGCAATATATCCGATCGGGTTTCCATGTGGATCCACAATAGCATATTTGTTGGCTTGCTCGAATCCCACAAGTACTAAATACCATACACAGATTAAAATAAGTGTTAATGACAATATAAAAGAAAATGAGAATTATAAATAGAGCACTTGGTTTTAAATTGTTACTATACTATACCATTCATCATCTCAATCTGACGAGTCATGATCAGTGCAGGCTGGGCAAGCAATTTATAAGCAGGATGGTGAGGCTGCAAGACACCAAAGGGGTCCTCAGGAACGACAGCTGGTGTAGATGCCACATCCAATCCTTGGATGACATTGCTTGGTGCTTGATCTTGTGACGTTGCAACGTTGTTTGCACTGTATGCTCCATGGTTGTGGTTTACAGCCGAGGCTGTTGCTGCTGCGGTGGATCTAATAACATTTGCTCGTGAGGGAGCTGTTGTTCTAGCGATGATACGTCCACCGCGTGAGCTGGGTGAGGCTTTGCTCCCCCCCCCTGCTGTTACCGCTGCTGCACGACGTCTTAGTGATGAATATTGAAAATGTTGATATGATCTAGCTACTGGAGTTCTTGTGATAGTCGTCGTATGTCCGAGTGGTGAGCGACCACTATATCGAAGAAAAGTAAAGGTCTTTGATCCAGTTATTGCGGCTCGTTGCATCCTCGTCGCCATGTATTTTTTCTTTAATATTCTTGTCTAAATGTTGTCTATAATGTAATGCTGTTTTTCATGAATGGGGAGACGAACAAAAAGAAAGAAATGGAAGTTGTCATCATTTATTCGATCGCTGTGGCTTAATTCTTAAAAAGGCTTTTTTTTGTGCACAGCGCATTTCATTTTTTCGCGCGTTTTACAAGAATCATTTCATTTCATTATTGCATGAAATGAGCAGCTCCCCGGGCGGAGAGAACAATTCATGGAGTATTTAACTCATGGCTACCAACACATGTATGTATTTTTTTGTTTTTTTTTTTTAGGATCCATACTTTACCTTCAAGTTTTATTAACTATTGTGTAAATGTTTTTTTTTTAAGAGCCATAAATTTCATCCTCCCCACAAGAGTCATCGGGGGGATGGATAACTTCTTATGAAAGATCCAGGTGTGGATCGGAAGGAGTATCCAAGTATACTTCTCAAAAGAAAAAAGTAAGAAGGAACGAAAGTTCTCCATGGTTGAAGGTTAAAGCTGGTACTGAATCTCTATCATGGGTCTGCTCCTCTACAATATTTATTGAAAAAGCTTTCTGTCATTTTTTTTTTTTTTTTTTTTTTTTTTTACAAGGCATTGACACTCATAAATATAACGCTCTAATTTCTTATAGATACAGAAATGGGGGCTTTTGAGAGGAGCTTGGAGCACAAAGCCCTCTATCCCCCCCTCCAAGTCGTTTGACAAAATCCATCCGAGGTTCTCCGAGATAAAAATCAGTAGAATACTGTGGGGGAAAAGGACTCGGATATTTATATGATTCATGTGATGAAATAAATCCTTTAAATTGTTTCATTTCCCATACTTTGTTTGCATGAATATTATAAGCAACAAAGGGAAGAGGCCATCGGGTGAGAAAGTGGATGGAAAGGAGGGCAGAGGACGAATAAAGGGTGCGGTCCTGGCTTTTAGTTGATAGTTCTACGCGTTTAGTTGGCCAAGGGATCAGGCAGTGGTTGTACATGTACGTATCCAAAGCTGTGCGGTACTAGACTGCAACGTGTAATTCACACTATTCGGCATGTGTCTTTTTTTTTAGATAAAATAATAAAAATAAAAAAAAAAAACTTGAACAACTTGTGCTTCTATCGAGAACAACCACGTTGCAAAGTTATAAGCGGATCATACGATAAGGGAGCATTGAATTTTAATTGGACAATGTGAAGAGTAGAAACGCGTAAACGAACCCGCATCTTTTCTCTATATCTCGCTCATGCAAGAGAGGGCCATCATCTGAAATCAACGTATCCCAGGCAACATTCAGAGTATCTTTGGCTATATGCTTACATTATAATTTACATTGGTTCTTAATCGCTTATTCTCAACTCAGTGCGGAAATTAAAGAGAAGACAGTAATGTAATACAATAAATTTTTTTATAATACTCTCTGATCTTCGCAATACTTTTATATTTTACTCTACACCAATTGAGGAGGATTTATAGCCACTTTCTTTGTCTTCTTCGTCTACTGCCCGACTCTCTGGCATCAAGTCTACGAACGAATAGGGTCGATCCTGGTCAAGCGCTGTAACTACTGTTCTTACTGCTACTACTGTGCTTGGTCAATGATGGGAACTTGAGTGGAGCAATCCCAACCCGTTGATTTGCTTGGTCGAATACCACGTAGTTATTTTTGATGAATAAATCCCCGATGATCATAAAGTTAGCTGCGCTTGGCTGAATCCCCGAAAAGCAAAGCCTTGGCTGTGTTGGTACTACACTGACTTTATCTTTACTGGTCTGATTTTTACCATTATTGGATTGCTCTTGGTCCCTATCCTCCTTCTTTACACGTCCATTTCCCTTATCGATACCGCTCGCCATCTGACCATCAAGCCTCACAGCCTCACGCACAAGATCACTAAACGGGATTGCAAACCTGTGGCCCTCGATTTCAAGCTCAATTCCTTGGATTTTCAGATTGCTACTATAGTTACTCTTGTTGCTCTTGATGTTTTTAGCTGATGAAGAAAAAGAACTGGTAGTGGATGTTAAATCACAAGGGATTGTCCATGATTGGCCAGAGATCTGAACAGCACCAGGGATGAGCTGATGCACGGCGAATGCGAGTCGCTCAGGAACAATCATCAGCGTAGTTCCTGTATCCATGATTCCTACGATATTTGATTGCTTCTTTGGATTATTTTTTTGAAAGCTACCACGCTTCTGACCCTTGCTTCGATTAGCTGTAGACTCTTTAGATGATGTTTTTACTGTGGCTCCTACAGCTCTCGCAGCTGATGTCACTGTTGTTGGCTCAGGATAGTAATCGACACGTTGACCGGCCACAAAGATGTTTTCGATATTGATCTGCCAATACTTTGGTTTAGTTACTGGTGTGTACACGATTTCGAACCCTTCCCTCACTCGGGATGTATCGACTCCTCCAAAGATAACCTCTCCACCCCCAGTATAATCACTTCCACTGTCGATAGGATCGCTAGTCCCATTAGGATAATTCTTTCCAAGGTAGAAACTAAAGACGCCATGTTTGACAAGTCCTTGATCCATCATATTTTCAAATAAAGTCCTTGGTTCCAAAGGTGTATCTCCTTCGGGTGGTCCTTGGGTTGAGAAGGACTGGGGATGCGAAGAAGGGGAGGACAGTGTTCCAAAAGAGAGACCCATGATACCATCAACTACATCATCAAAATTGGCGCTTTCGCTGAGAATGAGTGCGATTTGCTGATGACGGACCGTTAGGTTGGCGATGGTGACGTGGTCCCGACCGAGGATGCCTTCCGCATGAGACATGTCGCCATAGGTGATGTGCCAAGTGTTTGGATCAGATGTAAAAGTAGAGGAAGAATTTTTATTCCCGAGTTCGTTTTCATACTCGTTGTTGAGTCGAAATGTGTGCGATGCAGCTGGATCAAAACGCGTACTACCAGAACAATCCTTACAGGCTTTGGATGAGAGAATAAATTTGGACGACCCTGTATCGAAGTCAATCTGACAAAAAGAGAGAAAATCTATGTTTTAAGAAAACCTTATACTTTTTCACGCATGTGGAACGTTTATGAAAAGCCTTTTTTTTTTTTTTTTTTTTTTTTAAAACCTTGAACGTTTGAGGTGGTTCACCAACTTGCACGGCTCCGTAATACTAGTAGAAGCAGAGAATAATAAGCACTCTGATAAGATCAATATTCTAAGACAAAAAAAAAAACCCCCCCTTACTCAAAACAGCTGAACAGTTATAAATCCAATATTATAACTACCTCGCGGTCAAAATCATAATCAATTAATGGTATTTGAGCCATTAATGATGCCTCTTTTCCTGTCTCTAGTACAACACGACTTTTCCCTCTGGCGCCTTCAGATTTTTGCCCATGCGCAACACCATATTTCCTTAAAGTGTGTTCCCATCGCCCAATCGTCGAGGGTTGGCGCGCTCCACGAATAGGAACGATAGGAATCCTATATGCAGGAAATAAAATAATAATAAAAAAAAATTAAAAAAAGAGGATTGTGAACAAACAGTTGTCGTGTAAAGCTATAATGGCTCTTCATGGCTACTTGCTTACTTGAACACTTCTTCTATCTCATGCTCAGCACGATAAGCGCTGCTTGCCGCGAGAAGCACAAGAGCACTAGTAATGCACAGGGTTAGCTTCATATTTTTTTTTTTTTTTTTTTTTTGTTTGTTTATAAAAATATTAATGTTTGTTTGTCTGAAAGGAAAGGGCTAACAATACTTTAAAATTTGTTTTGTAGACTTTCAAGCAACGGTCAGGTTGTTGAAAAGCGAAATGAAAGAAGAGAAAACAGAAAGAGAAAATAGAGCGACACTGAATTGGTCATAGGAGACACAGGGGGACCCATGAGTAATTATGTAAATGAAGCATGCTGTACACTATACACCGACAGCATTTATTAAGTAACCAATGCCTTAAAGTATACTCAGGTGTTTAAAATCAAGCATTTCTCCACATATTCCACATTCCATGCTATGCGGTATCACATCCATAATCAAATTTTGATTCTTGGATAATTTTACTTTTTTTTTTTCTTTTTTCTTTACTGACAATAACCACACATTAATAGCCTAGTTCAAAATCAGCAGGAAACTTATGGGATTAAATGTAGATATCATACTTATCCGAACCATTACCTATTTTTGTTGCTTATGTTATTAAAATATCCTCTTATGAATGAGGTTCCAAAAGACCGCAAGGAACTCAAAGAATAAAAATAATAATAAAAAAGAAGGCTTGTATCATATAAGCACATACTGTCACAATCCACATTAAAGACGCTTCCTAGCACAAAGAAGGACTTCTCGTCGACATCGTATACAAGTTAGGCTTGATTCCAGATACACAAATGAAGATATTTATCATAGAGCCACCCTGATAGTCTATCAGTTTACTTCTATACGAATATGTCTCTATTCCCTCAAGGCTTGCTTTTTATTATTTTATATATTTTGAATAAATAGGGCGAGCCTGTTGCTAGAAAAAAAAAAAAAAAAAAAGAAAGCTATTGTCAACTTTTCAGCGACAGTATCTTTCACTACAAGGACATGGCATGGCATAAAAATGATTACTCCCAAGGCCATGACTACGTCTTTTGTTGCTGCTCGCGTTCCTCAGAGAGTCCTCCTCGGTCACAATAGCCTTTCAACGACAGTTTGGCAGTCCATTCGGAAGTGAACTAACTAAGAATAAGAAAGGATGGATTTGTAGTCTTCTCTCGATTTTTATTTTTAATTTTAATATCTTCTTTTTTATCTTCTCTTTTATCTTTTTTGCTTTTTTCCCTTTTTCCTTTTTTCCCTTTTTTTTTTTTTTTTTTTTTTTTTATGACAAACATATTCTTATCATCTATGACTCTTGTCTACTGAGGATAAAGAATGAGTTATTAGCTTTATTTTTTTTTTAACCGCAGATTAAAATGAGACCCCGATTCTTTTTTTTTTTTTTTTTCCTTTCCTCCATTGAATCAACCAACCAGAGTAGAGGGTTGCTCATGTACTGTAGAATGTAGAAAAATTTTAATTCGCCAAAATAAAGATCCGCGCACTGACCATAATGGCAACCCCTCCTATTTTCTTGGTGCAATGTCGAGATCTTATCCAGATAAAGCCATCTGCGTCAGAAAACACTACATTGTCGTTAACTTGTCCAGTTCCACTTGAGGGTTTCTCCAGAGTAGGATCTTTTTAAATTAGGATCCGGGAGTCAACCCCGAAATCCTGCCTAGTATGAAATAGAAGCTTTGGCAATATCTCAAATGGGACTCACAGGGATCTCTCAGTAGTTCTTGCTATCATACGGCCATGAAGTATCCCAGGTTGAAGTAAGCGAGGCTAGCCTTTGTGCGTCTATCAAGATACCTATCAGTCTGCATTTAATGCAATTTTGCTGGCATGCATAAGAAGCAAGCTTAAGCATTTAGTCCATGCCTTCACGAGAGTACTCAGGAACTGATTGGTCACTTGAGAGATTGGAGGTTTGTTCATTGCAGGTTGAAAAGCACTATCTTTTTGGTTCCACAAAGGATATTACAATGGTTCAAAGCCTACATAAATGCTCTATGCCCTGTACATAATCATAGCGCTCCAACCAACATCTTCCAAGACTGCAGCCGGAGAGTAGCATCAAACAATACTTTATTTTATTTCTATCCTCTGCGCTTCCAAGCCCATTAGTTTATATGTTCAATTTGTGTTGATACCCAAACATATTTCCTGGTGGCTCGAAAGCCATCACAAGGCTTCTCCAGTTTCTTGTAGGCTGTGTATAGTTTCTACTTGGACTAGAAAGGGCGGAGATTAATAATAATGGTGGTTGATCCCCATACTATTTTCAATTGCCTTGACGACCACAGCATCGTCTTTGTTATGTGCCGCGAAATAAAGAGTGTGCAAAAAAAAAAAAAGCAAATTTGAGATATCTAGATTGCATCCAGTAAACAGTATCAGAGCATCCATGTCATGATTCTTTTTCAGTAAAGGGCTCTTACCCCTCTCGTGCCCAGCTTTTCTTCGTTGTGTGGGGACATATTGATATTTGGTCTTATTAAACATGAGAAATCCAGGGAGCCAGATATTGAGAACGAAACGAGTCAATGCATGTCATCTATCACTCATCGCTCATTGACATTGATTAGGATGAATGCTCAAACTCAAAAAAAAAATTCCTTGAAGTTTTGTATGATAAGCCCATGGAATTACTCATCAATTTCATCGATAAGCTGCTCATGTACCACAGTGCTATGTGTACATGTGTACATGTCGTCTCAGAGAAGGAATAGAATTTTCCGGTAAGTTGTGAAGGAAGAAGGACGAGAAAGAAACAACAATCAATAGCAGCGGAGATCCCGTAATTTTACTACTCCAATAATGAATTAAGAGTCAGCGATACAAATGAGGTTTTTGTGTACAGGAGCAACGATACGAATTACTAAAAACTGTTCTTTTTGTCCAGTGGACACTCTAATTTTGTGCATGGATGCAACTGCGCTGCAGCGACCAAGTTCTATTACTTGTTTGCAGCATGTAGTCACAACTAATAATGTGTTTTTCTTTTTCTTTTACTGACCCTGAACAAAAAAAAAAAAAAAAAAAAAAAAAAAAAGCCTTGCACGTCGTACATGTATAGTGCCCCAATTCAATTCATTCTCACTACAGTCCAGAAACAGCAATGGGTTATTAATACCTTTTAGCGATTAATACCTTTAGCGATTAATATCACTGGTCTGGACCAATGCCCCAACGTCCCAACGTTCCAATGTCCTTTTCTTCATTTATAAACGATCAATCAAAAAAAAAATAAAAAAAAAATAGCTCCGTGAATTTTCTCTCTCTCTTTCACTTCTCATCCTTACCATTGTCTCTCATTTTCCTCTCTCCCCTCCACTTCCTCTTATTTGCACACAGAGTTTAGTCTAATTTTTAACATGCTCAAGTTAACAACAACGTCGATGCTTACATCGTCCACTAGAATCCTGAGACAACCCTTAGCTAGGGCAACCACCATCGCTCTCTCGCGTTACAACGCCGCTACCGCCACAAGACTCTTCTCCATTTCCTCTTCCGCAAATGTTGCTAACACCAATACTCCTACTGCGCCCCGTCATCCCAGAGTGTTAGTCACCGGTAAGTAAAATGGCCTTTTTTTTTTTAGATATATTATTAATACTAATGAAGCACCAATAAACTCTTGTGGTTCAGATGCAGAATTGCGCAGGAAGCACAAAAGAAGGCGCTCGCATAATGAGGCTTTCGCTTCTTCCATACTGACCATCATCCTATTCTTACTTTTCGTTTCCTCCTTTTTTTTTTTTTTTTTTTTTTATTCTCCTCTCATGTTTTCCATCACTTCTTCGTTTTTTATTATACAGGCTCCTTGGGCCAACTCGGTTCTGGTTTGGTCAAAGAACTTCGGTAAGAAAACTATTAAAGGCTTCGTCAGTGTTTTTTTTTTTTTCTCTGCTTTGCAACTTTTTATTGTCAGCTGTTTGGACAAACGTGGTCGTACAATGAAATATGCCTTTTGTTGTACCAGTGACATGTACCCCCAACGCTATGAAAATAAACAAACAAGTATGCAGGAAAAAAAAAAATAGCATTCAATCCCTAAAAGGCTTTCTTCCCACAGTTCAATTTTGGTGAAAAAAAAAAAAAAAAAAAAAAAAAAGATGGACAAGAAAAGAACAAAGAGATTCATTTGATCACCGACATATCATAACACGTTGATTGTCCAAGAACAGAAGAACAAAACAAAAGAAACACGGTTGGGCTTGGAGGGACATTCATAGGATTGAGGTTGGATGGCAAGCGAATAATGACAAAATATTCCTGGCACTCGCTACTCTGCCACCTCGCTAATTTCGCCCATACTCTCTTCTCATTCTTCCCACACTTTTTACCCTGCCTCTCTTATTCTTATGTACTCTTGAAAAGGACATGTTTTTCATCAATGATGGACCAAATGTCCATTCAGCCTATCATGCATTACTTCTACCTTCCCATTAACTTTTCTTTTTTTTTTTTTTTTTTTTTGACTTAATGTGGAAACATTATTAATTACTAACCACTTTGATATTATTTTGTTTACTACACTGTTCGACGCACAACTGACGTTCTTATGAGTACAGTCAAATGTATGGCAATGAAAATGTGGTTGCCTCCGATATCCGTAAGCCTTCAGATGAATTCGCAGCCAACGGCCCCTTTGTTTGCGCTGACGTTTTGAACTACTCTTTACTCGACCGTATTGTGGCCGATTGGCGCATTGGTAAGTCGACTCAAACTTTTACCCCCACGTTTTTTTTTTTTTTCTTTTTGCGGGGTGAGAAAATCAATGACCACAGAGCAATCTTTGTCTCATAATTCCTTTCAGCCCTGTCGCCCTTTTACAAATGAAAGATGAGAAAGAGGGCTCAATTTGAGAGCATGTGTAGCACAAAACAACCATTATGAATGTGCGCTGTGGAAGTAAAAAAAGGAGGACATCCTGGGAATTTTTTTGTTTTCTAAACCCTTATTTTAGTGCTCCGAACGAGCATTTGTCAAGTACAAGCGACTTTGAAATTCCCAATGCTTCCTTATGATACACAGAACCGGTTCTTGCAGAAACAACTTTCCCATGATATATACTTTGAGTTTGGGCGCTCCCCCATGTTGGAAAAAAAGACTCTTCTATATGCTCACAGCCAATCCCTGCTCTGTCCATTTCACTCATAGACTGGATCGTGCATTATTCAGCGCTCCTTTCTGCTGTTGCGGAGAAGAATCCTGCCTTGGCCCTGAGTGTCAACATGACTGGAGTACAAAATGTATTGGAGCTTGCAAAGATACATCGTCTGAGAATCTTTGTGCCCTCAACAATTGGTGCATTCGGTCCATCGACACCCAAGTACAACACTCCTGACTTGACCATTATGCGGCCCAATACCATCTATGGTATTACCAAGCTGCATACTGAGCTTCTTGGCGAGGTAAAACAAGCCAACGGTTATTTGGTTGCGCGTTTGACATATTGTTAATAGAAGAAACAGAAATGCCTAATTATCTCTATCTTTTTTTTTTTTTTTTTTTTTTTTTTTTTGTTCAATATGAATTACAGTACTACCGTGAAAAATTTGGCGTTGACTTTAGATCAGCCCGCTACCCGGGCGTTCTTAGTGCAGATGTCCCTCCTGGTGGCGGAACGACCGACTATGCCGTCGACATTTTCCATCACGCTATCCGCCACGGCCATTACACCTGCTTCTTATCCAAAGACACACGTTTACCGATGATGTACCTAGATGACTGTATCAGAGGCACAATTGATCTTCTCACGTACCCAACTATGCTACCTCAATCTGTGTATAATATTACAGCGGTCTCATTCACACCAGAAGAGCTGGCCAATGAGATCCGCAAGCACCTCCCACATTTCACGATGTCGTACTCTGATCCAGCGCGTCCAGATTTCCGTCAGGCTATTGCAGATTCATGGCCAGCCTCATTGGATGACTCGATGGCACGCAAAGACTTTGGGTGGAAGGAAGAGTATGGTCTTGAGAGAATGGTCAAGTTGATGCTCGACAAGATCCAGGCACAGGTGGATGCAGAGAAGAAGAGCGCGCCGATTGATAGTCCCTCAACAACGGCTGCCGTGGCTGCTTAGATAACTCCTTATTTTCTGTTGCATTCTCACATTCTTCTGAGTAGTCAATCTTTGATACACCTCATCCATAGATCCAGACAAGTTGAGTGTGCATCACACTCATCGCATTTGCATTTTATTCTTTTATCTACTTGTTTTAATAAATAGTTACAATAATACAAAGCCCACTCAAGCTTAATGGATGGCACGTGCAACTTTGGGTGACGATCCCTTCAAAATTCTTTCTTTCTTGCCATGCCATTGTAACGCAACGTGTCCATGGGCCAATGGGGGAGATTTTTCTGTACGAGTCTTGTACGTCTATCAGAATAAAAATAACCTGTTCTTTGAACCAGGACAATCCTTTCGCCCACGCCACGCCACCACAGAAAGAGTGGAAATACACGGGAAGATTATCTTGTCATCTGTCTTCTCATCTGAACCATCCTCTCCTTCAATCTTTCGCTTTAATTAATCCATCCTCTTCTTTACCTCTTTCCTCTTTCCTCCTTCTTCTTTTCTCTCTATTTTCCTTTCTTTTTCATTTCCATCCTTTTTACATTTTATTTCAGAATGTTACCAGCGACAACAACGCGTCGCTGGAATACCCTATCAAGGGTAACAGCATTACTGGCTATTGTGGCCACGACAACCATCTCATTGACGAATGCATTCTACTTGCCTGGAGTGGCCCCTACAGAATATCATGATTCAGATCCAGTATTTCTAATGGTGAATGCACTGACACCTGGATCCGATTCAGAACTCAAGTCAGTCATTCCTTATGACTATTACTATCCCATGTTCCATTTCTGTAAACCAAAAGATGGAGAACGATCTCAGGCAGAATCTCTAGGAAGCATTCTTTTTGGTGACCGAATCTGGGATTCACCCTTCAGGGTAAATAAAAAAAAGTTTTTTTTTTTTTTTTTTTTTTTCTTTTGTTTGCTTTGACCGTTATTTTCATTATTACCCACCATTACTGTTTGTTTAATGTTTATACGTGACACTAAAGGTCCTCTTAACGATCTTTTCTTCTTCTTAGATCCGTATGAGGCAACCCAAGTCTTGCGAGAAACTATGCGAGGTGGACGTGTCGACAGAGGAAGCCAAGTTTATCAATAATAGGATTCGGGAGAATTATGTGATCAATTGGTTGATCGATGGATTGCCTGTAGGACATATCCGTCAGGGAGCTAGCAAGGGTGATCAGGAAAAACAGGTGTACTCGATTGGGTTCCCTCTCGGGGTTGAAGATGGAAAGGAAACTCCAAAGCTCAATAATCACTATGAGATCAATGTTGAGTTTCACCATAACAAGCAAAAGGATACCCTTCGTGTTGTTGGCGTCACTGTTGAGCCTTTCAGGTATTTATTAACAGAATCTGGTCATTCAAAGAATCATAATTCTTGCTATTTATTTTCTAATACCAACATTTTTTTTTTCCACTTTTTGCTGTATGTGTATGATAATGATTAGTATTGAAAATGCTATGGAGGGTTCTGAGCTGTGCGGTTCTACACAGATGGAGCAGATTCCAGGCGTGTATCTGTCTGAGAAGCAGCCTACCCATGTCACTTACACCTATGCGGTTCATTGGCAGGTTAGTTTGACTAGAACATCTCCTTTTTTTTTTTTTTTTTTTTTTCTCCCTCTTTTCAATACCGCCGAACTTCATATTCTCCTCCTTTGTGTCTGCATTCCAGATCAAACTATGTATTTAAAAGCTACTACATTGCATCCAACTGAATATCATTAATATAACCTTTTTTTCCCCCTCCTTCAAATGTCTAATAGGAAGTCGAAACTGCCTGGGCGACTCGATGGGACAAGTACTTGATGGTGGGTGAGCCCAGGATCCATTGGTTCAGTCTTGTGAACTCTGTCATTATTGTATTGTTTTTGACGGGAATGGTAGCAATGGTACTGTTGAGAGCATTGCACAAAGATATTTCCCGTTATAACCAGCAGGAGGCACAAGAGGATTTCCAGGAAGATTTTGGTTGGAAGTTGGTGCACGGAGATGTGTTCAGACCTCCTGCGTACCCAATGTTGTTGTCAATCATTGTGGGCAATGGTACCCAGATGTTTTTGATGGCTGCGGTGACAATCTTGTTTGCAGCTCTGGGATTCTTGTCACCTTCCAACCGTGGATCGTTAGCAACGGTTATGATTGTGTTTTACATGTTCTTTGGTATTGCTGCTGGATTTGTCTCTGCAAGGCTCTACAAGATGTTTGGAGGAGAAGCATGGAAAATGAACGTCATTGGTACCGCTTTCTTGTTCCCTGGGTAATTTTCTTATTTATTTATTTATTTATTGTTACTATTATTATTTTCCTAATCACTTTTGTGCCTTGTAATGTTGAATGATGATATTAAATATGTTTTCTACAATTTTTATTTTTATTTTTTTAATTTTTTTTAGTGTCATTTTCACTGGATTTGTTGCTCTGAACTTCTTCTTGATCGGTGCCAAATCATCGGGCGCGGTTCCCTTTGGAACCATGGTGGGTCTGGTTGCGTTGTGGTTCTTGGTATCGACACCTTTGTCAGTGGTTGGATCATATTTAGGATTTCAGCGTCCCAAGATTGAGACGCCTGTCCGAGCAAATCAGATCCCACGTCAGATCCCAGACCAAGTATTTTACTTGCGTCCGATCCCATCGATGTTGGTTGGAGGTATTTTACCGTTCGGAGCCATCTTCATTGAGCTGTACTTCATCTTGAACTCGATCTGGTTCCGCAAGATTTACTATGTGTTTGGATTCTTGTTCCTGGTCTTTGGAATTTTGATCCTGACATGTGCCGAGGTGACTATCTTGATGTGCTATTTCCATCTGTGTGCAGAGGATTATCATTGGTGGTGGCGAGCGTTCTTCACAAGCGGTGCAAGTGCGATCTATATTTTCTTGTACTCGATCATGTATTATTTTACGTCTCTGCAAATCAAGTCATTCACAAGTGTTGTCTTGTATTTCGGATGGACAGCGATCATGAGCATCATGTTCTTTGTCCTCAGTGGTGCTATTGGCTTCTTCTCCACTTTTGCCTTTGTTCGCAAGATTTATGGCAGTATCAAGATTGATTAAAGAAAATGAGCACTTTTTTTTTTTTTTTTTTTATTTTATTATTTTTTTTTACAAGTATCATAAAATAAATTTTTTTTTTTTTTTTTTTTTTTTTTTTTGAGTGAAGAGTGAATGAGCATATCAATGCATCTATTTGGCATTGCATTTATTTAACAGTTGTTTATTATAAACAAGAATAACATAAAAAAAAACGAAACTTTCTCAACTTCGACTATTCTACAATGGATATGTTAATAAGTGTATGTGCATGCGAAGCTTTTTTTTTTTTTTTTTTTTTTTTTAAAAAAAAATATTTAGACAATGCGACCATTGAAGAGACGCAGGATCATGTAGGTGACACTACCCACAAAGCGGAAGAAAGCCAGACCAGCGACTGACCAGAGAACAATTCCCAAGTACGTGGTACTGTTTCTGGTAAAATCACCAAAAGCAGCCGATGTTACCAAGGCTACCAAAAATGCATTACTCATGATCCATGCCAACAACACACGAGTACGGATTTCACGGTAATAGTCCTCCTGCTTCTCCTTCACACTACGTTCTTGCTTCACTTCTGGCGTCTTGATTGACAACGAACTGACGGCTTCATCGTATGCATTATTGATGTCGTGACTGTCGGTCGGCATTGCAACCTCAACGCCTCCTTCCGAGGTCTTCTTGGCGACTCCCAAATCTGTATTGACAGAGGTGTCTCCCTTAGTACCCCAAGAGATATCATGAATGTTACAGAATGCATATACGTTCAAGATGTTGACATACGACGGAACCATGAACATGTACTGGATAAAGGAGTGGAACATGTGCCATGGCTCCAAGAACAAGAAACTAGCAAAGAAGTACAGTCCATAGGTTGATGCCAATGAAACGACTGTGTTTCGGAACATGGCATTCTGGAAATACAATGATGTGATCGACGTTCCACCTCCATCAGCCTCTGCATCCTCTCGAGCTTGATTGATGCCTGCAACCGTCATGTAACCGGCTCCAAACAACATGTAGCCCATCAAGACTGCAAAGAACCCCATTGACGACTTGTATGCCCAGTTTGAACCTTGAGGACGATTACCCATACTCATGATGAATTGTGCAACGATCAACAAGATGTAAATGTACCGTGCGATCGTGAAGATCCAGAATCCGGCATCGTTCTCACCAAAAGGTGACTCCTGCAGTATATTGCCCTCTAGATCCCTCTTGAACACCATGGCATTTCCGAGAATGTAGAACGTCAAATAGAAATTACCCTGTATTATTTTCAAATATATATATGAATCATAAAAAATTTGTTAGCAAATAAAAAAAAAAAAAAAAAAAAAAACAACCTTTTATGGATAAAAACAACTAAAAAAAAAATAAAAAATAATAATGTCCTTACCAAGGCAAACCATGAGAAGAACAAGGATACGCCGTTATAAAAGAATTCGAGATGGAAGAACAACTTGCGAGCAGTGGAATGATCCGAGCGCCAGATATCAAATTGATGTACCAATGCATAAACCGAGGCGAAGAATGATCCGTTCAACCAACGACGACGCTGTGAGATAAACTCAGCCACAGTGCTGGGCACATCTGTCTCACCATATGCAGACTTGACGTATTGCAACACCCAGGCTGCGTTTCTCTTGGCGACCAACTCGAAACACAAGATACGATCCTCAGCCAAATACATATTGGCCGTAAAAATATTGGCATCTGATCCGTGGAACTTCTCTCCCAAGAAGTACTTCTCCAGAGGACCAACGCCTGAAGGATCGTTCTGAAGAGCTCGATAGCGGTAAGCAGAGAAAGCTCCTGGCAAGACCGAAATGTATCCAAAGACTGATTCGAGAGGCTTGTCCAGAATGTTCGACATTTTGTACTCAAAGTTTTGAGAAGCCACTAAAGGCGAGAGCAAAGCACTGCCTCCACGACCCAACATGGCACAAATTTCTCCACAAGCTCCTCCAACATTCGAGTTGAGATCAAAGGCCTTCCATAAATGGTAGATTGAAGTCGAACCAGGGCGGGTACCGACATCGAGCAACACACAAACATTAGGCTTCAACACTTGACCAAAAGCATTGAAGAACCAGCTATATAAAAATAAATTTATGATGTAAGACATTGATCAGAATTCAGGAACAGAAATTATTTTCTCATCTTAAGATGAATCATTGGTATGCACAACAGCCCAAAGAGAGGAAGGCCTATTGCTATTTTCCAATAATAGATCATTGAGGAAATGAACAGGCACAAAAAAAAAAAAGCAACTCTTACCGATGGGAGTTCAACTTCTTGGCGTTCTTTTCCTTGAGACAGAACAAGATCTGGACGGGAACATAGCCCTTATCATGACCAGAGCGACCCATGTCAGGATCAATAGTAACCTGGGTTGTATACTAAATTTTGAAAGGGATAAATATCGGTTATTAACTATCAACATCACTTGACGTAGCCGCATTAATTATTACATTTACTTTTTCGATATTTACCTCATAGATGTGAGCAGTAACGGGTTTATCATTAACGATGTTCTTGGCAACACCATCTTGATAAACACCCATAGCAGCCAAGACGTTCAAAGTCTTGGGGTTGATCTTCAAGCGACCGTCAGAGACGATGCAGACGACAACCTTTTTCCACGAATCTGGGCCCCAGGTACGAGAGCGATCGCGGGTGGTCAGATGGCGAATGTTTTTCATCACACCATGCATGGTTCTCGTGAAGAGGACTTCATCTTCCTATTTGATAGAATAGCAAATAACAAATCACACAGGTAAATATCTCCGGATGGGCATTTGGGTTTTATCTATTCTGATACGCCTCCCTCTCTTTGTTTCCCGCTGATTTTTAGGTTAGGCTTTGGAATAATGTTGTTTCCTGGACTTTTTTTTTTTTTTTTTTTTTTTGGCTTTTAGAAAAGCCATCATATCACAGCTTGCGGGAAAAAAAAGTGTACGGTAATACAAACAAATAAAAACAAAAAGCTTAGACTTGACTTCATAGACTTACGTTATACATGGTCATGACAATAAAAAGTTCGGTTTCGCGAGGCTGTTCATCCAGCAAAAGGGGTCGCAGGGTATAGTTCTCTGACGCAAAGTCATTAGGATCACATGTTGCGGCAGTGTAGCGCATGTGAGTGAACTCTTCACCTTCCTGGTATTTGAGAGTCTTAAGGAATTTAGAGGGAACAGGACAGTCCAAAACCAAGTTACCAGAAGTCAGTTTGACTTTCTTGGTGGTCTGATAACGACGGCGTTGTGCTGTGGGTGCGGGGCCATAGTGGCGAGTATCGGGTGTACCAGGAGGTAAGCTGCCAGGACCAGCGTTATTACCGTTCATGTCAAATTGGACATGGGGTGGAGATGGCTGTGGTGGTAAATTGGGTGTGCTGGCAAAGGGATTTTGATTACCGACATGAGGCGTAGGCATGCCAACAGGCTGTTGATATGGGGTATAGGGTGAAGGAGCAGCAAATCCAGGAGCAACCGCAGGACTAGGAGCATACTGGTTATTGTTGCTGTTGTTATTGTTATTATAGCCCGATGAGAGTAAAAGAGGGGCATCCTGGCCATAGCTGCGTGGAGGTTCATCTTCAAAGGGATTAGCATTGGGATTGTATTGTATGTTCACATTCTGCATCGGATAATCCGATGAATTCTGTCCGGGCGGATAGCGAGACATGATGCTTGCTTGCTCCTTTAGTGTGTATGAATGTGTTGTGGACGCCTTTTTTTTTTCTTTTTCTTTTATGCCTAACTTCTTCCTCTCAAGAATTTAAAGGTGGTGGTTTGTCTGATCTAGTTGTCAAAGAGGAAAGGGGAGCAAGATGACAAGATGTAAAAAAAAGAAGATGAGATTCCAGAAACAACTTGTAGCACCTTCAAACAAGTTGTGAAAAAGATCGTATATTTTATTTTTTTTAATTTTTACCTGCTGTTTTGAGTTTGCAACAAGACAAGAGATCGAGGAGAAAGTAGGAAAGAATAATAAGAGGAGACAAGGAAGAAGGGGAAAGGATGACAGGTAAAGAAAAAGAAAAGAGAAGAAGAGAGCAAAATGGAGTAGAAACTTGTAACAAGAAGAGGAAGAGGAGGTGCTTTATACCCCTAGGCAAAGAGAAAGTGAATGAGTGGCCCAGCCCAGATTGAAAAACCTTTTTTTTTTTTTTTTTTGCAAACAAACAAATCACCAAGTTCTAGTCGAGTCGATTGATTGATGGAAACACAAACAACATGTTTGCTATTTGTTATTAGTACCGAACTAACCTCTCAAACTAAAGCTGACTAGCCACTCTTTGTCAATTCTTCCTCTCTCGATTCCTCTTGTTTCTTGCTTCTTTTGACTTGACTTGCTTGGCTGATCATTCATTCCGTACCTTATACATGAAGTAAGAAGTAGTTACTGGTTGCGATGGTGGTTATTTCTTTGTTCTCCTTTTTTTCAACTCAAAACAAAGAACCTCGCCCTCCCAAAGCACATGGCCAATGTAAAATAGGGTGTGGGCTGGGCTGTGTCATCCACAAAAAAAAAAAAAAATGATGCGAAAAAGGGACTTTTGGACTTCGCTCATTGGCCAATAAAAATAGGGCCATGCTGTGTCGTCTACTGTTAACTTTGGATCTACTGTTAATGTGTTCGCTCCCAAAAAGAAAAACAGTGGCAGTGTCTTCTTTGTATACAGTTAGTGGTGAGCATTAGAAAAGAAGGGTTATGTGAGATGACACTTTGTCATGGTCTAACTTCAAACTACTTAAAGAAATGATCAAAATGGAGAGTGATAACTGTCCTGATCTAAAAAGAAGATTCATTTGCCGATCTCTGGTCCTGAAAGAAGTGTCCAACATTCTCTCTCTTGTGGTCCTTTCCATTGTCCCTCATTTTCGTTTGGATCAGGTGCACTTTGCTCTTCGAGAAAGAACGATCTAAATAGACATCATCGCAATTCCCGCGCTTTAATAAAACAAAACAAATAAAAATGGTCAAACCTCTTTGACCAACTGATGGAGAGCTATACAGAGTGAACGGCTCATATGCACTCACTCAGCCATCGTCAAACCACTTAGTTGAGCTGTGGCTAAGCTCACTTGAGCATTAAAAAAGAATTGATGTTAAAGTGTCCATTGGTCTTCAGTACATTAAGGGGATGGTTGAATCACAATATCAAGCACAAATTGTGCTGAAAAAACGGGCAAATCATGTGTATTCTTTTGGTAGGGATTCAAGCCACGTTTTCTCATAGAAGTTAAGTAAAAACTAGAACTAGAATCATTGATGGAACTTCGTCTACGATTTTGCTTAAAAGTTAAATAGATGTTTTCAAGGCCATAAAGGAATATGACTTGAAATCCTATCCTCGGCTCCGCCTGGTACATCATCTGATAATGAAGCAAAGTGCATCATATGTATTAAAGATCTATCGCATTGATCTCGGTAAAATGAGCCGCATTGCAGTAACAGTAGTAACAGCAGTGTCTTTCTTCACATGAACATTATCATATTTTGTAGATGATCTATTGAGGATACAACAAACATTGGTAGCACCACCTTTTTGGGAGCAAGAGCCATTGGCCCTTGGATAGGAACACAACTGGACAATGGGCAGAGTCTGCCAAGCAAAAATGTGATGTACAACAAGCGATGCACTTTTGTCACTTTTTTTTCATAAAAGAGAGCAGATGCATGTGACATGGCTCGGTTAATTTCTCCACATTTTTCTTGCTCTGTTAAAAATGACCTCTTCCTTCTGTTTTCCCTCGCCCTTCCTTTTTTTTTCCACTTCACTCTCCTTTTTTAAATTTTTTACGGCACCAAGAGAAAAAGCGGAATAGACAAGAAACAGAAGCAATAAAAATGCCACCAACCACTATGAACAAGATCATGCTGGCGCTTCCGCCACCTATGCTTCAATATGCAGCCAACATGATTTCGTTTTATTTCCAGCATGTCCGCCCACGTCAGGCCATGGTTAGCAAACACCTTCGTCGGTTCATTCTATTGATCTTCCTACTCAACTTCAAGTCCTTGCCGGGAGTCTTCCATGCTAAAATGGGTCTTCGTATCGCTGCCGTCCAGCTTTATTCCCTGAGCCATCGCAAGCCCTTCAGAATCAGCCCTACAGATACCTCAATTGTCCGTGAACGAGTTTGGGTCGATGACTTGGACCTTAACTTTCACTTCTCAAACAGGTAGCAGTTTTTCCTCACCACTAATATTAGCAACAGCAATTACAACAAACAACGGCGAAAAAGAAGTTAACTTTTCTGTATATTTTTCTTCTTTCTCAGCTCATACAACAAAAACTGTGATTATGCACGAGTCAAGTACGTGACCTCGTTGTTCGGACCTAGCGTGTTGCCCATGCATCCACTCCGCAAGATCGCGTTCGCCTTGGGAGGAACCCAATTCTGGTTCAAGAAGGAGATCGCACTCTTCCAGTCGTTCGAGATCCGAACTCGATTGTTGGCCTGGAATCAGAAATGGTTTGTGATTGAACACAGGATGTATACCCCTTCAAAGAGCTCGGGATCGGGAGATAAACAACATCACCAGCTGTGCGCAGTCGGCATCTCGAAGTTTGTACTGAAGTATGCAGGAGGGTCATGGAAGAACAAGACGATCCCATTCTTGGAAGCGTTGGAGATGGTGGGTCATGATGTATCAGCATTGAAGGTCTTGGAGGCCAAGTCCACTGGAGGAAATGTGGTATTGTGGCCCAAGGATCAAATCGAGTTCAAATCGTTTGATGGTTGGACCGATCGTGGTGCTGCTGTCGGAAATGCCCTTGAGTTGTGCGAGCACATGCTTACACATCCATGAACAACGGTAAAAAAAAAAAAAAAAAAAAAAAAATTAATAGATTATGATGGAGATTTCGTCGTGCTAAAGTAAACAATAAAATTCCGTGTTGCGTAACAACAATGGCATCAAAATAGAGATGTACCACATGGTGACCCATTTAGAATTTACTTTTATTTTTATTTTATTTTTATTTTATTTTTATCAAAAAAAAAAAAAAAAATTGGTAGACTCTTTGAGCCAACGCAGCAGCTTGTTGATCTTAGTAAATAAAATCGATTTTCAAAAGTACATACAGGCTTACCTGGTCATAGACTTTATAGGCACATTCCGAACTGAAAAAGCCGTTGTAGACGTTGTGGAATCGAAGATGCAGGTTGGATTAGACGTATTGAACCACCATCATCGTCATTCTCAACCTTTATCCAAATATGCTAATCCTAATGCTATACCCCTCTGAAGCTTGGGTCTTAGGCTTTGTTGGGGCCTCATCAGTGAATCCTGTTCTTGGTTATAGAAGACTAAAAGAATGATAATATATGATAACCCAAAAGACATCAACAATTCTATGTGATATTCTGGCCGTTCGCTCTCCATTAATACCGAACTACACTTTTCGTTCCTACTCCGCTTTTTAAAAAGTTACGCGGCACGGCGAAACGTAATAGTTCGGTGCCGATATTGAAAGCAGAGTTATTATTGACTTCAGCACCATTCCATTTCTGCCTTTAAGGTGGTTTTAATCCCTTTATTTCCTACAATGCACAACCGGTCCTCTCTCCACTTAAACCTCGTCAGAGGTAAACTATAACAGGTGGAACAGCAAATTTAATACGATTATCCTTCATAGACTAGCGACCCTTTCCTGTATAATTTTTTCTTAATAAATCTCGAGCTACAGAACTACGTCAGTAAAATAAATTTTTGTTTTTTTAACGCGACTGATGGTTGATCTCGTCCCGTATCTTTCTTTTTCGAAAGCAAAGACAAAAATAAACCCGGGTAGCCGTGGGCAGGGCAGGAAAGGGTCGCTGGTATGAATAATGGACGTAAGGCTTTCTTTGTCGTCTTCGCGATCCATTACTGGGATGAGTCTCAATATGGGTTTGTATTACAGGAGTCAAAAGTCACTGGCAGAAATAGGGAAAAAAAAGCTGGAGAGGGAAAGAACGGCCAATTGAAGTATTGCCTACGGTCTTTTTATACCAACTTGAATTATATATAAGACCTTGTCTATAACCTAACACTATCAATGATCTTCTGTATAAGATCAGCAATCTGGAATACTTCATAATCCTACCAAGTTTATTGTTTATTGCTTATAAGAGATGACATGACTACAGAAGTGATGACAGCTGAGAGGAGGAAAAAGACAGGCTGGTTTGAGTCAATTGAATACGCCGAAAGGTCTGAATAGATTTATCTTTAGATTCAATTTAGATCATGGTGTGATGGATGTGAGCTGAATGAGAACTTCTTGACGATAGCCGTGAAGTGTTCGGGATAATATGATAGTAGGCTCATAGAGCAGGACTGTGTAGAAACTCTGAGTCCAGTCTCTCTTACTGTCAAGTCAAAGATTAAATCTGAATAGCATTTGTCCCAAATGTTAGTAAACTACCAGGCATAGGACCTGCTGCTAGACTACATTACTTTGTGGACCAGTAAGCACATTAATCTAGTTTCAAAACAGATTAGGGTTGGTCACACCTCAACTTCCATTAGTTTCTTTTTCTTTCTGTGGCTCTTTCTTCTCCCTTTTTGTCTCTTCACTTCTTCACACGCACTCAATTACTTTGTTCGTTGATATAACCAGAAAACCTCTTTATTCGTAGCTCATCCACACAGCTACTTTCGTTGAAAAGGCCAAACCAAAGTCAAAAGATAGGCTCCGACACATTCACCTCAAGAGGCGAGGGCTCTAGCTTAGTTCTAACTCCTCTACTACAGATAATCAATTGCCAATTTTGGAAACGGAGGACGCCATGGCCACTAAGCTAAAGCTCTTCTGCATTGTGGAGGGAGAATTGACGTCCTTCTCAGTGACTATCCTTTCCAACGAAACTATTGACGACCTCAAGAAGGTCATCAAGGCAGAGAAGGCACCAGATCTCAACTATATTGCCTCAAACAAGCTCACTCTCGAACTCATTCCTGGTGGCGCAACAAAGGAAGGACTACTCAGTTTCCCCAAAGGATCAGTCAAGGTACTAGATGAGCTCGAAAAGCTTAGCACTTATTTCCCAGAAGGGGCGGCAGAGGGTCTCATTCACATCATTGTCAAAGTGCCGCAGCAAGGTATGTGGTTTCTAGTGGAACAAATGTTACAGATTAAGTTTATTTACTTTTACTTAAGAGTAATGGCCCAATCTAATGTTTCTTGTTTTTTGACTGATTTGACTCCACATAGCTGAACAACCACAGTTATATCCCTGTCGTCCTAAAGTAGCTGTCAGTCTTGCACAACGTAAGTAAAATGCACCTTTTTGAATTTGTTGCAGCAATCCATTGTGAGTCCACCACTGACATTGTTTCTAAATAACTATAGTCGAAAGTAATTTCAGTAGGATTGAGCAGGAGTTTTACTCTGAAAACTGGAGCGAATTTATTGAGGCCTATGTTGCTGGCGAGGTAAAACTACCAGTGACAGATGGTGCCGTAGCAGGTTTCCCAAGGGCTTGGAGCAGAAAGGAGCAGCAGAGGCACTCAACAAAGCCATCACTCCTATTTGTCGACTTTACTAATTCAGATGACCCCAACGGCTCAAATGCTGACTTTGATAGTATGGCGACAGCAATCCTCAGTAAGATCTCGGAAGGCTTCAGCTTATACCCTATATTTGGAGCGTCCGGCTGCGGGAAGACTCGAACAGTCATGAATATGCTCTCACAGAATTGGGGATTTTATCTCAATGCTAGCCGGCATGATAGAGGGTCCGATGACGTCGATAGCTTGATTAGTCTTGTTACAAATGAAAAAGCCAAGCTAACAAAAAGAGGTATCAAGGATCCAGAGTTAAACAGTCAAATTGCGAAGTCGATGACCATCTGCCTACTCCTTGCTCGCTTGTCTATCTTGTTGCATTGTCTGAGTGCGTCTAAGAGTAAAATGACCCCCAGGCAGTGGATGCTGCTACAAGTGTGCCCGCAAGTTTTTGGAGAGGTCTACTTTGGCAATTCAGATCCATCCAAAACAGACTTGTTCCTAGCATTTTTCACGAAATTATCAAGTTCATTCATCAACATCGATTCCGCCGACCTTATTCAATTCCTACAGAACCAGTTCCGTAATCTAGACAAAGTTCTGATAGAGCAGTATCAGAGCAAATCCAAGTTTCTACTCGTTTTGGACGAGGCTCAGGTCCTGGGGCCAGAATCCCCAAAAGATTTTAAATCTGAGGCTGGGGATGCACCACGGCCACTTCTGTCACCGTTCTATCATGGCCTGGAGGCGATATCGGAAGACTTGTCGAAGTACTGTATTGTTGCTTGTGGGACCGGGTTTTGTATTTATGATCTCGCTTGGATTAAAGGGACCGGCATAGCTTCAAAAGTACCCGAACAAGTCGCTCAAGACCCAAAGTTCAAGACTGAGCAAGCTTTTCCTAGATGGGATGATTTAGCAAAAGTCGAAACATATCTCAATAAGCTTATTAAATACTTGGTGCACCAAGGATTTCCGAGTTCAGCATCAAAGTTAAGCGAATTGATTGATCAACAAGCGCGCACATTGCTCTTTGCTTGGTTCCGTGGCCGCCTTCGGCCAATGATCTCAGTAATAGAGAATGTGATTCAACGCGGCGAAGTAGGGCATTTGAAAGCGTTAATCAAAATACAGATGAATGCGCTCACAGAGACAGGTTTAATGGCCCCTGGAAACTTGTGCTTTGAGCTTCAGCGCATTCCGGATCGCACTGGTGCCCACAAAGACGCAGACATTAAGAGCAAGGCAGACATCAGAGAAAACCTTCGGACAGCCCTCAAAGAAAGATTGTTTCATTCTGAAGACTTTGAGTTGAACTACGCAGAGCCTGTTCTGGTTGATGCTTCATTTGCGCGAATAGTTGCCCGCGCCAATGGGAAGATGCTTACAATTATTGACGAACCAATTGCGTTCCAAGCAGCATTTAATTTTTTTGAAAAGGACGACGCTGGATTGCTTCGGTTGCTTGGTCGTGGGTTCTCAGAGAATATTGCAGCAGGCTCACGAGGTTCATATTTGGAGTACTTTAGCCCTGCTTTACTTATCCCAATCTTTCATGGAGAGAAAATAAATCCACTGTTGTTCAAGGATGGGATCAAGGACAGTGGGACCCAAAAGATACTAGACAGGACATACTCAATCGTTGGGCATGACACTGGGCTGCGAGGGACCCATCATGAAAAGATTAGCATGGGTCAATTCCTTTATGCCCACTGTAAGACTGACTCAATACACAACACCAAGTTGGTTGCGCCATTTTTTTATCCACCAGAGACTCCATCCGGGCCTGATGTTGTTTTTGTACTAGAGTCAGAGAACCAACACTATCCAGTTTTCATACAGTCAAAGATATCTGGATCCCTCTATCCTAAGGATATCAGTGATGCTCACAGGACGGTCTGTTGTGAAAGCATCGAAGCACACCTCTCTTTGCCTCCATTACCATCCAGCAGTAATCCTCCTTCTCTGGCTGATTTTTGTTCAGGAGGCATATTCTTTTCGCTGCTGCTTTTGCCCAATTGTGAGCGGAGTAGCTATTCAGTGGCCAAGCCCAAGGAAGTCACCGACAGCAGCGGCCGAACACTGACACAGTACACTATTATCATAGACAAAGACAATATGGAAACCTTGGCATCTCCAGAAGTGGTAGACGTTCTGAAGAGTGCGATAAATCCTCTGAAGAGAACAGTTGAAGACATCCAAGTTATGGAGCACGAAAACGGTGTGAGCAAGCCGAACAGTACAAAGAAAAGGAAGGTGCAAAAGAAGTCAGCGGATGAGGCTGAGGTTTGGGAGATGAAAGCGGGACAACAGATAGTAGAATAGGTAGGTATCTAATAAAATAATTTTATCGATTTTGTGAACGGAGGAGGAACACCAATTAACTTAAAGGAAAGTAAGATGCCAAAGAAGTGAGCCAGGTTATGGGAGATGGAGAAACGAATATAGCAGGGGTCAAGGAAAAGGAAGGAACCAAAGGAAGTAAAGTAGCAGCAGACTCCTATCGGAATTGCAAGTTTATAAGGAAACTATCCCGACTTTGCGCTTACTTTCTACCACTTTCCTTGCTTAAATACTACTCGTTTTTTTGCCTTTCCTTTCCTCCTCTTCTTGTCTTTTCGTTCTTTTCCCCATTCAATAATCATGCCAACCACCACACTCACTTCTCCACTATACTCCTGAATAAATTATGCGACTGTGCAAGATATTTTTACAGCTTCTGTCCCAACATTGAATGCATCAGTTTCGAGCCAGCCTATCACCTCTTCAATGTGCTTCAAACTTAAAACCCAGCTATTATATTGCATACACATTAGTATCTCTGAAGAGGGCAAGCCTTAATGGCCCTAGCGTAATGAAAAATATGCGAAGAATTAAAGGTACAGTCACCTGAAATAAAGTTTGGACAAAATGGATTTTCTTGATTTTTTTTTGAACAACCTGGACAAACAGCTCATATGCAACATACATAAAGACTTCATCAATACACATGAAATTTTACATGCTCACTAAAGAGGTCAATACTGTTATTTATTGGGGTTTTGAAGACGGCATTGTTAGAGTAGCAAAAGTGCCATGTAGGTTCAATAGTGAGTGTTCCTACCATCGACCCCATTCACTTCTTCCAGCCTTTCGGGCATGGTAGCGACAAGGCTGGCCAGCCTCTCTTGCGGTAAATTATTCCACTCTTCGATAAGAGCCCGTGTGAGAGTGGGAAGATCTCTTGGCCCTTTAGCGCGCCTATCGAGTGCATCCGCAAGAAGTGACCATACATGTTCAATAGGGTTCAAATCTGGGGAGCATGAAGGCCAGTCTGGAATCCTCGGGATGCTGTTTTTTTCGCGCCATTCTTTTGCAATCTTACAAGTATGAACTGGAGCATTATCCTCCATAAGTATGCCATCCCCTACCTCAGCCATAAATCTGGCTAGCTCGCCTTGATATACATCTTCCACGAAACACCGTCCATCTTTACGACCTCTTTCAAATACAACCAACCGAGACTTTCTGGTTGCTGTGAACGCCCCCCAGACCATCAGAGTTGTTCTACCACTTTTGAAAGTGGGTGCGAGGCAATCATGATCGTACTTTTCCTCTACTTTACGCCAAACTCTTATTTGACGAAAATGCTTACCAACTTCAAATGATGATTCGTCAGTCCAAACTACCCGATTCCAGTCTTCCATGGACCAACTCATATATTTTTTGACAAACTGCAGCCTCCTTTTTATATGTCCTTCTTTTAAGAATGGTTTTTTTACTGCAATCCGGCTGAAAATACCCAGTGAATGCAATGCCTTCGCAACTGTCCTCTCGCAAACTTTGTTCGGCAATTGGTTAGTGATATCATTAAGAGTACACCTTCTATTCTGCTTAGTATGGCGAACGATGCTCCTGAGGTCCCGTTCACTTAGTACTTTGGGCCGTCCTGGGATCGGAGTGCAAGCAGTGGTGCCTCTTTCTTGGTACACCCTGATAATATTAATAACAGAGGTTCGGGGTACACCGCGTTGCAATGCGATTTCCGCAGCCTTCATGCCCGCGAGGTGCATTCCAACGATGATACCTTTATTCTCAATGTCTAAGTGTCTCGCCATGGTGGTTTACTCAAGCTGTTTGTATGTGAAAAACAGGAAGGAAAGAGATTGAAGGAAACGCTTCCCTACGTAACTATTTCAATATTTTATTTTTTTGTCCAATCTTTGTTTCAGGTGACTGTACATACTGGTGCACTTCTTGGTAGTCATTGTTTGGAATAGTAATGAGGAGAAATGGTGAAAAGCAATTCTTTCAGCAAAAATACAATACAAGATGACTGTAGCTGATCACATGGAGATGGGAGTACTGCGGTGTGACAAAACGTTGCATGATAAATTTCGAGATGGATGACAAAAGAGATGAGATGGATAAAGATGAGATGGCATGAATTCATTGGTTCACATGGGTCGGAGTCGAGGTTGCAAAAAAAGTTGAGTCAGATAGAGAAGGTCTGTCAATTAGAGATAGATATAGTCCCTGTATTATGCGCATAGCGGTGGGTAGACTTCCCAATATTTTATTTTCTTTTATAGAATGCATTTGCGAGTCAACCCACCAGATAAATATTTCTCTCGGGTAAATCTAGTGGTAGCAGTAAAATCAGCAGAGTGGTAAAATTGGTGTGCAGAGTCTCTGTAAAAGCACAGGATGGTAAGGAAATATCCAGACAGAGATTTTGGTAACCTGATGAAATATAAGCTGTTCAGCCTCGAGAGTTGCTTGGAAATATTCCTTTTACCAAGTCACAAAGACATCTTAGGCTATTCTGGTACCCAATACTACAGTGTTACTTCCAGCCTCTATTCTTCTATTTATTGAATATATTGTCATTCTACATTATAATTATTATGGAAGCAGTTTGATGTACTATTCTCAAATTATTATTTTATACCGCTTTAGTTCTGCCCTCAAGTCTACCTCGCTGTAATTCTGCGTTTAAGTCTACCCCCATGACATATTGCTTGATACTTGATAGTTCTTTTGTCGGTTTAGGATCCACCCGACCAGCCCCAATCTTGAATTTTTGTTTCTTATATTCCTCAGCCTTAGCTTTTGGAACAACAAAAATAAATACAACGTCCTTCTCTGAGCGAATCCACTTTTTTTCTTGAAGCTTTTTAAGAAGTTCTTTGCAAGATTCACTCTTGATACCATGCTTTACATTTGCCGTAATCTGGAGTAGATAATTCGGCGCTATTAGCATATCAACGCAGGCAAAAGTCTTGCTTTTTGGGATCCATAGTTCTCCTTTCATCGATTCCTTGTAAACATCAAAAGCTTCGAAGAATTTAACCGTCGGCTTGGCATCGATGGTGATGGTGATATCTTGCTTTTTCTCTACATCTAGACTCTTGGCCACGAAGGTACAGTCGCCTCTCCGTAGTATGCGACGTATACATATCTCGAGCATAGCTCCTAGATCTACTCCAACTTTGCCATTGACTAATCGATTCAATATCATATCAAAAGTATTGTCGTCCGCTGCTTCGTACACCTTTTCGAGAATGTGATTAGAGGCCCACTCTAACACAAATTGCTGGTGATCTCCTATTGGACGACGATGAAGAAGTCGGCTGCTATATTGTAGTGAATCTTTGGCCTGTTCAAAATATTGTAACAGCTTCAATGGATCCTTGAGGTTGTCGAGGGCTTCTTCTACGCGACTGTATGCTACCCTCCTAGCTCCATCAAGATCTTTTTTATTAAAGTGCAGTCGGCTCGCTGGTTTCTCGAGAACATACCTTGGCACACCACCTATCTTCTCATAGAGTTCCATCATAAATTCTTCGCTGACGATGTTAAAGGTCCGAACCATTTTTCTACACTGTCTTAACTCATCCAGCTCCCATGGTGCCATGTAATAAATCCATACCACCCTCTTTACAATTTCTTGATACATGTTGGACTCGGAAAATAACGTCTTTGGTGATACTGAGAAGATAGTTCGAGCCTCCATAAGCTCCGGCTTTGGTGAGCTGTCGACTAGGAACCAAGTGTTAGGTAGCTCTAGGAAGGCGGCGAAATCCTTTATATCTCCATTTTGAACAGTAGATGACCCACCAAAAGCGTAGCACATTGAATCTTCTTTTCGCTGGATGATGACAATAGGTGGATCATCCTCAGTACTGGTTGCAAGTAGTCGGATGGCAAAATATATGAGAAAGGATGACTTCCCTATACCAGCCGTCCCTGTAACAACAATACGGTTTCGTGCATCGTCCTCAGCGTTGCAAAACTGTTTGGTGATTAAATCGTAGAGATCCTTGAATTCCTTTCTTACATATAGATCTTGCGCATCGATCACCGGAAGCCTTGTCCCTGGTGGACTGGATATCACATAATCTGCTTTTCCAAAAGATGAACGTTTTAGCCTGGAAGCTGTTCGGGATATTGCTTGGAAGATGTTGGCCTCTGATGTTCTGCTTCCAATGTTCTCAAGCACCGAAACCAACTCTTTACTTGTAAGACGAGGAAGGTTGGCACGCCCATCTACTATGGCTTTTTCGGAAAGTCCTGCTGCTCGAATTGCCTTGATTAAGTTGTCCTCTTCAACTTTGGGTCTTTTGGAGGAAGTTTCGTCGCCCTCGTCGACTTCAAAATTGTCGCGACCCCTCTTTTGACCTGTTTTATTAAATCGAAAAGTATCAAGACTATGTTAGTGTTGCATCTCTATGTTTTCTCAAACACATCAATACCCCAAGTAAAAACCTGACGTGAGATCCATCTCAATAACAAATAAAACAGCTGTATTACAACGAAACAAACATAAAAAAGGCGTGATATCACATGGTGTTGGGCATGAAAATAAGCAAACAAGCTTCATCAATTGAAAATATAACTATCAGTCCGTCAAGAGCTAATACATACCTCGCTGCGGTGGCTTGACAAAAACATGGATCGTTTTCCTTGGAAGTTCAGAATTAAATATCTCCCCAAGCTCCATTGACGCGGGTACGAGAGCCTCTTTTGACTCGATTTCTGACTCGACGACGGTCTTGTCTTCGTCAGGGATGGAGACCTTGTAGAGGATGAGCTTATCTGCGGCAACATGATCAAGTTCTGGCTTCTTTGCTACCTTGATGGCTTGCTTAAGCATCCCGACCGATTTATCGCAGAAAATCTCTACTGGGAACGACGTTGCTTCTCCCTCAACAACGCAGTTCAGAACCAGCAGCAGTGGGATGGCGCGCTTTTTTCGTTGTGGGTGCTGGTTTACTCTTTTTCGCTTATTGAGTGTGGAGGCATCCTCAGGCTTATTTGCTGTCATTTTTTTTTGTGCTTGGCTCTCTGTGGAATCATTTGCAGCCATGTTTTTTTGTGCTTGGCTCCTTGTGGTGGCCATTGAAAATTAAGATGAGTGGGACTGAGTGTGGTTGAAATGCAGGGAGAATGATGGTTAAATAGGCAAAGGTATATTCTTACTCTATCACC